TCCACGAGTTCGCACTCCTTTCCATTCAAACGCTCACATTCCAGGTAGCAAGTTGTATAATCCTATTTCCGTGCCTTGTCATATTCCTCCAATCCAGCTCTAATCTTTCGTTTGTTTGTGATAAGACTTATTTTAGAGGAGTAGGTTATCAGCCCACTGCCTCCTAGTCAGGTAGAGGGGCTGCCTCCTTAAAGCATCCTGACCTGCCCCCTCATCCGAGGCGGCTTCCTAGGATAGGTGACCCTAGGGTGTGTAGTGTAGGTGACCTCATGTCAGTGTAAGTGTGTGGTATACTGTTCTGTGTATGTGTTAGTGCAGTGTACTGAACTCGGAGTCCGGAGGATCGTCAATCCCCACTAGCTGAGCACTTCAGCTAGCCCCTGTGGGAAGTGAAAAGTTTTAATGAGAATAAATATTTCCTGACCTATTTTTTTTTTCTTCCTCATTTCCATGGGTTGAGCAGGACACCATTTCTGATTCAACGGACTATATATAGTAGTATTATATTTGTTATAAAATAATTTTTGTAGAAAGCATTTAACCAGTTTAACATAATAACAAGAGAAAAAGTTCATATGATATGGATTTCGATTATACGTTTATATCTGTCGTTTCAGTGAAATTATAATTGATCCATGGTAAATCATGATGAAGAAGACGTAAATTTAATCATCGGAATCTCCCCGAACCTTCTTTGGGGATGACCAGTAGTTGACTGAAGTCAAAGCCATCATTGCATAGAATGTGCCTTCAGAAAAAAATATGACTTTATACGGTTAGGTAATATCTAAGATAGACAAACCATTCATTGCCTTCCAGGAAAAAGTTAGTAACTTGAAGCTATGATTTAAAAATTTCTACATCGAATTGCGTAATTTAGGAAGGCGTAAAGGAAAAGACGTACGCACGCTTGTCTGTATCAAGAATCTCGACAGATAATAACAAGAAAATATTTATTGCGTGCGTTTTTTTTTTCTCAACTTTATCAATGTTAGACCCAAATGATATCAGTCTGATTCATGATTTATAATTATCTGGTTTAACCGGTTTCCTCCATTCTTAAATAAGAATGAATAAGTAGTCAATGGAACATCAGGATGTTTTTTTATTTTATTTGTAATGAATTTATGCAATTAATAAGAACCAAACTAGGAAGTATAGTCCAGTCAATTTTTTTTTATTGAGCAGTAAATATTACAATCTGCCACATTGAAGGGCAACAAGTAACAAGGCTAAATGTGTTCATTCATACTATAGATGCATATAATAGGGTAATACAAATAAATGAATAAATAAAAATAAATGAGTAAACTAAGAAAAAGTAAATGAAAAAATATAACGACATACGTAAATAATACATAAGCGAAATAAGAAATAAATCAATAATTTTACTAGGATAATAAGTGGAATAAATTATGACGTCGAAATAAAATATCACTACTCTACCAGAATAGATTCATAATTATCGTGTTAAAAAACATATTTGCATGATAGGTGCTATAAAGTTATTAGGTTCTAATCAGCAAAAGGAGCATTAGACATTATTATCCAAAAAAAATAATATTTAGAAAATAATTAAATATATTTTACCACTCTTTTTATTAATTGATAATTGTTTTATGAATTATTTCGTCGGTGCGCTTTATAAATAGTGAGTAATGGATTATTTGATCACTTTATGGGTGATTTTAACACACATTGTTTACTTGTAGGATCACAAAGCTCACTACAACGGCTATCCTAGCTGTAGCACCGCCAAATAAATTCTAAGTCCAGAGGATTATGAACTGTCAATACATTATTTAAGGATTGCTTCTTTAGGGTAGAGACCTTTCAAAGGTTACCAAACCACTGTGGTGGCAATGGCAGTGTATTGACATTTAAACTCGCCAAGGATGATAAATCTGATGAAAAATGTTTCTGATGAAGAACATCATATTTTCAGAGATTTGGTTAAATCTCTTAAGCACCTGGTGTGTTGCAGCAGCGCTCCAGTTTCAGGAATAAACCGCGCGACGAAGTCCACCCATCTTACATTAGGCCGACCAACACTCCGTTTGCCATAAAGCTCCTCCGTCAATATCTTCTTGGGTATACTCCATCCTCACCACGTGGCCTTCCAACCGAAGTTTTCCTAGCTTTATAAAATAACCACATCATTATTACTATACTAGTAGGCCCGTGCGAAAAATTCGCACAGCATATTGTTATCAAATTAAGACATCAAATGTTACTTTATCGATAAATATAATCCACAAAGCAAACAAAAATTAATTTAAATCTTCATTTTTGTTTGGAACCAACATGTATACAAATTTCAGTAAGCTGTATATTTGCTAAAAATTGTCCGATTGCGATGATTTATTTTTCCTTTTGTAGGGAATTTAGTAATCTTTCATATAATTATGGTCATAACCGAGGGAAAAGTGTGTATTTTTTTTCAGTTATTCGCAAATAAAGTTTATTTTCTTTCATAACTTGTTTGCCTGAATTTTCTGGGTGATTGGACTATTTTGCCAGCCTGAAGGAGAAGGAAGCCTTCGAAATTAGTGGCTCAATCTTGAGATTTGGTGAAAAATTAACGATGATATGGCTTGCCGATCAAAAACACCATCGATGAATAATAAAAACTCCCCCTCTCTCGATCATAGAGACCTCAAGTCGACGAAATGAGACATGTATTCAATGTCAGTACTACAATTAATGTAAGGTTGTGTGGATGCGAACCCTATGCCTTTCGTTATATCGAAAATAGTACGTTTTTCGGCTTAAAAACGCAGGATCCGATAGTTCCGAAGGAGCTATCCGGGTCTTGCTGTACGCATCAAAATCTTTAAGATCCAATTTGTCCCGTATCGATCTACAGACCTACCACCGTTCCAGCATCGAAGCCTGGCAAAATTTTTGTATCGACTTTATTTATTTTAGAAAGAAAAACAAAAGTGGAGAATACGATTCGCTAACCCCGCGTGAAATTCTGAATCCAACGGTACTCGATTCGTGGTATTTGAGCATGAAAGGAGGTTATATTTGGTACAAAACCGATTTCGAGCCTTATTGTAATAATATATGTACGGATAGCACAAAAAGCTCTGTATTATTCCGTCTTTTCAAGACGTAAAGTAGCTACGGTTAGCTGCAGCGAACCGCCTGTAGATTTTCCCAGAGACGTCATTCCGACCATTCACCTCTGAGCCCACTACAATCGGTCATCTGCTCTATTTGGGAGAAATTATTCATACAAAGCACTAAAACGTATTGCCTCGCTTACTAAACACAAGAAACACGATTTAGTTCTATTTGGAACACTACAGGACTGCTGTATCTCTTATGTCGGAAGCTGAAGAAGAAAGGCACGATGAAAAAAAGTTCACCCGCAGCGCAGATTACATAACTGTTCCCATTAAGGAAAAGTCATCGGTTCATTTTATCCTGACGTGTATCCATACCTTTTATTATATATTATATATTAAAGGTTATTGATAAATCGATCAAGAATATTGCTGTTCAAGGTCAGTAAGCCGAGCTATATTTCCTTTCCGGAAACAAATCGTTCCAGGACCAAATCTTCAGGTGATCATTTTAACATCCTGAACTAGCCCAAGAATCGCTTTCAGCTTGAGATGAAATATTTGGCTGCTATAACATTTTGAGAGTTTCCGGATGAATGTTTCAATATTATTTTCGGATTTATTTCCGGAGATAAGAAATTAATGTTTCCTTGTGTACCTCCTAAAAAGCTTCACATTTTGATTTCAAGATTCTTGTAATTTCACAATCAACAATTATTTTATTCTATATCAAGTTGATATTATTAAAGAATTATTAATTTATTACTTAGTTTGTATTAAATAATAAATAAACTTACGAATGATCATAAACTTGATATACCTGTAACTGTAAGTTTATATGTACAGAGTTTATGGCTGATGTAATCATTAAAATTTTTACTCCTGTAAATTTTTATTTCATTTAAATTTTTAAATAATACCAGTTTCCATTATTATTACTTTACTTCTTTTCTCTGTTCAATTCAGGAGGATTGTCCTCTTTTGATCAAATTTTTACTTTGTTGTTCTGAGTTTTTATTATTTTTGGATCAGATATGATGATGCACTACTATGATATTATGATATTGAAGATTTCTTTAAAACATGCTGATCTGTCTCATGATTCAGAAATAAAAAATATATAAACATTTTGTGTCTTGGAATTAATTACATCACTTTACTAATACATAATCTCCTGAACCATTACCTGAATAATTAAATATTACTTTTACTATATAATTAAAGTTCAGAATTCTAAACTCTCACTTTTTATCCTCATTTAACTTCAGTAAATTGTATTGATGACAAAAGCTTATTGAAGGTGAACAGATGGGTAATTGAAATTAGAGCTGATGTTTTGAACTTAAAGTATAAATACTTCAAGCAAACAAATAATAATTGTAGCATGTGTAATACAAAAGAAACAGAAGATCTCTATCACTTCCTGGCTGCTAATCTGATACTCTCTGAATTTAGAATTAAATGGTCAAAATCTAGAAATTTATCTCGGGATCAAATAATAGATTTAATAAATGAAAAAAAAAATGGATAGCATTGGTAAATTACTGCAAGTCTGCTTTCTCTTATAGAATAATGCTCACCATAGAACTTAACAATTAATAAATTGAAGAATTTTGGTACCACCCTTTTTGTAATTAAAATATTTATATAACTTTTACATTGTAAATATATTTTTTCTCGGTTTCTTATTAATTTGTTGTATATAAATAGATTGAAATATAATTTTGTTATAAAACACAGACTCCTCTGATGCTCAACACACCATGTAGCATGTCTGATTTTCGGTTTTAAATCCAAAAATATTATTTTGTAATTGATATGATGTAATTTTCATAAATAAAAATTCTTCTTCTTCTATTACTTTTAAGGGTCCTTATTAGATGTGAAATGTAATGTGAATAAACTTATACTAATAAACTCTTTAAAATGTTTGCAGGTTATGGAAAATGTCAGGTTCCACGTTCATTCACGCCCTAGTAATACTTATGGCTTTTGGACAGTCGATTGCATCAAGTATGTAGATTGTCTATCATTTAATCTTTTATTGTAGAAACTTTAATAATATTGGTATTACACTTATATGTATCTTGATCATTCACTGCTTTTCTTACATAGCGATCATTCAGATTCACTTTAAATTCAATATGAAAGTACTAGATTGAAAAAATTACTTTGATATTTTATCAATTTTCAAAGTCAAATGAGAAAAAAATGTATTAGCTAACATTGAGATCCTAAAACGAAATCAGTCAGTCGGATATTACTGTTACATTAACAGCCAAGATTTCCAACAAAACAAAGATGCCTTAAAATAAAAAGCACCTTAAAATTAAAACTTTCAATCCATCTATTTCGAAGGATCTAATACAGGAAAAATTAATAATAATAAGTGTATAGATATCAATTCGGCCTTGATAAATGTTCCGTAGATCACATTAAAGAACTAAAAGCAAATCAAGTTTTATAAATACTTGGGCATGTAGCAGCACCTTAAAGTTGCCCATACAAAACATGCAACAATTGCTTCTAATTGTGTTCAGAAAGAAATTGCGGCAAGTATTCAAGACCCATCTGGAAAGCAAACATCATGGCCATTAACATCCGGGTAATATCAGCTCTGAGTTGTACCTTTGGCACATTACAATAGTCTAAAACCTGCATACAAGAGATGGATCGTCAAGTACGAACGACACACACAAAAACGGTCTCATCACCTAACATCCTTCTTCTGTGTTTATCTAGAAAGGAAGGAGGGCGCGGACATCAAAATATAGAAGAAGCATGTCGTAAGCAGGAATTGTCCCGTCGATATTTTCAATAAAAGCAACGGGGATTTATCTCTTATGCCCCATATTATGTCACAAATAAGACCCACACCATGACCTTAACATCCCATTTGTCCTCGACATCATCCCATCCAGATTCTCAAACTTTCACCAGAACCTCATCCATCATCCAAATCCTCTAGCTCAATCCCTATCCAGCTCCCTGCATCCCTACAATCCTTCACGAAGGTTAAAACGGCAGTGGCCCAGAGATCTCTTGTAAATATGCTTCTGGAATCCTGGCAATGGCCAGCTTCTCCACTCATGTCCCGAGCGTCTGTGGCTCTAGTGCCCTCTTTCAGTCTCTACTGGCTTCTAATACCAGTGATGCGGCTGGAAAAGTGGCACTGGGATCTCATGGAGTCTTGCTTTGCCTTCCACATGTGGGGGAAAAAGCCTGGCTCGGAAATTCCTGGGCGAATGTATATATTGTGTATAGGTATGATTGTGTAGAAGTTTCTATTTTATGTTATTGTTTACTTTTTTTTTCTTTTACTTACTTTCTTCATCAGTATTATTTATTTACTTTTTATATTTATATTTATTTATTATTTATTCTCTATTATTTGTATATATTGTTTAAATGAGAACTCTTAGCCCTAATACTTATAGCCCTCCAGCAGTGGCTGATTGTATTATTATTCAATAAATAGATTAAAAAAAAGGGGGGATTTATCTCACCATCACTAATTTGGATTCGGGTCTAACTGCAATTAATTTACAGAGAGTCGATTATTTCAGAAAATGAAAGAATGTCCGAATGGAAAAGCCAGGTACTACATGGCCGATTCTACTACGGTTGAATGAAACCTCCATAGGCAAAGAAAGATCAGTGGAATGATAACGACTGGAAGCCAATTCTCTGAGACGGAAGGATTTGTAGTTACCATTCAGGTTCAGGGCATTGCCGCTAGATCTTACAGATTACATGAGCTGAAAGACAGAAAAGCAACTGAAAAATGTCGACTGTGCTCAATGACACTCGAATCAATCCACGACAGCATAGCTGGATGTGCTGTGCCCGCTGGTATGGATTATCTAGCACAATAATGGGATGAAAATATTCCACTATGCTGTGGTGATTAAATTTAACTTATTAGATGAAAATGTGCTATATTATAAATATAATCGCCATAGGCTGCTTCATAAAGGTTCCTTCAAATTGTATTGGGAAGAATCTATTATCATGGATCACACAGCGTGTCACAAGAGACCTGATATCTTCACAGTAGATAAACACAACTGTGGGTGAGAAGAGAGATTCAGCAAGCAGTTCTGGACACAACCAGAGTAGTTGGAAAATTTTTAAATATTTGAAAGAAAAACACGTAAATCTGTAGGTGGTTAGACTTGCCACCTGCCTTCAACTTCCAACCCGCAAATGTAAGGAAAATCAAGATAATAAAAAATCGCATTCATGAAACTTCGGCTATAACTTCATTTTGGTAATAGAAACCTGCAGAGTCCACCCAAAGTTTGGAGGAACAACGTTTCTTGGGACGGGGAGCGAAACGACAGGTTTGATATATGTTTTTATAGATAAAATTGAATAATACGCAAAAATCAGGAATATTTTTTTCTAGAAGATGTTATTGATTAACGAATTTAAAAATAATTGTTTTTTATAAATAATTGATAACCATTACTACGCCCTCAGTCATAATCAATCATAATATAACTCGTTTTAAAGCAATACCATATGCAATAAAACATTAAATTGGCTGTAATCATGTATACATGAGCTGAAACTGAATGGGTATTAAAGCATTCGAACATAATAACCAATTGCAAAAGTACTTATTAGAAGCTCTCTTCTTTAACAAGTTAAGAAGCAACATATATATTTTAAAAAATAAAAGTGGGTAATCATTTCGAAAAGAAATTGCGGGAAAAAAAATCGTATTAAATTAAAAAGTTATTTAATACACACATCACAGCTTCTGCAGAGCAATTTTTCGGGTTACTGTTACGTTTTAAAGTAGATATCATCAAACCAAAACATAAGTTTCTTTTTTTACCTTTCTGACCAAATAAAACATTACTCAAAACGATAACTAGATTCCAAAATAATAATATTTGTTCCAATTTTTAATACCTACATAGTGTTAAAAAGAAAAAAAAGAATTAAAAACAATTCAGATCCTCATTTTATTGATATTTTTACAATTTGTTTTTTATTTATTGTTTAGGTCGCTTCAAAGATCCAGGGATATGTGGACGTCCGACATGCAAAGGTAATTAAGCTTATCAAGATTCTATTTAGACTTTATAAGTATTCAATATTAGTAATAAGTATTATTATTATTATTATTATAATGGCACTACGGTCCTGCAAGAACCCGGGCCTCCTCTACTACAGACAACCAAGTAATAAGTATTACTAAAACGATTTATCATCATTTAACAATATTTTTATTATTAAACATAATTTATAATAGTAATTAATAATAATTAAGAAGTATAAAAATATGGCGGGTGATAAATAGTCAGGACGCAGTCATTTTAAAGGTTTTTATTGGTGCCGGCATTTTTCGAGCACTTGAGTTATTCAAGTATTTGGCCAGTACTTGCCCTGGTGATGACTATAAATAGTGTCACTCTTATAAAGAAAAACCTAAATACTTACGACTTCATTTATAATGTTTCAGCTAGGCAAAAGTTTGCCTATAAAGAGAAAATGGACTACACATACAGGTACACCATGACTACTAATGTTAATTTTGATGGAGCTGGTCCTGATTCGACCGAACTGCAATTTGATTTTGTTTTCAAATTTCAGTTCAAAAGTAAATGCGAAGGAATATTAAAGGTAAGACGAATTGATATTTCATAATATTTTCTCCTTTTAAATATAATTATAATTGGACAACTATAATTCATAATTTTTAAAAGGTATTAATTATTATTTCGTTCAGAATAATATTTATTTATATTTATCGTTAAACATTCATGTTCCAAATTCGTTAAAATATTATTAAAAACATTAGCATCCCTCGTGAATATTTTTATTTTGTCTACAATTTAAAACGAAAAAAATTGTAATAATAATAGAGTACTTCTTCCGTTTCAAGGGGAAAACACTTCACTTCTGTATTTAATTTACATCTTCAAAGTTTTGATTCAACTAGGTTATTTAACGAAACAAGCGGCGTCCAAGAAAAGTGGATTCGTTTTCTTGGTTTCCTCCCTGACTAATTAGAGGTTTTACTTGTGACCCTAACAAGAGTGTTTGTTTGCAGAAGCTCAAAAAGCCAATTGTATGGACTACTATCTAGGATCTTTTATTTTTCAAACTACAGCAACATCTTATCCAGGCTCTCTATAGGCTAACCTACAGATTTGGACTGTTGAATAGGAATATATCCTAATATAAAACATATTCAGTTCCTCGAATCCATAATCCTTTGAAAACTGCACAATTTATAATTTAAATTTCATCCTCAACCTTATAACTTCTAATTATTCAAAATTCCATCAAGAATATTCTAATCATTCTGTAGCTGGCAACGATGGTTAATAATGATGTCAGTGTTCTATAATCTTGCTGGGCTCACTGTGCGGGAACTGATATAACAGATGCCTCCGCGACGAGAGTTGTTCAGAATCGTCCAAGATTCCTTGTGCTTTACTATATAAAAGAGAATCAGTTGTGAGCAGAAATCATGTGGTTATACAATTAATGCCAGGCCAGGTTATCAATGCGTTATATTATTACCCATTACACATATGTTGTATGTTTTTTAAATTTGAATTATCTGTTCAGGAAATATCATTTAGTTATTCCGTTATGGGGTCATTATTAAATCGTCTTGTATTATCTATTTGTTTGTAAATATATGTTTAACAATTCTGACGTATTCTTTCAATATATGTAAAATATAAAACCAACGAGGTTAGCATTATAACCCTCTTGTACAATCACCATCCAGTCCGATGCTTTCAGAGAATCCTCCTCGGCAAACCCAGAAAAGGGCAGTAACCAAGAGATATTTGTTAAGAATGAATTGAAGAGCCCTGGAAGCTCGCACCCATAACTAGTGGATCAACAACCACAGAGTACTCTACCAACAGTTTCTAAAATGAATGAAACAGTGAGAGTGGGAGTGCTTTTGTTTCTTGGAGCTCGGCTTTATTCCTCAAATTGGGGGGACGCTTGAGGAAGGAGTTCATTGACCAAGTGGAAATATTTCATTTATGCCCTACATAAGAATGAAGCACATTGTTATTTTTTTCACAATCTTTTATGGTAACGAATAACAAAGAAATTTACAACAATCTTGTTTTGTTTTTTAAACTTGCCAAAAAGCTACTTTATTTTTCTATATAAAGAAAGGCTGTATTTTTCACCACATTTTTTTTCATTTCTCTTCCACTGTTTTGAAAGTGTCAGTTATTTTATCTGTGAAACTATTAATTTGTGTTTAAGAGTAAATGTTGAGTTTATGTGTTGGTATTTACTATTATTTCTTTCACTGTTTCAACTCTATTGGATGGATGATGGTTCATTGTAGTTTATTGGTTTGAAAAATGGGTAAATACTTTGTATTTGTTTAGATTAGTTTATTTCATTTTATATAAATTTATTATTTTTTACTGTTAGTAGTGTTTATTCCATTTGTGCACATGAACACGCGATCATCTATAAAAGAAAATTTACAACCACTTTGTAATAACGAAAAGAAATAGAGTACATTAATTTGAGATAGAGCAAATGAACAAAAAAGGAACGCCTTCAATTCTGGCAAACGCAACACGCTCTTTCCCCATGTGTGCCAAAAGGTGGAGTGGGGAGGGACAAGCGTTGGTGGGGGTTGTTACAAATTAATTAATTAATCTTATTTCCCAAATAAAAACGAACTTTATTATAACAACCTTTATGTCGCATGGAAACTGTACATTCACATTCGCTTAAATGGGGTTCATATGTGCTAAACACCGCTGCCTCTATCCAGGAAGCTTATTAATGAATTTTGGTTTACTCACGCAAATAAAACATGTTTCAGATCGAAAGCGCACAAATCGAATACGGTTCAGATGGAAACAACACTATGGTACCTCATGAAAATGTAAAAATATTAACAAAAAATATTTTAAGGTAATTATAAATTATATATAGTCCTTATTCATAATAACATAAAATGTATTTTAGTTTTCTAATTAAATTTAATTTCATGTGTAAGCTGATTTAATAATATAAGATTTGTTAGTATTTATGAAATATAAATATAGATATTTATTAATAATCTCTTGAATAATGCATTCAAAAAATACTATATTTAATGCTTGAATGCCATTTCGAAATAATAGCCAAAACCCGAAACTCTTTGGGTTGATGGTGAATAATACTTGTTAAGGATTGTTTTATCTAGAATTGACCACATTTTCATAATTCAAATAATTTCTCATTTATCCTTACTAGACTTACTTGTCGTTTTTCCAAAACACATTATAAATAAAAAAGGTCCTCCGAGGACTAGGGAATCGAACCTGTTTCTTAATAGTTCTGAATAATGAGAACTCAACATCTTTCATTGGAGATTTTTAAATAATAACATGTACACAGCAAAAATCAAAGCATTTTAAGCATTAATGTTTAATAAAATTAGTGTTTCTTAAATACACTTATTTCATATTCTTTTATTAGATTTTATTACGATGACGGAACCATACCGGAAATCTGCCCCGAAGAGGAGGATCCATTATGGGTTGTAAACATTAAAAGAGGATTGTTGACAATAATGCAAAATACAATGGATAGATTTGACATAGATCAAGGTGTAATGGAGGTAATTGTGCAAATATATGTTTACAACGATATTTAATTTGGTGGTATTACTTATTTTTCGACTTTTGAAAAACACACTAATTTATGTTCCAGAGAGATGTCAATGGGGACTGTTTTGCCGGATATTTCTTCAGGGAAGTGAACGGTACCACGTTGGTTATTGATAAAAAAATAGACGTCAACTCATGCACAAACAGATACCAAATATATTCCATTGTCCCTATGACTCCTTACGTGTTTCAAAAGGTAATTCAAGTTTGCTATCGATTTTTTTTTTATTCGTTAATAAGATTTTTATTTTTCTCTAAATAAAATTTTCTATTAACATATGAACTGTTTTAGAAATATCACAAGTGGACCCCAATGAACTCGTCCATTTTCTGCAGTCAACACATCGATCACAAAATTTTGACAATAATTAATTGCCAAGAACGCCATGAGTATCAGCCTTTCTACAATCAGACAAACGGTGCTAAGACGGCTGCTAGGAGCGAGATCGTACTCATTTCCGAAACACCGACTACTCTTCCAGACCAAGAATTGATAAAAAACCTAGGTAAAAATCTTCAGAATTCAGAGCGCCATTTCTGAAGACCCAGCCGTTACATTTTTAGTATTACAAGGATGTGTCTATTATCTGATGATTCAATAAAACACTTTAAAAAAAAATAATAATAATAATTGTAGAGCTTTCGGACCTTCAAACTCATTCTCAAATCACAATGAATCTTTTCTAGAAAATATTCAGTGGGAATAACAGTTTTTGCAGCAAAAGATGCCAATGATGTTACTATCAAACTTTATTTTTCCGATATAATTCTGCATTCTCAATACAAATAACTATATAATATATTACTTGTATGTAAAAATTGTCAGATAATTATTGAGGGCTACGGAAACAACTTTTATATCTCATTTTCCAAGAAAACGTTAGCAGGAACCATCGATTATTTTCCGACAGCAGTGGTCGAGGTTAAGGTGAAACAAAACCTTAAACTGAAATTTTCTTACGTTTCCTCTATTTAACCCTCAAATTACAAATTAAACAGCAATTTTCACCGATTTCACTAAAAATTGACAGTGTTTCAAGTTATTTTTAATAAGTATTTTAAAGTGATTCTTAAGAGATGAGAGAGAAATAATTCTTTTTGTCTGTGAATTGTCATCACTATGGATAAATAAGATTAGAAAAAATGTTATTTGTTGAAGTCTTACAGTTTTTCTTGGTTGTAACAGTGTAAATATCGAAGTATGATGTAAGCAAATACTGTAAAAAAAACAAGCTACGCACATGGGTTTATTCCATTTAATAGTAGGTATTAAAACGTTGATTCTGTGACAAAATAGCCTGCTCATGTTTGTTCCTTTAAAAGTAACAGTGATTTTTCTGTGTATGCATTCAAATAAATTTTTAGTTATGTAAACCAATCTGTGTCCTTTGCTATTGAATTAACGTTATTTATTTTTATCAAGACAGTTTGTGAATTAATCACGTTTATATAAACAAGATCTACTAGAGTAAATTGTCTTCATTGCCTAGCTTACTCGAGTGCAGAGGTGCCCATTCCTCCCAATGTCGATGACGCAAGAACCTACCCTCTCCCTCCTCCCAAAATATTTTATTGCTTTTTTTCTTTTTTTTATTACTTTTTCTTAAAAACGGAGCAAGCTAAGATAGAATTAGAAAAATCGTATATCATATACAATTATATTTGCTGCGGTATGTCCTATTTTTTTTCTCCTTGTCCCCTAGTCCGAAAATTCATAAATCCATCAAAATTCGCCTCCCTCAAAAATTCAAAATCCTGTCAAAATGCATCTCTCAAAAATTTTGATGCAGTAACTTGAGCTATGAAACACCCCTGCTCGAATGTGCGATTTTTGCGTGAGAGTTTAATAAATCTCAGGGTCAATGCCAAAGTTTTCTAGATAAATTTAAAAAAAAAAAAAAAAACCTTTGTGATGAAGAGTCAAAAATGATGATTTATGATCTGGTCCATTAAAAATTGTATTGTTTCTAAAAATTAAATCAAGATTAAAAAAAATGTTTAATTTCTCAACAACTTTATTGCAGAGGTATATAGAATAATAAAACATTTATTTAAAAAAATTGAATAACTTTGTTTTAAAAGTTTTGATAGTTTTTTTTTAATTTTAGCACCTCAATATCAAAATGTTTTATCTTAATTTTTACAGTTTGAAATCGGTTTTCGAATTTCTTCATTGTTTGAGTTTTTACATTATGGAGAAAGGGGAAACCTCCTATACACTGTCCCCAATTGCTTCTACTCAATTGAAATAGTCTGGAAATTTAATAAACTATCAAATATATATTCTATATATAATACAACAATATTGACAATTTTCAAATAACAATTCACCGTCTACCCTGTGATTTGTAAATTTTTACTCTCCTCCATTGTTGACTTGAATTATCTGATTTAATTTTATTTAAAAGAAGGGAACATTTATTCACTACATTATAAAACCTAATTAATATTATGTTACTATAATAATTTTTTTTTATGTTACTATAATAATTATAGTAACATAAAAACGTGTAAAGCTATCGAATTACTTTTTGCTTCATTTTGTTCAAAGTTTGAGTTCTACCAATGGGTAGTTTCTCTTCATGTTGTACATGTCATGTTACCAATTTCACATTTACTTATTGTATTTTCTATGTAATACAGTTGTAAATTCCATTAAAATAATAATAATAATAAAAAAATTTGTTCAAAATAAGAAAATAAATAAAGAATATACTTGAGCTTTGAAGTCGCCTGTCTATCTTATGAAAATTTCTTTTCCGAAAATACGAAATTTTGCACCACTGTGTGCCGCCAACACATTCAAACAATCAATGCATGCATGCACTTTGATGTTTCATTCGGCCTTTGAGATATCATATCATTCTCATTATGTTCGAATTTATTATTTTCTTTTTGTTTTCTAATTTTTTTTTTTGTCTTCCATCTTGTTTTATTAACGTTTACTGGCAACCCTCAATCTCCTTCTTCGAGTTGTGAGTTTATTTTCATCATACTGCACCATACCTTCTGTAAGTTACTCTTACCTATCTTTCTTATGTTGTTTAATTTTTTTTTAACAACCTTAGAAGCTGCCAGGTGTAATCTCTAATTCTCTATATTTTGTAATTTTATCATATCATTGCAGTTTTCCTGTCTTTATCTTTTTAAATTTACAACTATTTCGTGTCATTTAAAACCCAACACTCATTATTACAAATATATATATATATATATATATATATATATATATATATATATATATATATATTTAAATTTTACAATAAAAATATGTTTTCAGGAGCTGTTGCCGTTCGGGATAACTTACTATTTGACCACCGTAGGGCTTTGAAAACAAACAATGACAACCTTATTATGTGCAAGAAGCTACTAGTATCCCTTTGTGATATTAACACGGTAAATTTTTACTTAATAAACCCTCAGTTTATTAATTTTAATGTTATACATGTTATAAATTATAAACATAAATTTATTTTCGTATGATATATATTTTTTTTTATCTAGATGGAATTTCAACCGAAATATACCGAATATTTTACAAAGTTTATTCACGTGGCAAGAGATTTGTCACTACCTACACTTGGGCAACTTTTTTATGAATCAAACTACATTTGTGAGTCTGGAAGGTATGTATATAATGTGGCACCACAATTTAAAAAAAAAAAAAATATATTTTTATATATTCAACTAGCTTAACAACTAAAATACTTCACCAACAAGAAATAACAACTTGAATAATTCACACACATATGAACACGAAAAATTTTATATGGGTAATTTTTATTCGCGTGGTAATTTTTTAAGTGCAAAATCGATCACATAAAAAACAAAAAAATAAGTAATATGTCCAACATGTCCCGATACCTCCCTAAGTACCGTACACAGTGAAATACACATTTTTCAGTTTAGATATACTATGTAAATGTAATCGGTAAGTATTAATTTGCTTTGTTCACAACATAAAAGTTTTTTGCAAAAAAACAACAACAGCATTATGGATTATCATTTCGAAAAGTTGTACATTAAAACAACGAAAAGTTAATCCGTATGGATAATTTTCATTTATTTATTTTAAATTTTTATGGGGTTATACATTGTATTAGAATTTCGAGGATTATCCTGACCAAGGTGTATCGGAGAAAAGTCGTGTTGTCAGTGACTTATTTTTTCATAACCTATCGAAAATTCCTTTTTAGTTATAAAAAATTATTAAACAATGAAGCCCACGATGTAATTACTTTCCAAGCTTCCTTAGACAGCATAAATCTTTCGATAGTTTCTTATTTCTATTATTTATTTAATATTCTTATCTGAATAGACACAAGACTTATTTTTTATTTCCTGACCTACGTCATATTAAGTACATAATAATCAAAGGCCAATATATCTGCCCATTATCAGAGAATTGCCTATCCAACATCTACTATTGAGCACTCCTTGCTATTAACTATTCATTGATAAAAAGAGGTGGGGTTATGTATTTGAAGCGTATTGTTGAATTAGAATAAGAAACTGGCACTGATACGGAACAAAATATATTTTCAGTTTTTTTCAACAGTCTTACATCAATTAATGAGACAGATAAACAAGGCCATCCTGCTATCCTGTTATTTCGTTTATTATTTGGTTTCTCTTCTTTATTGGTTCTTTTTTTTAAGAATATGAAATCCGTTAACCTCATTTTTAGTCATATATATGTCTTATTTTTATTGTTTTATATAAGTAATTTTTATTATTTTTAGGATGCACATGCTAGATGCCTTGCCTTACATCAGAAGCAGGGCTTCAACAAAGATTATGACAGATATAATTACGGACGGAACTACAAACAATGCCACTATTACTGAATGGCTATTCATAATGGCTTTCGTCCCTAGGTATGTAATAATAATGTACTTTCTGTACTCCTATAATTGAGAAATAAATACATTTTTTTTAAAGTTAAAAACTTTCGTCCTTTACATTGTACATATGCACAAAAAAGTTATTATTCCAATAATATTCTTTTCTAGGCCTGATGCTGAAACCATAGATGCTGTGGCGAAATTAGTACTATCAGCAAACTGGACAGCACCCGCTGCTCTCACAGTTTCAACAATGATACACAACTTCTGTCAAAGAAGCAAGAATTGCAATAAACAGGAGTCGGTCGTTAAAGTTATGGAAAAACTTGAAGATGTAACAAGTGAATCCTGTGGATCTCATAATCATAATGAGAAGGTTGAACATAATATTTATTATGTTATGAATGTTCATTATAAAACCATTATTTCTTTCTTTTCAATTCTCTGCGAATATGTTTTAATGAAGTTTAGTTTATTGAATTTTGAAAACTAGAGTTTTCTGAAGATGGTTGGGAAGTTAGTTGGATTTTGCATTCAGTTCGAAACACAAATAAAAAAAAATCTAAAATGATGGAATAATGTAATGTAAGAGCTATGTCCATATGGATTGATCAGTATGCTGTTTATAAAGCAAACCCTCTAGGGCCATAATATATATAATAGGGCAGCATTACATTTCAATAAAGTATTTATTTCTTGTACCGACGTTTTGGCCTAAGTTTCATCTGAGCCCTAAGTTTCAGGGCTCAGAAAAAAAGGAAGATTAAAAAAAAAAAATTTCCTACTTTCGTGCTGGAAATCCATTGTTTATATAAACATTTTTGCATCTCTTAAGATCTGCTATTACTCCTCAAGATCTACGAAAATGTTCAAATAAACAATGGGTCAATTTTAAGCAGGAAAGTATTAAATCCAAGTTTTGTGTATTTTTAAGTAAGTCATGCTTTTTATTGAATAGGAAGCAATGACAAAATAAATATTTAATTAGTAATTAACTATTGTTTCAATGTGAACTAGACAAAATTTACTTTAAATGAAGATAAAGTTTGTCATAGTTAAAACCATTTAAAGCAATGGTAATTTTGAGTTCCGTTTTTTAAAAAAAACAGAAATTATTAGCGATTTTTTTTTTTTATAATACAGATACCCCACTTTTAGAAGACCTTCCTCTTTTAATAAACTTTAAACCCATATTATTTAAGATAAGGTTTATTATAGAAAAACTTCAGATTCACCATAAGTTATGCAAAAAAATTATGTGATTTTTTATCATGTTAAGTAAAAGTACCCACCTTCTTTTTTTTTTTTTTTTCTTTTTTTTCCATTATCTAGGATATTTTATAATTAAGAAAATTACCTTATAAATTTGATTCACGTTTTCATGAAAATAATTGAAAAGATTAGCCATTCTCAATATTTTAGAACTAGAAAGGTTTGTTTCGTCACTTACAAATGCGGATCAATTCCTACTATGCAGATGTTAATATTTTTATTTTCACTTTAGAATAGGAACAATCAAAAAAAATTTATTTTTTTACTATTTTTGTTTTTTAATAAGACGTTTATTTAGGAAATTTTGTTTATTAATAAAACACATCCTAGATCATGGAGAAACAAGAAATAAAAGCTTTGCAACATGTAATTGTACTCATTCTTCACGGGTACTTTTAGGTGACAGGATAAAAAATCACATTTTTTTTTTTTAAAACAATTTGAAGTCAATCTCATGATTTTGCCATATTAACCTCAACTTAGTTAATATGGACTTGAAGCTTATTAAAAGAGAAGGTCATCAAAAATTGAGGTATCTGTAGATACCTCTGTTGGATCTGTTGGATGAGGATAAAAAAATAATATTAATTTATGATATTTTTTTAAACATAATCTAGCTTAGTTTAGCCACTCAAAACTATCATTGTTTTAAATGGTTTTAACAATGACAAACTCATTTGAAGTAAATTTTGTCTAGTTCACATTGAAGTAATTGTTAATTACTTGTTTTTTTAAATCATAAACTATTAGCGATTTATACATACATACACAAATATATATATATATATATATATATATATATATATATATATATATATATATACATAAATGCACAAGAATCGATTTATTGTTTTAGGTATACAGCGCTCTCAAAGCTATTGGTAACGCAGGTGTCGCAACGGATACCTTAAACCTGACGCTTCAGGACTGTATTAAGAATCCTTCAATGCCTACCGATGTAAAAATTTTATCAATTGAAGCACACAGGCAAGTAATTTTCAAATATTTATGTTTTCTCATCATAGTTCCTGATGATTTTCTAAATTGTTAATTAATTTATCTATAAACCTTTATTAACATTCGTCACTTTACTAAAGAGTATTCATGTATGAAGAGAAGTTCATGAACCCCTTTCGTAATGTGTAGGACAACCATCTAATTGAAGGCACATGTCCCTTCTCAGTTGTAGTGGAATATGTTCAACTAGATCATAGTAATCATTATTAAGAGTTTCCATGGAGCTAAAGTTAGACTTGTTTGGTAATCAACCATTAAATCGCCTGGCATATTCACGACGGACAGTATTAGCATTACCATTATAAAAACCCTATACAACCACCATATCGGCATATTCACCATTAGTATACATGGAAGGCATAATGATAAGTACTCTGCGAAAGCCTCTTAGTCTCTTACAATCTGATGAATGTTATTGAGAGTTCCCAATACTAATTCCAAATAGTATTAATCCTTATGTTGTCAATATTTTTTATACAGTTAGGAATAAAAGGCCATATTAGTATTCTATCTAATTTAACAAAGCGTTTGCGGATATACCTTAACTTTGGCTTTGAACAACATTTAATATGAATGTTAATGTTTACATTTAATCAATAAAGTAGCTAGAACAAATAAATAGGTTTTATTTATTTCATAGAACGGAAATAATTGATAACAACGAAAATCTTTAGCTGTGAATATCTCCTAAACAAATCGTTTATGCACATACCTTCAGAGGAATTTTTTTTTATTGTTTTGAGGTCCTTAGTTCATTTTTGCAGTTTGGCCACTTACCCCTGAAACATCCTGTATGTATAAAAATAAATAAATTAAACAGGTAACAGAATTAAAACGGAAAAATGTGAAACAGCATAGTATTACCAGAATAATTCAAACAAAAAATTAAGAAAATATATATGTACATATATATATGTATGAATGTGTGACAAGATAGATTTTGTTTTTACTTAAATTTAATTTTCTTAATTTTTTGTTTGAATTGTTCTGGTAATACTGTTTCACATTTTTCCGTTTTAATTCTGTTACCTGTTTAATTTATTTATTTTTATAAATGTATATATATATATATATATATATATATATATATATATATATAAAGCGTTAAGTTATACACAGTGATGTACATGTATGCCTGCTATTATATATACATACATGTGTATATGCTTCCTGAATAGAGATAAAAAATAGCAAAAACCAGTTCTAGAAATTGTAATAATGTTTATGTTTTTCATGTTCAAGATTTTAATATATATATATATATATATATATATATATATATATATATATATATATATATATTATATATATATATATATATATATATATATATATATATATACATTGTAATAATTTATATTTTTACCATTTTTACCTTTTTTAAAAATATATTTCAGGCGATTACCATGTGAAACCAACCGAGAATTTCTTCTTGATCTTTTTAAAAATCGTTCGGCCGAAGGTGAAGTAAGAATATCTGCCTACCTTCAGATCATGCGGTGTCCAACATATGCTATTTTAAAAGCAATTAAGACAACCTTAGAAAGCGAAGAATTCAACCAGGGTAACGTGGTATTATACTCCCACAATAAAAACAATTATTATTTCAAATATATATATATATATATATATATATATATATATATATATATATATATATATATATATATATATATATATATATATATGTATATATTTGAAATTCTTTTAGACCTATCTAAAAAATACGTCATCAATTGTTTTTACTTGATGCTCCAACGTAGATTGTGAATTATTATTTTTAATTTGGTTTAATCTTCTTTGTAATGAATTTATTACTACAATTAATTTTAATATTATTGTTATACTAATGAAATTTATATATATATATATATATATATATATATATATTTTTTTTTTTTTATCTGCATAAAAACAATACTTTGTTTGTCTAGTTGGTTCATTCGTGTGGAGTCATTTGAAGACAACCATGAAATCATCATTTCCGAATCGTGTAGAGGTACAAGCAATGCTTGAAGATGAACATTTCAATGATAAGTTCGACAAAGATTTTAGAAAATACTCAAGAAATTACGAAAGTTCATTCTACCTCAATCAGTACGGAGTGGGTAAGCTACGTGCCACATTTTTACATTAACGAAAAACTATAAACTGGCACTTTCTCATTAGTATAATGGCTTCTTTTTTCTTTTCTTTTTTAGGTGGATTCATGGAAACTAACATATTGTTTTCACGTAAATCATTTATTCCAAAAATAGTCAATTTTAATATCACCATAAACCTGTTTGGAGAAACCTTAAATATTTGTGAGGTATAGTAAGTTCAGACTTTAAAAAAAGTGAATTTTCTAATTACAAACAAATAGATAATTTGAGAATTATTATGAATAATAATTAGGCACTAATTATTGGTGTTAATGAATATTAACTTTTATTCGAATTTTATTACATTAAGAATAACATATATTATAATGACGAATTATTGATTTTATTTGTGATGGAATATTATTTTACAAATAAAATATAGATATTACTACAATTTTACATTCCAGATTTTGAGTCTAGTATTTACGATAAAATGATTAGTTTATAAAATTAAATACAGCGCAAACAATGCATATAAAATTAGGAGAATTTTTTCACAACAATAATTAAAAAAATGTTTTTTTTTATATTAAACAGATATTAAACAGGCAACAATATAAATATACATTAAAAATTAATTTGAAATAGTAAATTATACCACTTAACTGTTTGTTGAACAACCTGTTATGAAACAGTACAGTATGTTTGTCTTTTACATACTGTCCATTTTAACACGTTGACTGCGGGTACGGTCCACGCTGTCTGTCACATATAATGATTATTTACGTTTGTATATATATCTTTATATCTATCCGATTCCCATTCAAATATTTTTTATCATGACCATTTTACCACTTCGTAAGATAGGCGAAATTCGAAACAGCCCGGCCGAAATCGATACGAATATCAGAACCCGGGAGACCTGCTAATATATCTTCCGCACTACTATCATATCTTGATTCGACAATAGACAGCTTTAGGTTAGGTACTTGTTGCTTGGATCAACAAATTTGTTCTAGTGAATCAAAAGTTTATGTATTGAATCAGTTGTAAAGCAGCTACATTCTTTAAATTTTATAGTTAAAGCAGCATCTTTTATGAGTGCGTTAATATAATCATGGCTTGAAACCTTGATACGACGATGGATCTTTATTTGATTAAATTATACAGATTCTTATGTGTCTGGCATTTGAACTAGAATTTATCGCTCTTCTATGTCCTTCAACGCACTATGGTCCCTCGTGTTTTCTATAATTTATTCTATTAACCTGATCAGACCTTGGAGGGAAAAAACGTGAAAAAAACTCTTGGCATTCCAGAGCTACGCAACAAATTCCTTTACTTGAATGACCCAATTATATACCGTATTAAGTTTTCCTCAGGATGAATCCAAAACTCTAAGCCTAATAAAGCATTACCTAGGTAGTCTCTCGTCACTAATCAAGCTCAGTTTCGTTCAGTAATTCATTACTTTTTTAATACTTAGTGAGTTACATTGTTAAGTGTATTTCTTCGTCAATGGAACAACGACTTTAAAAACTTAACTTGCGAGATCTCGGAAGCATAGACTAATTTAGTTTCGAGTAAAAGAAGCTGAATTTGATCTTCTAAGAATACTTTTTAGCATTTCTTAGAATTCCCATTAAATAGGCGCTGCAACAAATGATCTTTGCAAAAGTTTTCTGTAGCTTTTTCAAATCTTCCGGAGTAGGAAGAGAAAGAAAAAGAGGAAAAGAGTAGGAATTACAATATCCTCAGCAAACAAAAGCACACATCACTGGTTTTTACAAAACTTTTTATCATTTTATATCAGTGTTTTTACAAAACTGTGGGCAACTCTCAACTTATTTCGTAGCAAACCCTTAACATAACTAATATGGACTTGAATTAATCAATCATTTGATTATCATGTGTACCTGATTAAGTAGTTAAGAATATGCTTAATTACTATTTTTGAGATTTAATTTTTGGTAAAATGAATTGCTTTAACAGAAATTTTATATAAAAGTTTGTGTTTTTTAAATAAAAGTTGAGTGAAACCTAAAATAAAATAAAAGTGAAACCTTTACTTAAGTCGCAAGGACAAATTCGAATTCGAATGACTCATAATAGAAAATATAATAATAGAAAATAACAATACTCAATCATTCCCAAACACCTTTAAAACAAGTTAAAATTTCATTTCGAACCCAGTTTAAAACTTATTAAATAAGAAAGTTTTTATAAAAGAGGGGATTTTATAGTCACATTGTAGTAGGCAGATAAACAAAATCGGGAATATCTCACAATTTTATGAAATGTAGAACTGGAAATGTTGTTTAGCCGCTCAAAAGACCCCATAAAAAGTTTTCAATAAATACAGATTCTTATGCAACTGAAAGAAAATTTTGACTAGTTTACTGTACTGTAATTGTTGATTACCTAAATTAAAAAAATATGTTAAGTGCCGTTTGGTAATCAACACGCAAATGTGATATTTTTTAAAGAATAAGTGTATTTCTTCGCAGAGATTATTGAGTTTCAAAAGTATCAAAAATTGAATTATTCTTATTAAAATACACATAAAAAACCAATCCTAACTCCATTTCTCTTAAATATAATGATTCCATTGTCTTATTAACAGGTGACATTCTTTATCCAAGGAATGGATGCAGTTGCGGAAAAGATATTCAATAACAATGCGCTATTCAATAAAGAGTTATTTGAAAAAGCGTTAAAACTTGTCCGTATTATAAGAAATTCGCCAAATCCAATACAGGCTCTTATTGACGAACTTCCGTATTTTCCAGCTATCGATGATATTAAGGTAAATAATATGGATTCATTATAAATATATTTAAAGTTAATATTTTCAGTCTTTCTGTTCTGAATAATTTATCAATTTTTTTTTTTTAATTTCTTTATTGAGTATTATAACAATCTGTCTGTTGGACATTGGTTATAGTGAGGTAGGATGACATTCACACCATATGTACAAAAAAATAAAATAAATAGAACAAAATAATAATCAAAAGTATATACAATAGACAATAAAATAAAATAACCTAAAAAATAAGAAAATTAAAACTAAGGAGAAAAAAAAAAAAAAACATATGCATACATATATACAATCAGGCGAAGGAACTCCAGGAGAACCCTGCGCTACTCTCCCAACCGCGTCACTGGTACTAAAGCCAGCGGAGATTGGTCGAGAGCACTTTAGCCACATACACACATGTCTTGAGTGAAGAATCTGGCCATTGCCAGAACTCCAATTTATATAATCTACAAAAGGTCGCGAGGCCACTGCCGTTTCAACCTTCTTGGAGGATTATAGGGATGGGAGATGCTTGATAGGGATTGTGCAAGAGGATTTGGGTGGTAAGTAAGGTTCTGGTGAAATTTGGAGAATTTTTCTGGGATAAGGTCTAGGACAAATGGGATGTTAAGGTCATGATGTAGGGTTTTGTTGGATACATAGAAAGGAGCATCGACTATTGTTCGAAGGACTTTAGACTGGAAGGATTGGATGCGCTTGATGTTAGAAAATTTTGCTGATCCCCACAGTTCTAGTCCGTAAGTCCAAATAGGTTTCAGTATTGTCTTGTAGATCAGTAGCTTGTTTTCAATGGAAAGTTTAGATTTTCTGCTTAGTAGTCGGTATAGTTGGCCGTATCGTCGGTTGAGTTCTTGTCTTTTGAGTCTAGTATGCGGGTTCCAAGTTAGTCTTCGGTCTAAATGAAAGCCAAGATACCGGACTGTGTCTGAATAAGGAAGCTGGATGGAATTAAAGAGTACTGGTGGACAGGAATTGCGTGGGAGTGTAAAGGTAATATGTTGGCATTTAGATTCATTAACTTTAATGCGCCAGTTATTACACCAGTGCTCAATCAAGGTGAGGTGACTTTGGAGATTTAAGGATGCTATTTCGGGATCAGAGTTGGATGATAAGATTGCGGTGTCGTCAGCGAATGTTGCAAGAAAAGTATCGGGATGAACAGGGATGTCAGCAGTAAAGAGGATGTAAAGCACGGGACCCAAGACGCTGCCTTGGAGAACACCGGCTTTAACGGAGTAGATATTGGAAAATTCTGTTCCACAGCGAACTCGAAAGGAGCGGTCAGAGAGGTAGGATCGGAGGACTAGGTACAAGGACTGAGGTAAATGGATTTTAAGCTTGGAGAGCAGTCCGGAGTGCCATACCCGGTCAAATGCCTGTGCAATGTCCAGAAAGGCACCCGAACAGTATTCCTTGTTTTCTAGGGCTGAGGAAATATGATCAACAACTCGGAGTCCTTGTTGAACAGTAGAATGTTGAGAGCGAAAACCAAACTGATGGGAAGGGATATTTTGGGATTCTATAATGGGTAGGATTCGTTTCAAAAGGATCTTTTCAAAAATTTTTGAAAGGATTGGGAGTAGGCTGATTGGTCTATAGGATGTTGAGCTATTGAGAGGTTTTCCTGGTTTTGGGAAAAGGATAATAGTGGAGTGTTTCCATAACAGAGGGAAGTGGGTGGTGCGTAGGATACAATTGTAGATATATGTAAGGAATATGACTGCTTTGGATGGAAGTTGTCGAAGGATTTAAGGTGTAAGGAGATCATGTCCAGGAGCTTTACGGGGGATTAGTTTTTTTAATTGAAATTTTACTTCGGAAGGATGAATAGCTTTTGGGGGCAAGGAAAGTGGGATTGGTGATGTAAGGAGTTCTTCTACTGTTACGGTGTGGGCAGGATGGGATTCCGGATGTGAAATAAATGTATTGGATAGGTGAATGGCGAACTCCTCAGCTTTATCTTCGCCAGATGCTGCCCAGGAGCCATCACCTCGTCGGAGAGGATGGGAAATGCGGTGAGGATTTAGGATTTTTGTTGTGGTTTCCCAAAGGGAATTGTCGCGAGAAGAGAGGGAGGATAGGTAGGAGTTGAAGGATTGTCATCTGAAGGTGGCTAATTCCAGTTTTAATTGTTTGCAGTAGTAATTATAGGAGCAGCGGTCGGTAGGATGTCGGGTACGTTGCCATAATAATCTGGCACGGCGTTTGGTGCGGATTAGGTTAAGGAGGTGTTGGGGTAGAATGGTCTTTATAGGAATTCTGGAGGAGTCTTTTGGGAAGGAGGCAGTCCAGGCGGCTTGTTGGATTGTGGTAGTAAAGGAATTTACGGCACTATCAAGGTCATCGGGAGTTTTGAGGGATATGTTGAGATCAATATTATCGGAGATTATTTGGCGGAAAAGGTCTCAGTTTACTGGGCCCCTAATGAATGACGGTGGAGAAGGTTTGGGAACAGGTTCAAGTGAAACATTAAGGATTAGAGGACTATGGTCAGAGGAAAGTTCATTTAGCCGTGTAATGGAACAATTGAGGGGACTTAAGCCGCTGTGGATAAAGAAATCAAGAAGATCAGGATTACGGTTGGGATCTGTGGGCCAGTAGGTAGGAGAGTTGGGAGAAAGGAGGTGAAAACGTTGGGAATTGAGTGCAGACAGCAGGGTTCGGCCACGAGAATTAGTGGTTCTGGAACCCCATTGTTGGTGCTTGGCATTTAGGTCTGCACCAAAGATGAAGTGATGTCCTAAGGAGTCGAGGAGAGAACTGAATTGGGCATTGGATATGGATCGGTTAGGAGGGCAATACGCTGATGCAAGAGTGACCGGAAAGGAGAAGGTTTTTATCACGATAGCGGTGGACTGTAGGAAATCATGTATTGGTAATGGGAGTACGTGATGGGAGAGGGATTGGTGTACAATTACAGCAGTACCGGCATGTGCTTTTCCGTCAGGGTGGTCAGTACGATATGTCAGGTATTGTGGTATATTGAAGTGCTGTTTAGTGGTTAGTCGAGTTTCAGTAATTAGTGCCACATCAATGTTCTTGTCAAGTAGTAAAGTAGATAGTTCGTCTGTATGATTTCTAACACCATTCGCATTCCAAAGGAGAATGGATATGGGTTTAGGGATGTGAGTCATTTAAGGATTTTTCAAAGGAGGGATGAGGTGAGATACGAGATTCGTGAGGAGTGATATGAGTGGAGTAACAAGGGATTTGAAATCGGTGAGGAAAGATGCTAACAAACTTGTGAGATCTGTTGCATTTAAGGGAGGAGGAATATGTGGAATTTGTTGTTGGTGGTTAGGTATATTAGGATGAAGAGGATTTTGAGGTTGGGTTTGAGGTTGTTGTGGCAGGGCTTGACATTTATCGGTTAAAGTCTTACCTCTAAGTAGTTGGGAGAATGATACATCATTGTTTACAATTCTGGAAGGCTCTCTCTCTCTTCTTGTTCTTAGTGCTTCATCTTGAATCCGGTTTTTCTGGTGTCTGGTTTTGAGATTCTTGTAAATTTGGCAGCCTTTGTAGTTGGCCGGGTGTCCCTCCAAGCATAGGGCACATACTGCTGGATCTTGTATAGGTTTGGTGCACTCTACAGATTTGTGCTGTTCACCGCACTTCACGCAACGCGGCAGATGGTGGCAATATGTCTTCGTGTGGCCATAGGTCTGACAATTATGGCACTGCACGATGTCTCTCTTGGGATATGGCTTCTCAACTTTCACCATTGTGTAGTATATTCTTGTGATATCATATATTTTTTCGATACCTGGTGATGGCTCCAAGTCCACGAAAAACAATGGTAGTGGGATCCTATTTCGTAATCCTGGCTGCTCCCTGTCCTCCTTCAAAACGTTTGTTACCTGGCGTACATTGAAACCAAGCGTCGTTAGTTCTTCTTTAATAACTTCAGTGGGGGTTGAGGAATGTAAATTTCTTATCACTACTCGTAAAGCTCTTTCCTGCCTCAGCTGGTAAGTGTGCAAATTCGCATTTGTTTCTGATAAGTACTTCACTATTTTTCGGTAGGCTTCTGCAGAATCAGGAGTTATTTTGGTGTCATTGGTCCTGTTAAGGCATGAATAACTGCCAGAGCAGATTTTATTTAGTTGGGTGCAGAACATCTGGAATTTTTTTATATTTTTCACAAATATCGGAGGAGGCTTTGGTTCTCTGGGTATTGCTGCAGACTCCATTACTTCTCTGTCATTTTGAAGCACTTGGTAGGGGTTTGGAGTAAAGAAAGGTGATTCTTCAATCGTTTCTTGTGCAGACGTACCTGGTTGGGGCTGAGGTTCTGGTTCTGAAGTGTTCATTTTGGTCACTGGAGGTATTTCTCGTAGGCAGCGACGAGTTCTTTGTTTGGCTGGTGAGCTAACTCCGTCTGACCGAGACCTCTTGGGCACCTTACTGGCCATCACTTGCTGATCATACCGCATATCATAAGAGAAAAAAAAATAAATAAATAAAAAAAAAAAAATTTTTTTTTTTTTTTCTTAAAATAACAAAAAAAAAAGATGCCAACAGTAAATATCAACTGCTCTGATATACACTTAACTGTATCACGTGAATAATCAGAGAGATTCCGCTATAAAATTGGTAAAAACTGAGAGAGGGTAAAAACTTATCAATTAAATGTGTATATATACATATGTGTGTGTGTGTGTTAGACAAGTGCAATGAGTAGAATGTTAATTTATACCATATGTTCATACATTACTAGCTGGCATGTGATAGTTTAGAAAGAAATGGGATCAATGAAAATTTAATGATCTTACGTTGCACTATAAAACTAATAAGACTGGTAAATATGACCCTGCAAAACAATAGAGGTTTAGTCCAGAGAATTTGCTATTCCAAAAGGGTCAAACACGGAAATCCCTTAGCCCCACTGTTATTCAACACGAGGATTGAGAGGATTATGGGAGCAGCTAAAATAAAGGACGAAGGATGTATATATAACAATATGAATGCCAAGCATATGCCGACGATGTGGTCGTAACAGGAAATAATCAAGATTCACTCTTAAAGACAGTTATGGAAGGTGAAGAGGCAGCTAGGAAGGGAGGACTTATAATGAACGAAATCATAATAAAATATATGTTACCTCCCAGAAAAGGCGCAACAAGTAGATGTCTATTGCGAGGAGGGTGTAGTTTTGAAAGTGTGGATAAATTCAAGTATCTTAGTAAAATTTTAACCAACGACAACAAAATGGAGGAAGAAATAAAAACAAGGATCGGGAATGGAAATAAATGTTATTGATTTCTCCGAAAGTTTTGCAAAATAAAGAGATACCCCAAAACCTCAAAATAAGGGTATTTATGACGATAATTCGTCCTGTTGTCACGTATAATACTGAGGTATAGACACTAACCAAGCAGCAAGAGAAGTTTCTGAGTACATGGGAGAGAGTCAGAGAATAATATACGGCCCAAACACAGAAGAAAGTCGTTAATGAATAAAAACCAAAATCAGAACCTTAGGACCTATATGGGGAACCTGACGTAGTTTCTTCCATTACAAAGGTGAAAATGAGATGGCTAGGCCATGTTTATCGCATGGATAAAAAAAAAAAAAACTAGCAAAGCGAATAATGGAAGGACTTAATGATGGAGAAAGAAGAAAAGGCAGGTCAAGACTACGATGTAGAATTAGGATGATGTAAGCCCTGAAGTCACTAGGGATGAGACATTCGAGAGAAGCGGCAGGGTATCGGTCTGAGTGAAGGAAAGTTACTGAGGAAGCCAAGGTCTTTCAAGATCCATACTGATAAAGGAAGAAAAGAAGAAAATATATATATATATATGTGCCCAGGTTCGAATCCCGGCTAATGGCAGAAAATTTATTTATCTGTTTCATTGGCCGTGGGGCGACCCTGGGTCGGGAGACCCTCCTGGGGCACACCCAGCCTCTATAAAGTGGGTACCCTTAATTAAATGATTGATTAAGGGGAAAAACCTGGCGGCTGAGTGTGATCTCGGTCAAATCACCTCCTTGCACAACCGTTGACCTAGAAATAGTGCTTTCCCTAAATAGTACTGAACCCTAGACCCTTCATGGGTTGTAATGGTAAGAAGTTTTATATATATATATATATATATATATATATATATATATATATATGTGTGTGTGTGTGTGTATGTGTATGTATATGTATACATTGGTTTTGTTATTCCAGTACTGAAAAAGATCCAATTGTTAGTACAAGAAGGAAAAATGGGATCGATACGTCAATAATAAACACTGAAATCAATATAGTATATTGAATTATAGCTAATTTAATGAACTAACACCCGATTAAAAGAAATATTTTAAAACATAATACTTAAAGGTCAATTAAAATTTTTTTGTTATATTATTATATTTATATATAAACATAATTATGTATTTCTTAGAAATTTGCATGAATCATTCAGTAGCATATTATATGCATTACATTTTTATTCAAACATTATATATATATATATATATATATATATATATATATATATATATATATATATATATATATATATAAAATAGCTTATTACAAAATTTGATGGCTAAAGATATTTAAAAGGAATGGTACTAAAAGTATATTACAAAGAGAAAATTAAAAAATTATTAAATTAAATAAATAACAGTATCTGATGAGTATATATATATATATATATATATATATATATATATATATATGGTTCTGTAAATTTAATACAAAGTTATCCAGTAAGTTATACTTTTATTAATGAATGAAAGCAAAACTATTTATTTAATATTTCAATATTTTTTAGATTTCAGTTTCATTGAAAATGTTTGGTAATGAATTGAGCTATTCCCAGATAGTTGGTATTGATCAATTTCTAGAAGAATTGAAAAAGCTTAATCCTATGAGGATCATACGAAATTTCTTCAGTGGGCAGGTTAGCTAATTTTATGAAATGCTTTGTTAATAATTATTATATATCTATTTAATTAAAATATTAAACTTTATAAATCATTGCGTCAACCAAATTTGTGAATTTTCCTTTCTATATGTTGTTTCTATTTTCGTTTTATTTAAGGTAAAAAATGATAAATGGATAAACTGAACTTTATGTCTAATGTTTTAGCTAACATAATTATAATGTAATATCTGTTTCAGGAAATCAGTTTTAAAACATCATCTATGCTGGTGGATATATATTATGTTACGCCAATGATGATCGGGCTTCCTCTAAGGCTCAATTCAATTGGTACCGCGACGATAAAGATTGACGCCAAAGGCCTCATCAATGCAACTAAATTCTCTTCCGATAAGGAATTATTCCTGAAAGGCAAGTTAGTACCTAGTATAGGTTTGAGCTTAAAAGCTGCCATGGAGGTGGATGCATTCGTCGCAACAACAGGAATCAAGTTCAAGGGTACAGTGTATACATCAACAGCCCTCGAAGGAAGCTTTGTAACAAAGAAGAATCTGACGTTTGTACAAACCACATTCAATTTGCCTCTTGAAAAGTCCGACATCGTTCATGCTGAGTGAGTTGTATTCGTAAAATATAGTTTTGATGTGAATCATAATCCCTGGCTTTACAATATCTTTTACTGCACAGGACGCACCTGATACTGATAGTAAACGACGATGAGAGGGAATTGGCTGGAATCACTGCCGGTCGAGAGGAGAAACGAATGTGTTCCTGGTCTATAATAGACGAGACGATTGGCTTGAAGTTGTGTGCCCATACCTTACTGCCTAATAAAGAGCAACTTCTCAAGTCTCCCTTATTCCTCTTCAGTGGACCGCTAAAACTCGGAGTGACATTAGAGAAGTCTGACCCGACAGCGAAATTATATATTGTGGAATACAAGTTGGATAATGTTAACGTAAGTAATGATTAGTGTTGCCCAAATACGAGACCAAGACGAGTCTTGGTACTGTAATTAGCCTTAATGTAATTTTCCAGGTAGGGGAAACCTAACTAAGCTCAAATGAAAAATTGGAAGAGTTAAATCCAAAAGTATTTTGTTTATGACTATTCTTCACGCATAGTAACTAAAATTGTATAGTATTAGTAACTATTTTGCCATTAATATTTATTCACAAAACGATTATTTTTTTCATTATTCTTGGGTCTTGCAACAGCTAGGTGTTCTTGTTCTTGGCCTTGCAAAGTGGATCACAAGGCCATCTTCTTTTCAGACTCCTAGGAGGGTTATCAGGGATTGAGGAGGAAGCAAGGTTATAAACGAGAGGATTATAATGGTTCTGAAGTTTATTATGGAATGATAGGTATCTGGATTGGGCCAAATCGGAAACATTTGGAACATTCAGGTCATTATGGATTATTTTATTTGTTGTAACAAATTGTGTACAGTAAGGAGCATTAAGGATTTTACGAAGGTTTTTGGATTGTAAATGTTGGATACGAGAGGAATTCGATGGTTTAGTGGATCCCCAAAGCTCAACTCCGTAAGACCGAATAGGTCTTTTCACGGTCATTTATATGAGTCTTTTGTAATAAATTGAAAGGTTAGAGTGTTTGTCTAGTAAGTGCTGAAACGTCGAGCGGTTTCTTGTCGTTTCAGTCTGGTATGAGGATTCCAAGTTATACTTTTGTCCATGTGGAGGCCTAGGTATTTGTTCAACTGGGATAAGTGGGGTATTATTAAAGGGTACTGTAGGACAGGAAGTCATAGGTTTACGACGAAAGGTAAAGGTAATTTGGTGTGATTTATTGGAATGTTCACTGGAAGGTTTGTGATGTGGGATTGAAGGGTTTGGGATGCAATTGTTGAGTCGTTATGAACTGATAGGACACATGTGTCATCGGTATGGGTTGTAATAACGGTGTTTGGATGGGTTGGGATGTCAGCTGTATAGACTTTGTAAAGAAAAGGACCTAGGATACCACCTTGAGGAACTCCAGTGAACTGAGAAAAGAGCGATGAATAGGCATTGTTGTGATTTACTTTGAAGGATCTATTCGTAAGGTAGGAACGAATAATGAAGAAATATGTAGGTAGTAAGAATTTACGGAGTTTGTACAGCAGTCTCGGGTACCAGACTCTATCAAACGCCGGCTCAACGTCGATAAAGACTCCCCTGCAGTACATCCTGCGCTCCAATGCAGAGGAGACTACGTCAATCACACGACGGCATTGCTGGATAGTGGATAGTGGATAGTGGAATGGGAAGTGCGGAATCAACATTGGTAATCAGGGATTATATGATTAGAATCTAGGATGGGATACAGGCATTTTAGGATGAGTTTTTCCAGAATTTTGCCCTTGATGTTTAATAGAGACATAAGTCGGTAAGAGCATGGGTGTTCGTGCAGTTTTTTTGGGGGGTCTATCATTTTAACAATAGATAGTTTCCAGGGATCTAGAAAATATGTGGATCGGAGTACAGCATTACATATGTAGGTAAGGGACAGAATGGCTTTCCGAGGAAGCAATTTTAAGATCTTTAAGATCTATCTTTTTTTATTTCACAGAAGAGAACATTTCAATTATGCTGCTAAATATATATTTGAAATATAAAAGTATATTAATTAATTAATTACATAAATAATTCTTAAGAACATGCACCTTTATTGAGTATAGTAATTAAAATATTATTGTTTTTTATATATTAATTATATAACTATAATTAAATATATTTAATACTATACAATATTTAATACTATACAATATTTTAAATACGGGAAATTATGATCTATGTCCTCCTTCTGAGTACCAGAGTGCTGAACCGTTAATAGAAGGACCAAGTAAAGAGGAAGTTGAAGTAGCTATCGGAAAATTAAAATCATATAAAGCAGCGGGAATCGATAATATTCCTACTGAACTAATTAAGGCATGCGGGGAAGCTGGAGTTTCTAAAATACATCAGTTGGTTAAAAAGATCTGGGTGAACGAGAAATTACCTGAAGAATGGAAAGAATCTATTCTTATTCCGATTCACAAAAAGGGTCCGAGGACGGATTGTAATAACTATCGAGGAATTTCACTCCTTCCGGTATGTTATAAAATATTCACTTTAATCTTAACCAGTCGAATCACGGAATACGCCGAGGAAATTATCGGAGACTACCAATGCGGATTTAGACGGAATCGTTCGACAATTGATCAAATATTTTCTTTACGGCAAATATTAGAGAAAAAATTAGAGTATAACGGTATTGTTCACCAGCTGTATATAGATTTTAAAAAGGCTTACGATTCTATTGACCGCCAGAAACTGTATAATATTCTAATCGAGCAGGGGATTCCAAAAAAACTAGTAAATCTAGTCAGGATGTGCTTGACGGAGACACTCAATAAAGTTAGAATCGGTAATAATTTGTCCGAAAAATTTGAGGTTCGTTCGGGCTTAAAACAGGGGGATTCTCTTTCGCCTGTCCTGTTCAATTTGGCATTAGAACATGCCATTAGGGAGGTAATGCGAACCGAGAAAGGGTTGGATCTGGGCGGGACAACATCCGTGCTGGGCTATGCTGATGATCTGGTACTGTTAAGCGAAGACGTTGAAACTATAAAACTAAATACGACAACGTTAATGAAAGCCGGTAAAGAACTAGGACTCGAAATAAACGTGGATAAAACAAAATATATGGTTAGCTGCAAAAATGGCGATACTACTGGTGATATCGATATAGATGGTAATATGTTTGAACAGGTAGATAAATTTAGGTATCTAGGTTCTACGATAACTAGAAAAAACGAAATTGAAGAAGAGATTAAGGTTAGACTGAAGGCGGGGAATGCTTGTTATTTTTCTGTGACAAAACTACTTAGTTCGCGCCTCTTGTCCCGAAACTTAAAAATTAGAATCTATAAAACAATTATCTTGCCTACAGTTCTCTATGGATGCGAAACTTGGCCGCTTACATTAAGGGATGAGCAGCGTCTTAAGGTTTTTGAAAATAAAGTATTGCGTAGAATATTCGGACCGAAGAAGGATGAGTTAACCGGAGAGTTCAGACGGTTACATAACGCCGAATTGCGTGAGCTGTATCCGGGTAATATAATTGATGTAATTTCGTCGCGGCGAATCAAATGGGCTTGTAAAGTTGTTGAGCTTAGTAACGAGAGAATTCCTAAAAGGTTAATATTTGCTGTGCCGAATGGTAAGCGTCCGAGGGATAGACCGAAGCGAAGGTGGGGAGATTGCATTAAAGCCGATCTGAAGGGACTGGGTTTGGACGGCGAACGGTGGAGGGAGGTGTGTAATAAGCGATTGGTGGTGTCGGCATCGAACCTTCGGGTTCGCTAAGCCTTATTATTATTATTATTTATTATTGTTTTTTATATAATTAACTTTTTTTTCTGTTTAAAGAATAAAACTGTGCTGATGTTTAAATTTGATACACCAGGATCAAATACAAAAAGAGCAATGACCGCCATGATAGATCTTGATCCACAAACTCAAAACCTGACTTTAGCCTACAAATCAAGCTTGAGTCAAGTGCAAGCTGAAGGTAATTTGTAAATATATTCATCATTTAGTTTATATATATATATATATATATATATATATATATATATATATATATATATATATATATATATATATATATATAGGGATATAATATAGGGATCATTCTTCTGGAAAAGGCGGAAATAAATCAATCTTCCAGAATTGAAAATATCACCTCATTTTTCATTTGCTTATTGCTTTTTCAGTGCGTTATATCTGCCCCTCTCCCCTCCTCCCCAAAAAGGTTCATATATATATATGTGTGTGTGTGTGTAAATTCATAATGACAAAATGAATGAGATGGGTATGACATGTGTATATATATATATGTGTGTAAATTCATAATGACAAAATGAATGAGATGGGTATGACATGTGTATATATATATATATATATATATATATATATATATATATATATATATATATATATGTGTGTAAATTCATAATGACAAAATGAATGAGACGGGTATGACATGTGTAGGATTCTACATGATTTGTCTTCGGTTACCCATGGCGGTCTAATGCACCTTGCCTTTATGTCCAGTTCAAGTGGCTCCTTCCCTCAACCTGTCGACAATATATATTTTCTCGAATCTTTCCTACACCCACAAGCGGATCTACGGAGAGGGGGGAGGAGGGCTTTCAGGATGAAGCCCCTCTCCCCCCCCCTACAAATGGTAAAATATTAAAATGCCCTATGAAAAATATATTAAAAAATTGTTTCTATAAGTATTAATGTTCGTATAATTCCATTTAATACTAATGCATGAATCATTTAAACACCACTTCGTATAGGTAGTTGTCTTTTTTCTTTTTCTTCTAAAGCAATTCTTCCAAGCTAATAAAAAATTTTCGGGCTGAAGTTCCCTCCCTCCCAAAACAAAAAATGGAATCCTGGATCCGCTAGTGCCTACACCAAACTAATACAGTCTCCTGCAATTCAAACACTTCGTCTATCCTTAAAATAGTAAATCCACTTTTCGGACCTTTATATCCATACCCACACAACTAAAACCTTTGAACGATCCTTCCTTGCTCTCATCTGCCTCCTGTAATTCCCTCCAATCTGATATCTGCCATGCGTCTTCCTTATTATCTCTGAAATATCTCCATTTCCCTTACGTTATTACATCCCAAACAGACTCTCTTCAATAATTTTAATTTAAGAATAGAATATTGGTGAGATGATAATAGTTTCAGTACTATTTAATATATTCTATAATAATATATTAGATAACGGTTAAATATTTAATTAATTAACGGTATAAATATTCACGGTTTCCACTTATAGTTTATTTTTCTTTCCTATATTTTCTTTTCTTTTCATTTATTTATTTTAGTTCATTTGAATAATATTTATTCAGAACATGATTTTGTATTATTTTTTTAAAATGTATTTTAGTTGTTTATAACTTATATAATCACGATGGTTTTCTATTCGAATTTTTCTTATTCTACGTACTATTTAATACGCTAAAAGTACTGTTTTTTGAAAGAATAGCTGTAAGGTTGTGAATGAATACATTTTATAATTGAAAATGGCGCCGTTTCCAGATGAATGACAAATGTGGACATCAAAAATAAATAAGCAAAAATACAAGATTATTAATATTTCAATTTTCAGGTTATTATAGAAACACACCAAGTGAAAAACTCATCAACTTTGGCTTGGATATTAACGGGGTAAAACACATAGATATTCAAATTGGAGTTAATATTACAGAAGAAAAATATGGAAATACTTATCACCCAAGGTTATTGTTTGCTATTAATAACAAACGTATTGTTTCATTATCAGGTATTAAAAAATAGTCTTCATATTATTATAGATTGTAAAAACAAAATATTTTGAAAAAGTTCTGTTAAAAAAAAAATCAATGGAAATAGAGAATTTTTTTCCTTAAGTTTATAAAATTTATTTAGTATTAATTCTGATAGATTCAATTTATATCATTAATGTGATCAATGTTATTAAACCCAAATATTATTATTGATTTCAACCATTTTATCGTTGATATTTTCAAATTTTTGTTTTTATCCCATCTGAATCAATTTAAAAATAAGAAATGTGATTAATTTTATTCTTTTGATATATTAGTCTTCAGTTTATGAAATTATTTTGTTTTTAGGTTCCATTTCTTGGGTAAAAAAGAAAGGTTTATCTCAGTGTCATATAGAATTAGATTTTCAAACGCAACGCTTTGCAACTGTCATATCAGGTTATGGAAGATTGAGTGAGGTATCTTTTGCGACGAATATTAAAATGGATTATAAATTCGGGACAGGTTCCATAGAAACCGTTAAAATTGAACTCAAACTCGACAACAGGTCTACCAAATTCCTGACAAATTATACAACACAGTTGCAGCTTGAATCTACCGCTTATCCGGAAATTAACTTTATTCTATCAGTAAAATTTCAGGTAAGTGAACAGTATATATTTGAATTGATCGATCCTTTATTACGATTTATCAAAAAGTTAACAGTTCAGAAATGTTACGTTGAATTTCCATTCAACAAAGTGAAAAGGAAAAAATCATTCAACTCGTTTTATAAGCAGATACCGTATTTTCATTGATGGAAGAACATTAAAAAAATATAAAAATACGTTTTTATTAAAACATTATTTTTTTTATTACCCGCCTTGACCAGTCTTCTCCATCTCTGTCTAACGTGCGCTATTCCTTTCCAATTATCTGCATCCAGCTCTACTGCATCTTGTTGATTTTAAATATTCATCTGGGTTGTGACCTTCAACTTGATTTCTTGCCTACAATCGGGACATTCAATGTTATGGATTGCTCCAAGCTACATGCCCCGCCCATCTTAACCTCTTTGCATTCATGCCATTTATTGACCAGTTTCTGTAGGCAGTTCTTTATTGGCCCTTCTCTATTCATTAGTACTCTGATCCCAGATCGCTCCTGTTATACGGAGGATTTTCCTCTCAAACTTTAATAAAAGATACATCTTTTTTTTACCATCACTTTTCAACATCATCGACAAACAATATGTAATAATTCATAAATCATACCATATTGATACATTACACACAACTCACTTCTTTATTTTTTTTTAGAAAGCTCAAAGTCATGTCGATTGCCGACTCAACATGCTGACAAATCCATACATTAAAGATGACAAGCAAAAACTTAGGGTTCGTTGGGACTTGCAACAATTTAAGGCATTTGCTATTAACAAACTTAACACTTCCTTAGAAATCATAAAGCCAAACAGTGGAATTGACATTAAGCTGGGATTCATTAAACAAAATACTCCAAATAATTCCACCTCCAAGGTGATTGTCAGATACGCAACAGGTAAGTTCTAGGCAAGTATGTCAAACTAATCTTTACAAACCTTAGTAATATAAATTACCTTTTTGTATAAAGTACATTAATGCATAAGATAGTATTATTATTATCTTATAATCAACTAACTAAAAAAAGTGTCTTTTCTTTAAGTAATTCCTTTCGTTTTTAAATAAGTTTTTATTTTTTATGCTCCATTTCGAGTCCTTAGCTGATCTTCATTGACAATAGTTACTACAGTTTCTAAATAAATTATTTTAAATGATCATTTTCCGTCGAAGTCATAAACAGAACGGAAAACGAACAGCAAGTGACGAACATGATATCGAAACAAAAACAACTGTAGTTATTCACAGGGGTACCCAGAAGGGGGTTTCATGGCCCAAATTGCGTCATAAAAAGTTTGGAGGGGTCATATTTTGACGGGTTTTTGAATTTTTGAGGGGGACGAATTTCGACTGGGTTAAGGATTTTCGGACTAAGGGACAAGGAGAAAAGCATGCAACATACCGCAGCAAGTGTAATTGTATATGATAAACGATTTTTCTAATTCCTTAGTTTGTTCTACTTTTAAGAAAAAGTGAGCAATTAAATATCTTAGAAGGAGGGAGAGAGGTAGGTTCTTGCGCCATCGACCTTAGGTGGGGGGGGGAATGGCCACCCCTGGTTATTTTTATAAGAAAGGTAGGTCGCGATAGCATTGAAATATAGAGAGGACCATCGTAAGATGAGACATATGATAGATTAAAAATGGATTGGAGAATAAGAAGTGTTCGACCTGAGGAAATATAACTCAATAAGACTGAGGATGTTTTTAACAGAACTAGTTTAGGATTACCATAATTAAGTAATGATAAGACATCTAATTATACAGTTTAATGAAATACAGTATGTATTTCAAAATATATATAAAAAAAAAATAATAAAACCCTCGTAATATCCGGAGACTAAACAAGGAAAAATTTGTTATTAATTTCGAAACAAACGAAATACATAAGGTTTGAGTGAGAATGTTAACAATTATGAACTTTAGGTTCTGCTTAACCCGATTAGACAATCTTTATATATATCTGAATTTATAAGTTTTTTTTATCTTTTAAGGTATTGAAAAATTAATAAAACATATTTATACTTAATAAATTAATAATTCCTAAACAAAATGTTTTGCTTGTAAGACTTTTACAAGGCTTTTTTCACAGTTTTTTATTTTTTAATTTTAACTTATACGATTGTATTCCTCATCATAGATATTTGAAACATAAAATGAGACATAGGTAACAAACATAATTTTTTAAATATATAATTATTTTACTTAATAATTTATAATATTCTATTACAGGTAAAGAAATAATTTTGACATTCGATTTGAACATTCCTCATGGATCATTGTTCTATTTCGAAAACAAGATAAAAGTATTATTAATGCCATCTAAGGAGCAAATGTCAGTTTGTGTAAAGATATTTGAAAAATCTCCCAATGATTACGACGTAAGAAATTTGATTTTTTTTTTTTAATATTTTTTTCTTCTCGACAACCTTGCCTATAGGTCAAATTAGAAACAAAAAAAACTTGGTTTCTTTTTTTGTAATTTGACCTATAGACCGACAGCCTTGTCTAGAAAAAAAAATATTAAGAAATGTCACGAATATGAATTAATAGTTTTTTTATTCCTTTTTTTTTTTTTTTTTTAACAAACCACATTTAATTTTCTAGGTCGAATTTGCTGGCGTTTGGTTCAGCGGTCATAATTTAACTGTCCGTGGGATGTTACAAGACCAATCTGATCCATATGTATCCAGTTACAATTTCAAAATTTTAGCGAGGTCTCAACTATTTAACGATCTGCTGCTGTCAGGAAAATATTTGAATAGAGAAGAAGAAATCAAAACTGATCTTCAGGTTAGAAGTAGTTCCATAAAACCATTATACACTTTTTTTTTAATATTTTGGCTAACCGAACAACACGATATTTATAACAAAGAATTCAAAAATTAAAACTTTTAAAAGCAAAATTTATATTAAATTTTTCATAAATTAGGTATCCACAAAAAATAAAAACATAGAGAAATATAATAAATATTTTTAAAAAACTAAGAGTTGAGATATTAGAGTACAATAAATAAAAATAATCTGTTTATTTTCATACTTTTTTCAAAGTATGAAATACATATAATAGATTTATAATGTTGATTTTACATTTCCTATGCACACAATTTTGCCCGTTTGCAAAGTAGCTACTAGTACTTAAAGACATTTAATACATATTGCAAAAACAAATTAATTATACAAAACTTTTTTTTTAAATATATTTCAATGCCTTTCCTGATAATCGTACAGTACTTGCCAGTTTTGATAAAAAATACTTTAATTATTCATGTAATTAAAGTATTTTTATTTAGATAACACTGGCTCGACGAGTCATTCAATTAATTCTGGTTACTCATATCAGATGCCTATATAATTATAGATAGATAGAAACTTTATTCTGGGACAAAACCCCTTGAGAATAATGAATAAATATTTTATTTGTTTTCGGGGAATGCCCCATACAAATAGATTTGGCTATAATGATAGCAAAGAACACATTAATATGAAAAACATTTACAACTTATATACAAAGTAAAATTCATTGGGATTCAGCCACAACATCCTCTCCTGATAACAACCAAGCATCTGACTGTATGCTTAAATATAAACAATGAAATATAATATAATAACCCATATAATACAATAATTAAAATAATACTACAGCAGAACATGGCCACCAATAAAATGACAAATAATAATAAACAGCAATAGTAATGAAGATAAACATAGACATAGTATAAAATATATAAACACGTCATTATTAAATAATAAATGATACAATAAAACATGATATGCATATAAATATGTATGTATGAACAATACTTTTTTTTGAGAAAAACAAAATGAAGGACCAATCTGCAACTTTGCCTCGTGTAATAAAACAGGTTCTTGAGGAAGACTTCATTGTCAGTTTAGAATAATTCAAATAAGTCGCCCTGATCATGTTAATGGGATGAAATAGGAAGTGGTTACGAAATTCTTTGTTTTCTCTTAGATCTATGTCATAATAATTGATCTATATTTACAAGTGACAAAATTAATGTTTGTAGTCCTAACGTTTACGTTTAAAATAAAGAAACTTGCTGATTCCTTCAATAAATTCAAGAAAACGTAAGCATAAGATCAGTAACATTAGGTTTGTCACTTATAAAATGGATCATATCCATATCCAAATCCTATGATGGAGATTTGGGATAAATACACAGATTCATAGCCATTTTACATGAAATATTTCTTCTTTTGTTTTAAATAAAAAGTGTATTTAAGCAATTATGTTTATTATAATATATCCCAGATCATAAAAAAACAATAACCAAAGGCTTTGCAACAGTCATTTTTGCTGAGGTCCTTAACAGGAAAGGATAAAAAATTAACGTAATTATTTTACACAACTTGAGGTGAATCTCAAGTTTTTGGTTAATAAACCACAACTTAATTACTATGGATTCAAAGCTTATTAAACTTAGATTTCCTACTTTCCTGCTAAAAAATAGCCCATTGTTTATATGAATTTTTCTTAGCTCTTGAGGACTGCTATCACTCCTATAAAATATTCCCACTACTTACGGGACTCCCTGTATGTACAGAATGTGTTCCCAAAAAGGATAACCCTCGGAAATTTTACAGCATTGGCACTGTCTTGGGTGTTAAAAACGGAGAATGATAGATTTCCTAAAATTTGTTTTAATAAGTTAAAAGAAATACATATTAGTGGCAAAGAGAGTCAATAATTCAATTGGCTCAATCAGTTACACACTCTGCTGTGCTCTGTAAATAAACAGTTCATTTTGGAATTAGAAGACGCGTGTGCATTCTAACTAGAGATGAATGAAGCTATAAGCCTGTTTAAAAACCACATAGAGGAGCTTGATAAACAAAAACTGATTACCCCTACTATGTACAGCCTAATGTATCTCAATATGTATACAGCGAGTGATAAGCATCAGCCTTACTCGCATTAAATGCCCCGTTCCATATGACCAAAACACTAACACAGATTAGGTTATCTGTGAAATTATAATAATAAATTAACGTTTAATAACAAATATTGCTATTTCAAGCCAAAATAAATTGGCACGGTTTGTAACCTAAATGAATAAGAGGACCTTTTTCATATTTTCGTCCGGTGCCCGATTTACGCTCCCTTCCGCCATTTCTTTTCACAACTTGAGGTGAATCTCAAAGTATTTCCTAATTAATATGCATTTATTAAACGCAAATGAAAGTTTTTCTCAAAGTGGGGTAAATGTAATACAGTTGAAAGATGATAAAAAAAAAATCACAAATAATTTATGACTTTTATTCAAACGGAACTTCACTGAGTTAGTCAGCTCAGTAGTATTTTTTTAATGGTTTTCAACTCTACTTCTACAACAAACTCTATTTTCCTTTGAATTAAATTTTATTTAGTTTATTATGGACTGATGTTTAGTTAATTAAATCAAATATTTTTTTAGTTATCGCTTACTATTCAACAAAAACGTGACTCGCATATAAAAACAAAAATCTTACATTTCCTACTTTTTTGCTGAAAATTCGGCAATTGTTTAATAGAACTTTTTTGTAGATCTCGATGTCTACTGTCAACCTTTTAAATATTTCCCTATACTTACGGGTCATCCTATTTATCAATTTTATTCCTTTGAGACATAGATGCCTAGGTATTTAAATATATATATGTATATATATACAGGGTGTCCCTTAAAAGAGGAAAATTTTTATAGAAGTGATTGCAGACATCAAGAGCTACAAAAAAGTTCCTATACACAATGGGCCAATTTTCAGCAGAAAAGTAAGAAATCCAAGTTTTGTGTTATTTGAAGTATGCCATGTACATATATGAACATATGTATACATATATGGATATTTTTCTTATAATACAAATAATAGATAAATATATTAAGTTCAAATTTTAATATTAAATTAATTTAGAAAAACAAAATTTTCAGGCAGAGCACAACAACATAAATTATGGTCTGGGATTCCGTCATTTGTCAGAAATTATTGGAGTGTATGAAACGTTTGCCGAAATCAAATACGACACTGCGGTTTATTCATTTTCTAATTTCTTGGATCTTATCAAAAGAAGGACAGTCTTAGAGCTTCATCTCGACCAGTAAGTAATTTTTACTAACATAAAGTTTTAATTATTATGAATAAAAAAATAATAAATGTTGATACCCGCTTTTCTTCAAGTTTAAAACAAACTTTTTTAAACCAAGAACTTTTTTCTTTTTTTTTTTTTCCTATGCCATAGTCATTGGTCATTCGACCATCCGACATCTTGCTGCCCAATATAAGTTTGATTTTTGAATGTAATCATTTACATATGTTTGATTCTTTGTATCCGTCAAAGCAGGACATTTGTTTATGTGGCCTGCATCCATTTCCTCTTGTTCACATAATTTACATCTAGGGCCCTCAACCACACCTATCTTGTGGAGATGACTTTGTAGATAGTCGTGACCAGTGACCAGGCGGAAGCAGGCTACTGCATCTCTTCTTGGTTGGTCTGCTGGGATCGGGTTTTCCATCAAACATCCATAACGTTTTTTCCACCTTGTCTTTGTGCATATTTTTTGTTTCCTCCTTCACTACCATCCTCACCATTCGCCGAATTGAATCGTAGGATTTTGGATGGACTGTTTGTGGCAATTCTGCTCCCCTCCTGGCGAGACTATCCGCTTCCTCATTTCCTGGAATACCGCAATGGATCGGAATCCACTGAAGGACCACATTGGTGCTTCGGAGTGTTAGATCGTAGAGAAGGGATTTGCACTCCAAGATAGCACTCGACATACATTTATTCACGTCAGTAATGGCGAGGACTGCTGCTTGCGAGTCTACAAAGAGAACAGCGTTCTGAACTTGCCTTCCTGATAGTGTTCTTAGAGCTATGAGGATCGCTGCTATCTCACCGTCAAAATTCGTACCATCCTTACCCACCGCAGCACTGACCTGAAACTCTCTCGAGTAAACTCCTGCCCCAGCATTTTTAACGGCTGATTCAGCTGATCCGTCGGTATAAATGTGAAGTCAATCCTGAGGCGGGTACTTTTGAGCTATAGTTTCCAGTGCTATTGCTTTTAGCTCATATTCTGGTGTTTCTTTTTTATCCACCTTATGGAGTAGGTGCAGCTCTGCCCTGCTTGCGTGTTTGTGGATTAAGAACTGTGCCTGTATAAATGGCTCCCTTTCTTCACAGTCCAGCTATCTTTCTTCAAGCAAAGCCTTCGCCTTTATCATGAATGATTTTTGGGTCTTGAGCCGTTGAGTTGGGATTTTGTATTTTTTCCAAAACTCTGGATTCGTTCTTCTCATTGGCTCGTGAAGACACATTGCAGCTTGCTCACGCCGTTTCGAAAGGGGTTCTACTGTGGTCTGCAGTTCCATAGCTGCAATAGGAGTTGAGCGAGGTGCATTTAAACCAAGAACTACAACATAGTGTGTGAATCATCGTGCATCATTGTGAATGCAAATTTTAACAAATTCTGACAAATTTTTTTTTTTTTTTTTTTAATTTCTTTATTGAGTATTATAACAATCTGTCTGTTGGACATTGGTTATAGTGAGGTAGGATGACATTCACACCATATGTACAAAAAAATAAAATAAATAGAACAAAATAATAATCAAAAGTATATACAATAGACAATAAAATAAAATAACCTAAAAAATAAGAAAATTAAAACTAAGGAAAAAAAAAGGAAAAAAAAAAAAAAACACATGCATACCTATATACAATCAGGCGAGGGAACTCAAGGAGAACCCTGCGCTACTCTCCCAACCGCGTCACTGGTACTAAAGCCAGCGGAGATTGGTCGAGAGCACTTTAGCCACATACACACATGTCTTGAGTGAAGAATCTGGCCATTGCCAGAACTCCAATTTATATAATCTACAAAAGGTCGCGAGGCCACTGCCGTTTCAACCTTCTTGGAGGATTATAGGGATGGGAGATGCTTGATAGGGATTGTGCAAGAGGATTTGGGTGGTAAGTAAGGTTCTGGTGAAATTTGGAGAATTTTTCTGGGATAAGGTCTAGGACAAATGGGATGTTAAGGTCATGATGTAGGGTTTTGTTGGATACATAGAAAGGAGCATCGACTATTGTTCGAAGGACTTTAGACTGGAAGGATTGGATGCGCTTGATGTTAGAAAATTTTGCTGATCCCCACAATTCTAGTCCGTAAGTCCAAATAGGTTTCAGTATTGTCTTGTAGATCAGTAGCTTGTTTTCAATGGAAAGTTTAGATTTTCTGCTTAGTAGTCGGTATAGTTGGCCGTATCGTCGGTTGAGTTCTTGTCTTTTGAGTCTAGTATGCGGGTTCCAAGTTAGTCTTCGGTCTAAATGAAAGCCAAGATACCGGACTGTGTCTGAATAAGGAAGCTGGATGGAATTAAAGAGTACTGGTGGACAGGAATTGCGTCGGAGTGTAAAGGTAATATGTTGGCATTTAGATTCATTAACTTTAATGCGCCAGTTATTACACCAGTGCTCAATCAAGGTGAGGTGACTTTGGAGATTTAAGGATGCTATTTCGGGATCAGAGTTGGATGATAAGATTGCGGTGTCGTCAGCGAATGTTGCAAGAAAAGTATCGGGATGAACAGGGATGTCAGCAGTAAAGAGGATGTAAAGCACGGGACCCAAGACGCTGCCTTGGGGAACACCGGCTTTAACGGAGTAGATATTGGAAAATTCTGTTCCACAGCGAACTCGAAAGGAGCGGTCAGAGAGGTAGGATCGGAGGACTAGGTACAAGGACTGAGGTAAATGGATTTTAAGCTTGGAGAGCAGTCCGGAGTGCCATACCCGGTCAAATGCCTGTGCAATGTCCAGAAAGGCACCCGAACAGTATTCCTTGTTTTCTAGGGCTGAGGAAATAAGATCAACAACTCGGAGTCCTTGTTGAACAGTAGAATGTTGAGAGCGAAAACCAAACTGATGGGAAGGGATATTTTGGGATTCTATAATGGGTAGGATTCGTTTCAAAAGGATCTTTTCAAAAATTTTTGAAAGGATTGGGAGTAGGCTGATTGGTCTATAGGATGTTGAGCTATTGAGAGGTTTTCCTGGTTTTGGAAAAAGGATAATAGTGGAGTGTTTCCATAACAGAGGGAAGTGGGTGGTGCGTAGGATACAATTGTAGATATATGTAAGGAATATGACTGCTTTGGATGGAAGTTGTCGAAGGATTTGAGGTGTAAGGAGATCATGTCCAGGAGCTTTACGGGGGATTAGTTTTTTTAATTGAAATTTTACTTCGGAAGGATGAATAGCTTTTGGGGGCAAGGAAAGTGGGATTGGTGATGTAAGGAGTTCTTCTACTGTTACGGTGTGGGCAGGATGGGATTCCGGATGTGAAATAAATGTATTGGATAGGTGAATGGCGAACTCCTCAGCTTTATCTTCGTCAGATGCTGCCCAGGAGCCATCACCTCGTCGGAGAGGATGGGAAATGCGGTGAGGATTTAGGATTTTTGTTGTGGTTTTCCAAAGGGAATTGTCGCGAGAAGAGAGGGAGGATAGGTAGGAGTTGAAGGATTGTGATCTGAAGGTGGCTAATTCCAGTTTTAATTGTTTGCAGTAGTAATTATAGGAGCAGCGGTCGGTAGGATGTCGGGTACGTTGCCATAATAATCTGGCACGGCGTTTGGTGCGGATTAGGTTAAGGAGGTGTTGGGGTAGAATGGTCTTTATAGGAATTCTGGAGGAGTCTTTTGGGAAGGAGGCAGTCCAGGCGGCTTGTTGGATTGTGGTAGTAAAGGAATTTACGGCACTATCAAGGTGATCGGGAGTTTTGAGGGATATGTTGAGATCAATATTATCGGAGATTATTTGGCGGAAAAGGTCCCAGTTTACTGGGCCCCTAATGAATGACGGTGGAGAAGGTTTGGGAACAGGTTCAAGTGAAACATTAAGGATTAGAGGACTATGGTCAGAGGAAAGTTCATTTAGACGTGTAATGGAACAATTGAGGGGACTTAAGCCGCTGTGGATAAAGAAATCAAGAAGATCAGGATTACGGTTGGGATCTGTGGGCCAGTAGGTAGGAGAGTTGGGGGAAAGGAGGTGAAAACGTTGGGAATTGAGTGCAGACAGCAGGGTTCGGCCACGAGAATTCGTGGTTCTGGAACCCCATTGTTGGTGCTTGGCATTTAGGTCTGCACCCAAGATGAAGTGATGTCCTAAGGAGTCGAGGAGAGAACTGAATTGGGCATTGGATATGGATCGGTTAGGAGGGCAATACGCTGATGCAAGAGTGACCGGAAAGGAGAAGGTTTTTATCACGATAGCGGTGGACTGTAGGAAATCATGTATTGGTAATGGGAGTACGTGATGGGAGAGGGATTGGTGTACAATTACAGCAGTACCGGCATGTGCTTTTCCGTCAGGGTGGTCAGTACGATATGTCAGGTATTGTGGTATATTGAAGTGCTGTTTAGTGGTTAGTCGAGTTTCAGTAATTAGTGCCACATCAATGTTCTTGTCAAGTAGTAAAGTAGATAGTTCGTCTGTATGATTTCTAACACCATTCGCATTCCAAAGGAGAATGGATATGGGTTTAGGGATGTGAGTCATTTAAGGATTTTTCAAAGGAGGGATGAGGTGAGATACGAGATTCGTGAGGAGTGATATGAGTGGAGTAACAAGGGATTTGAAATCGGTGAGGAAAGATGCTAACAAACTTGTGAGATCTGTTGCATTTGAAGGAGGAGGAATATGAGGAATTTGTTGTTGGTGGTTAGGTATATTAGGATGAAGAGGATTTTGAAGTTGGGTTTGAGGTTGTTGTTGTGGCAGGGCTTGACATTTATCGGTTAAAGTCTTACCTCTAAGTAGTTGGGAGAATGATACATCATTGTTTACAATTCCTGAAGGCTCTCTCTCTCTTCTTGTTCTTAGTGCTTCATCTTGAATCCGGTTTTTCTGGTGTCTGGTTTTGAGATTCTTGTAAATTTGGCAGCCTTTGTAGTTGGCCGGGTGTCCCTCCAAGCATAGGGCACATACTGCTGGATCTTGTATAGGTTTGGTGCACTCTACAGATTTGTGCTGTTCACCGCACTTCACGCAACGCGGCAGATGGTGGCAATATGTCTTCGTGTGGCCATAGGTCTGACAATTATGGCACTGCACGATGTCTCTCTTGGGATATGGCTTCTCAACTTTCACCATTGTGTAGTATATTCTTGTGATATCATATATTTTTTCGATACCTGGTGATGGCTCCAAGTCCACGAAAAACAATGGTAGTGGGATCCTATTTCGTAATCCTGGCTGCTCCCTGTCCTCCTTCAAAACGTTTGTTACCTGGCGTACATTGAAACCAAGCGTCGTTAGTTCTTCTTTAATAACTTCAGTGGGGGTTGAGGAATGTAAATTTCTTATCACTACTCGTAAAGCTCTTTCCTGCCTCAGCTGGTAAGTGTGAAAATTCGCATTTGTTTCTGATAAGTACTTCACTATTTTTCGGTAGGCTTCTGCAGAATCAGGTGTTATTTTGGTGTCATTGGTCCTGTTAAGGCATGAATAACTGCCAGAGCAGATTTTATTTAGTTGGGTGCAGAACATTTGGAAATTTTTTATATTTTTCACAAATATCGGAGGAGGCTTTGGTTCTCTGGGTATTGCTGCAGACTCCATTACTTCTCTGTCATTTTGAAGCACTTGGTAGGGGTTTGGAGTAAAGAAAGGTGATTCTTCAATCGTTTCTTGTGCAGATGTACCTGGTTGGGGCTGAGGTTCTGGTTCTGAAGTGTTCATTTTGGTCACTGGAGGTATTTCTCGTAGGCAGCGACGAGTCCTTTGTTTGGCTGGTGAGCCAACTCCGTCTGACCGAGACCTCTTGGGCACCTTACTGGCCATCACTTCCTGATCATACCGCATATCATAAGAGAAAAATAAATAAATAAATAAAATAAAAAAAAAAAAATTTTTTTTTTTTTTTTCTTAAAATAACAAAAAAAAAGATGCCAACAGTAAATATCAACTGCTCTGATATACACTTTAACTGTATCACGTGAATAATCAGAGAGATTCCGCTATAAAATTGGTAAAAACTGAGAGAGGAGTTGAGGAGACAACCTTCTCATCAGCTGATCCACTGCCTTCAGCAAATTTTAATTTTAACAACATAATGGGAAGTGATGCAGAGAGGTAATCCAACTTTTCAATGTACGAAAACAAGGAGCAGAAAAAATCTCTCTTTCGAGAATAATGGAGCTTTAATCATTGTGCAATGTGTTTCTTATGGGCTATACTCCAAAAAAAGTGTTGCCAAACAATGGTCTTGGTCTTGTGCAAGACCTCTAGAAGAAATCATTGAGTTTTACTGAGACCATAGACCAAACTGAAAGGAGGTATGTTCAATGAAGGATTGTCTTATGGTTTTCCTAAAAAACCACTTATCATCGAGCTTATCGTAATCCTGCGACGCTTCGCTTCTAGATTGCGGTGATGACCTGCATATTAATGGTGGGGATAAACCATAGTCGAGTGATGCAACCATATAGTACCTTAGTACTGTGTATATTGCACAGGGTCCTTTTTGTATTGTTTTATCAAATTTTAAAACATTTTTTGAGAGGATCAAAGTTGCACTCCATTTTTCTAGTATTGTAAAATGTGGAATCCGTATACCTGGGTGGTGAGTACATAACTCCAAAACTAGATTTTTTTTTTTATGACGTAAGCTAAAACTAATGGAGTGGTAGACTTGAGAATGGGTAATTAATAAAACTTAAAGAATCTGCAAAAAATAAAAAAAATAATGCAACAAGCCTAGATGTCTGTGGCTTCGCCCCAAGAACTATATTTTAGTGCAAAATGCATAATAGTCAGTCTCGTAGAGGATTTGCTATAAAATAAATACCAAATATTTGTTACTTCTTTATTATTACATATTTAAATAGTATACATATTTAAACATATGTACTCCCAACTTACGACAACAAATATTGAAATAACATTTCAGTTACAGTGTACTGGAAACTAAAAACATCACTCACTGTTCAAATTAGTATTCCTGAATATAAATACCGCCTTTAATCCAGTATGTATCTAATATGTACGTGTGATTCACGAGATTCTTGTAAATTATGAGGAAATTCACTTTATTTCTCATTGTCATTTTGTTTATTAATGTCTGCTAGATATCGAGACGTCCACATTTCTATTCACGGAATTACAAATAAAACCATTTTGGATGCTGGACTGGATGTGAAGTGGGATGCCAACAGAGACCCTTCACAGAAACTTACCGCTATTCTATTGTCAAATTCTTATGGAAATTTGAATTATGATGGGAAGTGCATAATTGAATACCCAGGACGGTTGATAACGTCATATTTCAACATGGAGCATAAACGTAAGTTCAATAGAAATTTTGGTCATAACAAATGTCTCTTAACTAACATACATGAAATTAAGCTAAAAAAAACATTTTTTTTTTTTTGTTATTATGACATTTTATTTTCAGTTAATTTACTTTTTCATGTTTTCCTTAAATATTCCTTGACTTTTGTACTTTATCGAATATCACCGATAGGGGATTAGGACAGGATGACCGAGCACGTAGAGGCGTGGTTCCCAGAGTGCCTGGTTCTGAACTTTCTGGGTTCAATTCCCACCTGGGTAAGTTACTTTTCATACATTTCCACTCTGGTAAGTACGCGGCGGCGACTTCAAGGTGTCCATCAGGGGTTGGAAAAAATTAACACAATATTCCCACTTGCCGGACTAGTTCCCCCACCAGTACCAGTACCAGTACCGGTAGGGGATGGAGATGCATTGTAAATCTGCTTCATAACTTTTTGAACGCGATGTTCGGGGATGTGTAACGGAGCGAGCAGGGATGCATACGCGTTGATCCAAATAGTTGACCGAACTGAAGCATAATTAGGATGCTGTATTTCATGGGACATTCTTGTCGGATTTGACAAATGTAAAGGACTGTCTGCAACTGGAAGGTTGTTCCCACCGTACCGGATTTCAGTAACTATTTCCCTACCTTTAGTGGACTTATATATGTTTAAAATAATAAATAAAATAACAAAATTACAGTACTTCTTTTGTTCCTTTATCCCCTAACTCGCTTTAGATGTACTTTATAGGTTTTATATGTACAACCAAACCTATTTTAACCAGACTGGGAAGTTCCAGATTCATTGCATGAATTTCCACGAAATATATTTCAACTCGCTTAGGCTGGATTCGAACCAGCGCCTCTAGACCCGAAAATGTTAAATCTCGCCTCTATTACAGTAGAGCTATCTTAATCACAGTAACTTGTACTGGTGGGAGGAACCAGTACGGCTAGTGGGATAATGTGGGAAAACAGGATTATTTCGTCTATACGCAAACATTGAAAAATTCTGTGGGAGACTCGTTCGGGGTTGAAAGTGAGGAGAGGATTATTATAGGAAATTTACATAAGATCGTGTTATCATAGTATTGGATTTTGAGAATGTTTTCGACGTGAACCAACTATAATAAGACCAATTAGTGTGTCGGAAAACTGGATATGTTGGTTGGGTCGCAAGGATATAATGAATAAGTGAAGGGAATCTGTCAGTTCTACCTGGTATTTTTTGTCGGAAGAGTCGGATAGAATATTTGTGTTGAAATAATCAGCAATTATAAGGTTATTACCTAAAGGAACGTTGGTTAGGAGGGAGGATTTAAATGTTAGAACGGTAGACCATGATGTTATAGGAGAGAAAATGAGAAAGAGTATATTATTATTTTGTAGAATATTATAGGATTTTAACTTTCAGGCAGTCACGGAAGAACAAACCGACTCTACCTTTTCAATCCGTCCGATCATGACGGATAAGTGTATAATTAGGGATAGTTTGGGAAGAGGTCGAGATATTTGGCTAAAGCCAAGTTTTTGAGAAACCAATAATATAATAAAAGATGTGGAAAAAGTAATGAAGGAATTCATAAAAATTTTCAGTTAATTTAGGAGTTATAATGACTATTACTATATCATCTTATCCCAGATGATATAGTAAAAGTGATAAAGGAGTAGCTCATTCACACCATGTGAAATAAATAAACAGCTAAATAATAATACTTAAATTGAATCTATATAAACTTAAAGAAACTAAACTAATCAAAATAACTACTTAAATACATAAATGTTTTTATTTAATATTTTCAAAATTCATTCACTCAAGATCTCCGAGTCAAACCTCCTCCCCCATCTCTTGGAAAGAAAGGCAGCACTCTTAGATATTCCAGCGCCTCTGTCTGAGCCCCATTACTAGTACATTCAGCATTAAACATTTTCTGTGACTTAGCAATAGGTAGGTATAAATATGTTCATGGCCCCATAATCGAAGAGGGAATCAAAATAGGATAATATATTTTTTAAAATACTGTAATAGTAAATTGATCAACCATATAATCTGATTGTGTTTCTAACTCTTAAAAATTTAATTTTAATTCTATTTTCTGTTGTCACTTACAGTTGTTGATTATTCCTTATTTGCAAAAGTTCAGTGGAGCCAAAAAGACATTATTGTTTCGGTTTTCAAAGGTATATATGATATGGATGAAAACAGATTCGCTAAAATAGAAGGCAAAGTAGAAACGCCATTTACAAATTGGGAGCATACATCACTAGTTTATCAGTAAGTATATGAACACATATATACACAAATATATATATATATATATTTAAATCTCTAGGCATCTATCGTCTCAAAGGAACAAATTTTATTGTCCCACCATCCCCTCCTCTAACCATCCTGCATACATGTTTTTCTCGTCCTTTGTTATTCTATTTATAAATAGATATATTATATATTTTTTTCAGAATTAAGTTTGATCCACAGCTGATGAAATCAAACGGTACCGTAATATGGAAAACAGACCAGAAATTTGATATGGAAGTTTCCTATCGATATAATTTCACAACTGATAACAACTTCATAGTCTTCATCAGTGAAATTAACAGTACTATACCAGAAGTCAACTCCATGAAAGGAATTTTAAAATATGCCCAAATAGAAAATAAATTTGTGACTGAATTAATAATCCAGGTATTTTTTATATATTCATTAAAAATGTATGTATCCCATTATATTTGTCATTACATAAAATAATTTAATTGAAAGTTGGCTTATATTTTTAACAATGCTACGGAACGGAAGTTACGAGAAATATATTGCAATTTTTTAATGTCGCACAAAATAATTAAATTTTACCTAATGTCGTTTTTGTTTATATATGTTGATATATCTATACGAAATTCTGTTTATTTCTGTCCTTCCAACTTAACACATCCTGCAAGAGAAATAGAAGTTACAAGACTTGAAAAAAAAATGTATTGATTAATTGAAAATCCCTGACATTATAAACTTTTGGCATGAATTTATTTGACCCCAAATGAAATTTAAGAAGTTGGTCAAGGATTTGGTATCATACATATTCATCTTTATCTATTTCTTATGTTTTATCTCTATTTAATTTTCAAACAAATACCACACTCATCGTTACAAAATCTAAATGTTAATCATCACCATGACCTATCACTGACACCACATGTTAATTTTTTTTTTTTTTTTACTACACATTATTATTATCCTCTACCACTCTCTCAATACCAGGCCTCTACCTATAGATTTATATATCCCCTCCCACAAAACTACTTCCTTCAGCGAAACCTTCGTCATTCGTGCTGCCCCCTTTTGGAACTCTCAACCTAACTCCATACGTCAATCCTCGTCCACAAATTCCTTCACACGACTCCTGTTCCACCACCTACTCCATATTCAAACTTCCGCGAACATGTAAAATTCGCTTGCGTCTGTACAAAGTCTAATTCAATTAACTGCACAATTTCATTAACAATCAACAGTTAATTAGACATCATTTTGTATTCATCTAAGCCAGACTATTACTCTTCATGATGTAACTCTGTCATTATTCTTAGGGAACTGTAGTCTCAGAATAAAATTATTTTTTCATTCATTCACATTATTAATTATCTAACTTGTATATCTACGCCTTATTAATTTTGCTTAAACAAGGCAAGAAAATAGTTAAAGAGGGGATAGCAGAACTCAAGAACTACAAAAAACTTTTTATAAGTAATGGTTCCATTTCACACAGATAAGCAGGAAATTTGTGTTTTGTAGTTTTCAAAGTGCCACATATTTCGTTGAATAGAAAGCAATAACTAATAAAAAAAATTAATTTGGGTAATTACAAATGAAATAAAAGAATTAGAAATGCTTCATAGTAAACTAGACAAATTGTTTTTGAAATGCAGTTAGGGTTTGTGTTTGTTAAAATCATTTAAAACAGAATTTCAAACAGATAAACTAGTTCTGTTTTTCATAAACACGTGGATTATTGGTGATTTTTCCAATTTCCAACTGGTCTGTTCCGATATCACACAAAAAAACAGGGCATTTAAGTGTTGATTGTTTTAAGTGTTAATTTTTTGTTGAATAGGAAGTGATAACTAAAAAATATTTTAATTTTGGCAATTTCATGCTTGATGGTAAACAAGCAAAGACAAACTCTACTTTCATTTAAAGGAATGTTTGTCTAGTTTACTGTAAAGCAATTATTAATTACCTAAATTAAATATTTTTTTAGCAATGTCTTCCTATTCAACAAAAAGTATGAGAGAGAGAGAGACCCATAAAAAAAACCACAAAACTTTAATTTCCTATTTTTCTGAGGAAAATCGAAACATGATTAAAAATAAACTTTTTGTAGGCGAAACTTGAGATCTGGATGAAGGCCTGAAAACGTAGGCAGAAACCTTGCCTCACCATAAAAATATTTTTTTAGTTATTAGTGTGTTTTTCGTCTTTCACCCTCTTATCCTCGACCAACTTCATCAAGTAAATGACATTAATATATATTTGCATTATTACTGAAGAATTCCAAAACAAAACCTTGAAGCTTTAAACTAAACTAGAACAAACTACTAACCATTAACGTTTCTCCGACTCATAAATAAATAGAAATTTAAATGATGAGCAGATCATACATCGAATTCCTAGAAAATGGCAAAAACGTTAAAATTAGTGCAAAATGTTTTCTCGGATAAATCGCCACAATGCACACTGGGGTGAGCTAACGCAATAATTGGACATTGGGAGAAAAAACAAAAGTTATAATTTGGAAGTTGGACTGCATTAGTGACAAAGTAACATAGTTTCCTCTCCATGTCCAACAATTTTAAACTTAATTGTAGCATTAATCATGCCCTGATGTGAGATAATGTTTAGAGCTAGTTTGCCGGTATTTTTTGTTCAAACCTAGCTGTATGTGCTATGTAGAATTTGGTACTTTTGGTGAATCCTAAGAGAACTGAAACATCGGTTTATATAAGTAAACATAGTTATTAAAGACGTTTCAAATAATTATAACAAGCAACTTTGGTCAATTTTGCAAATTGTCCGAAGTCACCCGAAAAACTAGATAGACACTATAGTTAACAAAAGCAGTTCTCAGACCTTGCTCCAACCGGCCATCCCGGGAGTTATAGAGGATTTAACACTCGGCAACTTGGAATATAGAGTGACTACCATTAAATTTTATCTTTTCAATTTTTTTTACCTGGGTATTTGAGTAACCATCGACCCAGTTTTTGACTATATATATATATATATATATATATATATATATATATATATATCTTTTTTCTTTTTTTTTTCCGTTGGTGCTGCAGACCATGAAGATCATTAAAGACGAGATGTGGACTCCAAGACCACACCCCGACTCTAGATTTAAGTACACGGGGGTAGGATCAACAGTCCTACACCCGGTCGGTGCGAGTTTCCTCCACTAGCCTGACGGGCCTCACATACCCGGGGGGAGGAATCTCGGGTAGCGTGGCTTTCCCTGGTGGACGGTCACCCATCCCCAAGTGCTAACCACACTCGGCGTTGCTTAACTTCGATTACCTATTGCAAGCACCTTAGCCCGCACGGCTAACACAGCCCCTAAACAGAAACAATATCACCAAGAAAAAATTTATTCATTTTATTTATTAACAATTTTATTATTTTGCTTCTAACGCATACATCTGAGCGACTCAATCACTTGAGTTCAAATTCAACTAACAGACAAAATTTTAGCAATTTCCGAGTAAGTTAGAGCCGATGTCCAAGGAACCTTACGCTCGCCCATTGTGCGATGTTGCGAAGTTGCGAAATATACAATTTCACATTTATAATTTCTTCTAAATTAATTAAGATATTTCATAATTCATTTTTATTTTTGTTTTAAATTATTATTATTATTTTTATTTTTTTTTTGATAGCCAAGTCCTGCTAATAAATTCGCAGTTGAACTTCTGGGTGAGAAGATGTACGCCACTGATTACTCTTACTATCATGCATTTTTTGGTATATTAACACCATTCGAGACCATGAGAGCTGCGACCATTAATGCTGGATTGTATCTTTACCCGATGAAAAGGTTCAAAGGAAACATACAGTTCACTGGAGATGGAAAGAAATATGTAACAACAGTCGACGGTAATTCATTTATATCATTAATATAATTTACTTAATAATTAATTATTAAATAATTATCAGTTATGAAATAGTAATACAGCAGTAATTTTATAGTCGATAGTTTTACTCGAGGTATTTCTACCATATTTGAGGGATCTCAAATTCTTTTCATTATTTTCTATAAGTCGAATTTTTTTCAGAAAGATCTACAATTGACGAATTCATCACCCGTTGGGTGTTGTAAATACTTTTATATGTTACAGGTATAATACAATGACTGTTCAATTGTGTAATAAAACTGTTATTAGTATTTATTTGGATCTGCTTCGTCTTTAACATACTTACTTATAAAGACTATTCACTGTAATTTTGGCTAATATTAAAGACACAGGTCCTTCTATTTTCCGATTAATTGGTAGGCATAAAAGACAAAAAAATATAGGACCTTGAAAATATATGATGAAATCTAGTAGACTGAACAAGATAATAAACGGTACAAGCTACTTTTTTTCCAGAGGGATGGCAAATTAAAATTGTTCGCACCTATCCCACTCAATAAAAATCTACAGTTTTTAGAAGTATTATAGCTAAGTGAAATGTTTAAGTTTTTTTTTTTTTTTTATTATTGGTGAAAAGCGATGGTTGGGCCTACTTTCATCTAGGAGACCGAGGAAGGATACGATGATACTAGGAATAGCGCCGGAAAATTGAAGTTCACTTAATTGAGTAGCAATAGGGACATGACTGGAAGACTAAGATAATGAAGTAGAGAAAATTGGAAGAAGTAGAACTATGCATTTCAACTTAGTGTTACTGCTACCAAATCCCATATTTCCTAATGGCTAGGCATGAATGTAAATAAATAAGCAAATATATTTAGGAATAAGTATCCTCTCAAAACATTTTATTGACTAAATTACTAATAAAAAAATCAAAGAAAAAATATTTTTTTCGTGACATAAAGATAACGTTTTCCTCGAAATTTGGCGCCCGTATCCTTTGCTTCATCTCCATATTTCTGGCTCCATGTACATTACTAAACTTATGGATGGAGCCCTAGGTACCATTCAATCCAAAAGGGACTAGAAGAAGATTAAATCATATGATCATTACTAATTATTTTAGAAAAAAAAAATTTCCAATTTCTTATAAACATACTTATGTCATTAATAGCACAATATATTGCACAATCTATTAACTGATATTAACTTTTTTTTAAAAAACTCATTTACAAAGAGTTTTAAAATAGTAAAAGAACTATTTGCAACTATGAATACCAGTACTTATATTACCTTCTTAATTACCTTTTTAGGATTTTATTTTTTTTAAATTGCATTTACCTTTTTCAGAGCAAAAATATATTGTGACATCCGTAATTTAATCCATACATAATATTAATATATAAACACAAACCCACACGTAGATACCTAGTATCCTCTCTGATCTTCTCCTCCATTGACCATAGTGTCCGTTGGCCATTCGGCACCACTCGGAAACAAACTAAGAACAATCATGAATAGCTTTAAAAAATTTATTAATGCGATCCTGAGAAATTCCCGTGTTTCTCACTATTACAATGAACTTGGATGGCTCTTCTCCTCCTTCAGAAAATATTTCCTCGGAAAATTCCTTAACTAAATATAAATAAACATACCTACAATCTCCTCAAATTGAAGTCCTCTATTCACTCCCTTATTACAGGATCTCGTCCTTCTGACCTTTATACCCCTTTTCACAGATCTGGCTCATTTCAAAACTCCTTCATTGTCGGTTCCACCACTTTTTTATATATAATTCCTCTTAAAAACCGATATCTTTATCCACATTTATTACTTCTCTTCCAATACCTCTTCACAAATCAATGAAATGCTGGCAAATTAAGTAGCGAGGTTTTATTTTTCTTTATACATCTTTTTCTTTTCTTTTCTTTTCTTTTCCTTCTGAATATGAAAGATTTTTTTTTCCAATCTACATCTTTGTATATAAATTACTATGCTTTTTTTTATTTTTGTACTATACAATTATTTTCATTTATTTCTTTTTAAATGACGCATGTAGTTTTTTTTATACATAAGATTTGTGTTACAAAATTAATATAACTTTCCATTTCTATCATATTTGTTTATACATTTTTACATTTTTCTTCTTTTTTTTTTGGCATACACGTTGTTACAATATTTACAACATCTGTTGTTTTAAAATATATTTTATTATTCTCAAAATATCATTACTTTCAGTTTTTACTTATTTATTGATTGTTATAGGCCTTATGGCCAGAATTAATCTTTAATTGTCTGTACAACATTGTTAATCTCAAAGGACATTGTCCCGAGATTGAGTTTCTTTATCTATTTTATTTGTAATATATAAAGAGTTGGGTAATGCTCAGTTTCCCGCGATCGAATTAAATAATCGAGTAGGTTAACATGATTTATATTAATTTAGTTTATATATATTGAATTAATCATGTTCTTTTTTACTTATGACCTTAATGTGAATACTTTCATTGTTTTTCAGGTTCTTTTCATGTATTGAAAGAAAGTAAACTGAACTTTCACATCAATACACCTTTTGAGAAGTACACACTTATAACTGGAAGGTATGCTTTCTCTGCAAGCAACAAACGTTTCTTTTTAGACCTGAAAGGCCCCACAGTTTCAGCTGGTGCCGATATCATTTACGTATATAATAACTTTTCTAATTTTGATCTAAAACTGAAAGCCCATGCTTCTGTTTCCTTAGTCAGCCTCCTCATAGTAGGAAAAAGAGACTTGGACACTGTAAGTATCTTTTAATAACAACATAAACATATTTCTTAATCTTCTAATTTATAGTTCTTTTTGGTTTTTATATTGATCAATAAAACTAGATATTGTAAATTCACAGCGCCTTGAGAGTTAAATTTAATGCTAGTTTTTATTTACAATGGGTTTTGTGAAATGTATTTTTTCTTCCTGTATAATTGTGAAAATGAGATTTAAACAGATTGTTAGAACTTAAACTTACTTGGCACTGAGAAAGTTAACCTGAAAATTTTAATATAATAGATTTAGTTACAATGGGGCACCCGTATGAATTCTTAATTTTAATTCGTCTCTGTTTAATACAATAAAGATCAATTACCATCAAAGATATTTAGGAAAAAAAAAAATTGTGCATTATCACTGTTTATTGGGGACGGGGAGGCCGAGCGATCTAACGCATGTTCACAGCAACGCGCTTTGCCCGGCAACCTGATAACCGAATCTATAGATGATAAAATAACTACGAGTTCGCATCCCGGTATCCCGTGCGCTTTTAAACTCTGGCATTAATACACCGCCCACACCCCCTGACCCGGGAAAACCCCCTATAGCCTAAAAGGCGAGGAAGGAGAGAAAAAAAAAACTCATCTATTATCGAAAACCCTACTTATCGTAGTTATTTTTGCTTAAAGCACAAGTACTCTATTCTAACTATATATCAAATTATATATTTTTTTTAAACAACTAAAAGTGAATCCTAACTTAATTAATATGTACATAAAGCTACAAGACAATACAGTTTTAGAACAAATACGTTTTTTAAAAAGTTAGGTATTTATATTCCAGTTGTAGGGCGATAAAAAATTCGCGTTTTTCACGTTTTTATGAATAACAGAACTTTTTATTGTTTAGCCGCTTGAAATTAAGTTTTATATGGTCTTAATAAACACAAACTATTCTTGCTTTTGGATGAAATTTTATCTAGTTTACTAGAAAGCAATAGTTAATTAATTAAATTATTTTATTTTTAGTTACTGCTTTATATTCAACCAAAAACGTTAAATCTAAATTTCCTGCTTTTTTGCGGAAAATCACAGAAATTTCACATGGTTTGTGATAATGTTTTTTAGTTCTTGTAACCTGCTGTTACCTCTTTAAATATTTTTCATTAATTACTAGCCCTCTTTACCTGTACAATCTGTATGCATTTCCTTTTGCTGCTTCTCACAATTATTAACATGATTTTTAGATTGATGTGAGGATCGGATGGAACACACTACTTGTTGGTTTTATTGGACGGTCACACTACATAGCATGGCATGACGTGGACTATAGTTTACAACTGTTTACACCCTTTGAAGGATACAACAAAGGTTCCGCTATAGCTAAATTAATTTATAATGACAAGCTAGATCTGGAGACGTACGTCAATTTGGGTGAAAAAAAGGTGAGAATTAGTTCTAGAGAGTTTTAATTTTTTTCCCTAATATTTGGAAACTTGTTTCGCATATCGAACTAAATATATTATTTCACACAGCTTATTGGCTCACCCGATCTGTGTGGACATAACCTGCCTCTAACACTCCACTACACACTTGTTTCAAAACTAAAGTTCAACAAGCTACCCATAATGTTAATTCTTAAGTAACAATAATTATTTGATAGATGGATTTATTCGACAACATTACTCCCACTATATTGTACTATTTTATTTTATATTTTAGTATGTTTTATTGTTCAAATATTTATTTCTGGAAATCAAAAAACGTAGATTGTTTTCATTCTCGTTCATTTTTTTTTTCAATGAAACCGACATTAAAAAATAAATCGACTAATTGTAATAGATTTTTATATTACGGATCTAACTTTTTATTGTATTTCTTTTTTTCAGATTGGTTTAAAAGTTCAAGCTATGAAAAAACCAGATCCTGAATTCGCAGTTCCTTTCAGTGAAGATGTTTCATCTCGAAAATTGATAAGTGGAGACAAATACATCGAACCCTTTAATTATGATGAGATAGAGTATGGTAACACCTACTGGAGAGGAGTGTTTCAATTTGATTCAACACTTTATCCAACGGTACACGGCATCGTACAGGTTAACGACGATGGTGTAGAATACTACACCATATCGTATTTAAGTTTCCCGTTTGGCCAAGTGAAAATAACGGATACATTGAAATATACTGTAAGCAAAAATAAATATTCCTAAACAAATACTATATTAGTTTTTGTAGTATTTTTTATAATATGAATTCTATATAATTATCATCAATGTTCAGATTTCAAACTACATATTTACAAATAAGTAATATCCAATTATTTATTAATAGCAACTGTTTTAACAGAAAAAAAATATAGCTTAGGTCGATGCGATGGTTTGATTATGAAATATGTGTAATATGTGTAACAGGATTGACCTATAAAGTTGTGTAAATAATTTCAAATGGAAGTAGTACGAATGACGAATGATTTGCTGAAGGAAGCAGTTTTATAAGATGGGATATATGAATCTACAGGTTGAGACTTAGTGTTAAGAAAATGACTAGAAAAGTGTAAAGTAAAGAGTTCTCGGATGCAAGAAGGTTTTAAGAACTGGAAAAAGAAACAAACCAAAGAGGTATTGTCGTCGGAAAATTGGATAAAGCCACTTCATATACCAAAAAGAAACATGAAAGTGCCTGGGAAACCCAAAGAAGAATCTTATGAAAAAGTTCATAAGTATTTTCGGTTCCATCTCTGACCTAGCAAATATGACTTCGTACACCAAGCTAACATAATCGAGGGGGCGCATAGGAGATGATACGAGGCAGATATTTTTAGTAGTGGAATCATGAAATCATAGAAGTTGTTTAAAGACAGCTTTGGGTTTCTTTTTTGTCAGTAAAATATGGTTACTCCAGCTGATCGGTAGTATTTTTACTGTCGAGTGAGAAGGAATAGGTTGATTATTGAGTTCAACTAGGGGATGGAGGAAGAAAAAAAAAAGAGGGGATTGGAACCGATGAGATTTCTTGGGTTTTTCAGCATTCGGCCATTATTCATTGATTTGGATGACGGACCCACGGTATGATTCTCAATCTTCCAACTCTAATTACAAAGTAGGATAATCAATATTTAAGGAAGTCTGGCCAGTAGGATAACCCTGTATGCCAGAAATAGTCAAATAGAGCTTAAGGCATAAAAGGTCAATCTCATTATGTTTTCAGACCATAGACATTACAATGCCGTTTAAATGATACATCCTAGTCTCTGCCATCTTCAAAAAGTATACGTTCTATATCATTTTTCCTCTGTCCGCCAGCGAGCATCCATCTGCTCTCATCTTCTTGGGTAGATCTCATTTGGTCAGATCTATTATAATAACCGAAGTTTGAAATCGATAATGATTATTTCCACAAAATCATTTAATAATTGATTTTTAATTTTAAAATCATGCCTAATTTGCCTTAATTTATATCTTTCTTTAATGTATTTTAATGTAAAAATATATCTTACCAAAATAATTTAAACATGATTTATACAATCAAAAATGAACATTTTCGACCTAAATTATTTTTAGGACTAAGCAGATTTTAAAGTATTTATAAAATTTTCAGGATTTGCTGAATTTAAAAAATTTTATGAACGTAATCACAACTTGCAACTGTTTGGATAATGGTGAGGTCAGTTTCTCTATTGGAGGTACATTGGGAAGGAATATACAAGCAACTTTAGAGGCATCTGCAAAGGTTTATAATACTTCATACAAGGTAATGTCATTAACATATTATTTCATTTCATAAATATAAAACTAAGACGTTTTTTATATGATTGAAAATAAAATTATAATTTTTACACCAGCTCCTTTTTCCTAATTTCATAGCACATATGAAATATTTGTATTAAAGTTTCTGTAAATTTTAATTTATAGGGAGAATTAGAAACTGACTACTTATATATTCCAGTTAGCGAAGAGAACAAATCTGAGGGCTTCTATAATATAACTGCACGGGCTAAAACACCTTTCAGGAAACTTGCACATGCATATACTAACGTCCTTTTGAAAGCCGAAAGTCCAATATATGTAGGAAATTTGACTGTGGAAATGAACAACTCTACGGTCTACGTCGATGGGACACTAGAGGTAAGTTGTGTATTTTATTACATAAACTACTTTTCTTACTTACCAATTTAATAAAACATCTGTACCATCACAACTCATTGAGGATCTATGGTTCAATACTTCCTAAGAAAGTGCTGTTTCTTGGTCAATGGTTGTGCAAGGATGTGATTTGACCAATACCAATCTCCACTGCCAGGTTTTACTCTCAATTAACAGTACCCACTTTATAGAGGATGGGTGTGCCCCAGGAGGCACATATATATATATATATATATATATATATATATATATATATATATATATATATATATACCTGATATAGCTGAACTCAGCCCTGGAAGAATATCATCTTACTCACTGAACTACTCCACTCTTTACTTAGCAACTTATAATATGTGTGAAAAAAATCTTTTAAATACTGTTATAAATATTTTAAAAACTTGATCATATTATCTGAGGTATAATTTTTTTTAATAAGTATTACTAAATACAACACAACACAATCACCATTTTCATTGATTTCTAGTGGAGTGTAGGGCATCTACAGGTTCATTGTGTTCCACTCATCTAACTACAATCTTTCTTGCTTCTTGTCGAATTTTGCTGACCCAACAAAAAGTTTTTTTCTGCTCATGTGTGCCATTATCCTCTGGGTCTTCCTCTCCTTCTTACTACCTGGGGTTTCACTGTGAAACATATAATGATATAATATAATTGTACAACAAAACATATAATTGTACAATGCAATACTATAATATAGATATCATTCAAGATGTAGTCATACTTTGGGGACAAAGAATAATAGAAAATGAAATAGAAAATATTTTAATTCTTGGAAGGTATTTTTGGTCACCTTATTTCAATGCTAAACACGGCATATTTTTTTTTAACTAATGCACGTATTCTTAATAATTGATTTTGTAAAATATGCATACAAGTATTAAATAATTTAACCAACCATTCCATTTCAGAACGATGGAACTATATTCACTATGGATGTGGGAGCAAAAATTAACACTACAATCTTCAAACTACCTATGTGTCGATTAATGCTTAGCAAAGATTTCACAGATTTTGAAAAGGAACTGAAAGTTGGGCTGGCTTTACCCAATGAAAGAGGAGTAAGTAATTAGCCTCTAGTAATACCATTAATAGATTTGCTTAGTTATAATAATTAATCAAAATCTTTCCAATCAGTAATTTTTAAAAATAATTTCTTCTATGTTTAATTTTATTGGAAAATTCCCTTACATAATAGGTTAAGAAGGCAATTTTCCACTTCCTTTAAGACTATTTTTTTTTTACATTTCTTTCATGCTGAAGTTTCAAGGAATACTTCCCTCATCTTCTGAACTTTTACTTTGTGAACATTATTCCTGCCATAATATTAACTCTTCGCCAGTAGCTCCTGGTTTATGAAAATTAAAAAGAAAGTTAATAATGTATAACTTATAATGTATAACACCAAGAGGTGAAGAGAGAAATACTTTATTTTCATATTTATTCCTTACTCTTGCAATTTATTTTTTTTTTAATTTAATTTTCCTTTCTCTCCCTTCTCTCTCTTTATCTCTCTAAAATACTGCATATATTAAAATGTTTAAAACTATTCTATATAAACCATAAAAAAAAACAAAAGTGTATATGCAATTTAATACAATAAAACTTTTTCAATAAATAAATACATAAATTATAATATATTATTATGCAGGTTTGACTTTTATTCTTTTTATACTTTTATACAGCATTATCATGGTTCTGATGATGTGGAAAATATTCCCTAAAATAGCAACATAAAAGAGCTATAAAAAAAAATGAAGAATTATAAAGAAAATGAAAAAGATATTTATAAGGAAAATTTATAACTTAACCGATTAACAAATAGATAGTGACAAATTATTTAATGCATTAATGAATTCAAATTCAATTTCATTTTTAGGATTCCCTTGTACATTATGGAATAGCTTTAGCTTGGCATTATGATGGACCACAGTACTTGAAATATGTTTTGTCTATATTAACACCATACCCCTCAATTGGAACAATCAAAACTAGTGTGTCTTATTCTAGTGATCCATCATTCGAAGAATACTTCTTGGAGATATATGTTAAATATTCTAAGTTGAATGAAATAACTGCATGGAGTTCAGTGAAAAAACAGATGTTCAATTTCCATGTCCTTTCTACTTCTGAATTAATCAGGTAAGTGCTAACAAGTAAATATTTTCCTATTTTATAATTTGGTTTATGTCTCAGTGTTCCTGAGTGATTGTTTAATCATTACTTTAATTTTTAAATAAAAGTGATGTATGCATCTAGTTATAAAAGTGATGTATGATTAAGAATTATCATTGATATTAATTCTTGACTAGTGAAAAGTTTTTTTTAATAATTACAGAAACATTAGCATCAATGGAGTCCTAAAAAACAAAGGAGGTGTTCGTAGTTTAGATGCAGTCTTGAGCTGGGACAAAGAATACAGGATGCTTGGATGGGCTACAGTGAATTCTAAAAAACCTTTTATGGTATAGTAGAATAAATCCATATAAATATATATATACACATACATATATTTATTAGAAGTGTTGTGTTGTGTATTTAATAATTACTAATAATAATTGGCAATACTTGTGTTAGAGATTGATTAGATCTTTTCAATAAAGAAAATAATAGTAATAAAATGTTATATATTTGCCAAGAAATTCATGCCATCTTCAGACGTATGCAGATTGTCATTAAATAATATTGGTACACAGCTCTAGTATTGAACTTGGCAAACACATTTAGCCAAAACATTGCCTGTTACACGAAAGACAACAAAATCTTGTAATTATTTGTTGTCTCATCTATTATTTTAAAACTAGTTTTATTACAGTATCTCTATTATTTAGAATATTTATTTATGTATAAAAAATTATATTTATTAGCTTAGGAATTATTCTATATGATTTCAGGTGTGTAATATATGAAATTAGAGGAAGGGGGATTTTTTAAAAGAAGTTTATACTTTCTCCAAAACCATTCATTTTATTGATAACTATAATGTTTTACAGGTTGAAATCAAACTCTATAAAACAGCAACTAATACAGAAGTTTTTGGTCTCTCTCTCAGTGTTCATAAGAAAGATAATCGGTATGACATAAACTCACTGATACAGAGATTTGATCACAGAATTAATATCTTATGTGATTATGTCATAATAGATAATATTGGAAAACTTCTTCATGTAATGGTTAGTAAAACTTTATCTCTCTAAAAATTTCATACATCCAATTTATATTCATTTGAGAATTTATAATAAAAATACATCTAATACTTTGAAATGTTCATTCACTGATTTTATGGTTCTGGGCATTCATCAGGGTACCCAGTACAATAGTTTGGGAACAAGTTGTTTTAATTAATTGTGATCACAAGATGAATACAACGTCTTCCTAAACTACTCGACGGGGCACCCTGATGAAGACCTCATGCTAAACTATCGGTATGTATTAAAGCAGTATTACACTTATAGGGTGTTTTCTTTCTTAACTGTAATACTAACCAACTTCAAGGTACAAATTTCGGGGTCCTGCCAAAAAATAGTTTAAACTTAGAGGCTATAAATTTAACTCTTTTGTTTTGAGGTTTATTCAATTATTTTACGAGGTGTTTTTTGTATTCTTTTAGTCATTATAAACTCTTAAAGTTTAAATATTTAGAGACCTCGGGGTCCTTTAATATCATTGGTCCTATGGACTTACCTAGTCTGATTACCACTTGATCCAATCCTTTTTCTTAATTAATATATTAGTTTCTAGGAAAGCTGTATGTTATTTAAATTTAATTATATAAGACTGCTTGTTTATTTTCTTTCAACTTTTATTTTTCATCAAATCTTCAAATTTTATATATTCTCAGTAGATTTTCAAATGAACTAATAATTTAACTAAAGAATGATATAAATTTATCAGTTTTCAAAGTTCAAAATTATTTATCTTTTGAAATATTTTACTATAAAGAAATCTAAATAAACATTAATAAAAGAATAATATTGCTATATGTTATTGAAACAAAATTATTCATTTTTTAACTATCTATTCTCCTTTCCTTAATTAGTTATCAAGCACATACCCAGGGTATGAAAAATTTGTTTTGTACTCTGAGTTTCTAAGTAAAGACAGTGAAACAATGGTTACTCAAGTAAATGGAGAAGTACAATCTAAATGGATTACTACTCAAGCCCAAGTGAATCTTAATGTATCGTAAGTAATAAATACATTTGGGGGTGGTGATTGTATATTAATGTATGTTATATAATGCAAAAATTTCACAAGGTTTTTGAATTTAATTTTTAATATTAATTTCAGATTAGAGGAAGATATTGGAATAATAAGACTTAATCTGTTCAACAAAAATATTTCGGCAGATGGACAAATCTCATGGGTGAATAAAGCTTTGGAACACCTTGCCTTCGATATCTCAGGAATGGTAAAATACTTTGATATGCCAAGAACAATAAATGCACATATTCACATGTGGAACTTTGATAGTGAATTCCAAGAAATGTCTCTGGCCAGTGATGTTGATTATAACTCCAAAGAATGGTGGTATGTTTTCATATCATTTATAATTTTATTGCTATTTGTATTTTTAAAAAATACATATACATTATGCATATTGTAAGCAGGATACTTTTTTTATTTTTTTATTTATTATGGATATTTGTTATTATTCTCTGAGCCCCCAAAACCCACATTTCTATCTCTGTATATTATTCTAAAGGGAACTGTCCCAGAATAAATAAAGCATTATTATAAATTACTTACAAAAATTCTTTTTTTATTTATAAAAAATTATAAGTACTTGGACATGACTTCCATTACATATGACAAAGTAATAGAATTGAAGAACATCAACGGATACCCTGAAAAGATTAAGGAATAAATAGCAAGACTTGAGATAAAAAAAGATAAATACCTAGAGAAAATTCAGATTAACAGTGAATAAGATAAAGATCCTTGTATAAAAGAGTAGAAAGGGAAATAGAAATTGGACAGAAAGAAAAAAGGAAAAGAGTAAAAAATTAAGAAATTTTGAGCTAAAAGGAAAGCCAAGAAATAATGAGATACACGTGGTCTTTAGGTGGTCTTTAACGCGAAAACAAAACCACAAGAATATGATAAAAAAAATTATACTGCTATTTAAAAATTTTATTATCTAAAATGATGATGTACCATGAATATTCACACAGTTCTCAATATTGGAAATTAATTTTTATAGTTTTAAGTGGCCAACTAAACGTTCATTCTTTATTTCTTGTAGCATCGTCATATCGTAAAAAAAGTATTGAACGTACTGCCCCAAAATGGCGTCCAAACATGGCGGACTGACGACTGACTTTAGTTAGTTTTTTTGGGCACTGAGAATCAGTAATTGGCTTAATTTGGTCATAGTTGATCTTTTATTAATGCTGGATAGTCAGAAAATAATAAAACATGAAAAATAATTGGCTTAGACAATAAATACCAGTAAAGTAAATTTTGTTTTCAAAAAAAGTTTAAAATCAAGCCTCGTTTGTAATTAAACGGCCAACAACAACGCAAAACGTGTTGAAATAAAACATCTGGAAAATATATTTCTCTTTCTAAAACACTGATTACTTTTTAAAATATTTGAAGCAGTACTAAGTCCTGAATGGTGGTAGAGGCCTGTAGGCACCAACGCTAGTACCGCTTTTCTCCCGCTTAAGTGCATTTTATACGAAACTGCTTAAAATATTTTAAAAAGTAATCAGTGTTTTAGAAAGATAAATATATTCTCTATATGTTTTATTTCAACACGTTCAACTTGAAGTGTTTTTAGTTGAAAAAAATTACTTTACGGGTGTTTTTTATTGCATAGGCCAATTATTTTTTAATATTTTCTATTATTTTTTAATATTTTCCATTATTTTTTCATTATTTTCTGACTTTCCAGCTTTAATAAAAGACCAACTATTACTGGTTATACTATTATGGTGATCTTCTAAGCTACTAACTGAACATTTGATCATCGGATCATTCTTAATAAATATTTCGGATATATGACAATTGCTGGAATTGGAATTGATCGAAGTATAGCTATAAAAGAATGTTCGCATAGTATCCATAAAGAAATCATTAGACGAGAGTGAAATACAACATTGCACGGCTGCATGTGTTGAGTTGCCAAATAACATAGTATACTCACCAATCAATAGATAGTACTGTAAAAAAAATGTAAGAGAGAGTTAGGTCGGACCATTGGAATACATATCAGATATGCCAATAACGGTTTATAGAATCAAATAAGCGAAGGCCTAGATCAATATATGTGGTGATGGATGATTCCTAACGAGTCTAAAATAGCAGCCTCTGCCATTGTTTGCGTGTACTCTTTTCCAACACCTAGCCTCTGCAAGAAATTACTTACAGTAAGAGGGATGCTTTCTCTGCTTCCGTACCATAGCAATTTAACTGAGAATTCTCTCTCGCCGAATTCTTCTCTATACCTTTCCTACAGGGAAAATATGCATTTAGTATAAATTTTCTCTTTCTGAAGTCCTGGTCGTGATCGTTCTTTTCAAATCTGATAGTGGGATCCAAGATGAGTGCCTCCTTTTCATCAAGTGTCAATGAACCATGTTGATCCTTCTGTATCTAGGCATTTTCTATCCAAGGGTAGAGGACGATTTTCCATCCAGAAAAATAGCCGATGTACGTATATTAAAAAGAAGTTGGTTGGGGTGTTAAGTAAAAAAGCCACATAGTAAAAATAAATAAATTATATTTATTTTAATTTTTGCCAACGTTTTGGTCCAAGGTCCAGGCCTTCATCAGGGCTGTTCTAACGAACGGTGCCGTAAGACTCTTTTTGAGTGAACAATCAAACCAACTTCCCTTCAATTTATCTACGACAGTCAGCTATAAATCCAGTATCGTAAATTAAAGAGGTTTTTACACGAATGTCTGAGGAATGTAAAGTAAAATGGAATTGAATGTGAAGCGAAAAGGAAGAGAGCTGTCGACCATAGATAATATTGGATAAAAGTATCTGTAAGTTGGACAGAGATCCTCGAAAGACAATACATCATGTAAAGGCTAAGGATATGGTTCGAGAATCATGGAAAAAGTTGATCTAGGCTAAGTGAGTAGAGTACTACGCTGAAAGGCATTATTAAAAGATGAAGTAGAAGGTTTTATCTATAAAAATTACTATTTGATTCTTAAAATAATCACTTATCACATAACTCTTAACATAATATCTATGTCTATTTTCAGGCTGACGGCAAATGCTACATTGCTCTGGCCAGTGTGGAATGATTTGGAATTTGTCTCGCATGCTATCTTACCACATAAAACAGAAGATCATCACATTACCTTAGCGAAACTCTATTATGATAAAAAAATGGCTTATAACACATTATTGTTGAAGTACAGCGCAAATCCAAAAAGTTTCAACTTTCATTCATTAATCGAGGTATTACAGCTATTTTAATACAGATATCTTATATATTAAGGCTATAAATATTTTATATTCATATGTGTATTAAACGGTAAATCGGGGTAGTTTCATGAAATCCATTTTCGTGACGAGCTTACGTACTCTCTTCTAAACTCTTCTTCTCTTCTCGTCAAGTACATTTCCTTGGATTGATCATACACCAAAATATCAACTCCCCTTCTTGCACTTATAGTCTCCTTTAATTCCAACACTTGATCCACTCACGGAAAACAAAATCCCATGCTTCTGACCTCTATACCTCTCCCCAAAAAAGTGACACAATCTGTGGTTTTGGCCAGATATGTTTATTTTGTATTTGTACATATTTGTTATTCTGGAGAGACTAAGCTTCAGAATACAGTGGTTTTTTTTATGCTATATTAGACTGGTCCAAAAAAAAAGAGTGGTTATTGAATAATGTAAAGAATTTGTCAATCCATGACCGAGAATTTTGAAAAAAAATCTCAATTCAAATGGTTGATCAAAGAGATTAATGGTCCATCTAATTTTTAAAAAAACCAACGAAACTGATTTAAATTTAATTTTTACGGGAATTTTTTATAGAAATGATAGTAGACCTCAAGAGCTACAAAAAAGTTAATAGAAACAATGTGCCGATTTTCAGCAGAAAAGTGGGATATCCAAGTTTTTTGTTTTTTTTAAGTGAGTCTTGTTTTTCACTGAATCGAAAGCAATAACTAAAGAAATATTTAATTTAAGTAATTAATAATGGCTTCATTGTAAACAAGATAAAATTTACTTTAAACGAACATCCAACTATACTACTGTCACCTCACTTTTACCAAAACTTCTTCGTTTAATAAGCTTAAGTACATATTAGTTGAGTTGAGGTTAGTTAGGGAAGAAACTGAGATTAAGCACAAGATTTGTAAAAAAAAAAACGATAATATTTTTTGGTACTTGTTAAATAGCGGGTAGCGTCCGACTGCTATCTGCCAATGTTTATAACCTTAACACTGATAACTCTGATAATATCTTCGTATTCATATTAATTGTATTATATTCACATTATTACATCTTCGTATTCATAATTATTGTATTGTATTGATATTATTGAAATTGTAAACAAAATCAAATGGAATAATAAAAATAAATTAAATAATAAAAAAACACTTAAACAGCATATGTACATATAAAAAAAACACTATGAAGACTATAAGAACCTATGTACATATAAAAGAAACGATATAAGCAGTATAAATAAAATATGAACAATTTTATTTCAACTTATTCAACAATTTTATTTTGGTAGGGAAAATAGTTTAATGCTATTTAAAATAGCGAGGAACGGATCCTCTTCTCTGTGAGCCCACCACCACAAAAACTCACATAAATATTAATCGAAGTGTTGTCTGGCAGTTCCTCCATATTTTTATTTCTTTATGTTTTTTATTTCTTTTATTTTTATTTACAACTACGAAAGGATCTCCATTTAATCTACCTACTGGTCTATTTTCATTTTATTTTAAATTCGTTGGTCATGTTTTTATTTGTATTTTTTTTTAAATCAATATAATCCTTTTACATCAAACTTTCTTCAATTTTTTGTGGTACCATCATCATCTTACTGAAATTACACACAGATTTTGGTTAAAATAGCCTAATTGGCGGTTGACGAATAAATTTTTAGAAAAATAAAAACAATGCTAATGACTATTTTTTGTCGTAATTTACGGCTGATATAAAACGACTTATTGGACAAAAATATTTTTTTTTATTTTACACTACAAATGACTAGGGATTAATTTATAATTAGTCCTTATAGTTTCAACCTCGACGCCACATGAATTACCTCTTTTGGCTTAGCGTTATTTATGTACATGCCCCAAACCAGTTATATAATGTAATATTTAAATTTTATTTCAATCAACATTTCTCTAAAACAGTTGCATTATTTATAGGTTAAAATTAATTATTTTAATATGATTCGTATTATTATTTTTGTTTTGTTTTTTACAAGTGATGAGCACCCCTAAAGATAGGCGGGGGACCCCAACAGATTTCGGCGCCCCGGAGCAATTGCTCCAATTGCCTCACCCAAAGGCCAGCACTATCACAAACTAAGCTTAGTTGTCAATTTTTTCATTTTTTAATAATTAAAAATGTAATTTAATATAATGGAAGATAACAAATAAGAAAATTCTACTGTAAAAAAGTGCACTTATTTAAAATCGTAAACAGATCTAATTATGTTACAGTTCCCTGACGAAAATGTACATCCTAATTTTAAAAGGCGGTATTGGAAGACATAATGTTTTTTTATTTTTTTATTTAGAAATATAACAACCTGTCACGTTGACAATAATTATAGTGGTATATGAACACGTTCATACCATATGTACAGAAAATATAAAATTAAAAAAAGTAAAATAATAATCATAAACTATGTACAATAAAAAATAAAATAACCTAAAGATAAGTAAATTAAAAACGTAAAAACACAGTCATACATATATACAATCAGCCAGGGAATCCCAAGCTAGGCTTCTACCCCCCCCCCCCTCCTCCACCACTATATTATTATATTATATTTGTTCATTTAGAAATATTACATTCTGTCACATCAAGGATATTTATAATAGTGTTCAGAGAGCACACTCACACTCTATTTACAATAAGTAAAAATAAATAATACAGAAACTAATAATAATAAAAATAAATGTATATAAACAAAAGAACTAACCTAATCACACATACTTGGCTTGAGTGGAGGATCTGGCCATTGCCAAAACTCCAATATTTGCTTATTCACAGAAGGTGGATTGTAAGAATGGGTGGTGCTGGATAGAGATTGTGCAAGGAGATTTGGATGATAGGTAAGGTTCTGGTGAAATTTGGAGAATTTTTCTGGTATAAGGTCTAGGACAAATGGGATATTAAGGTCATGGTGTAGGGTTTTGTTAGTTACATAGAACGGAGCATCAACTATTATTCGAAGGACTTTAGATTGAAAGGATTGAATACGTTTGATGTTAGAAAATGATGCTGTCCCCCACAGTTCAAGTCCGTATGTCCATATAGGTTTCAGTATTGTCTTGTAGATAAGTAATTGGTTTTCAATAGAAAGTTTAGATTTTCTGTTTAGTAGTCTGTATAGCTGGCCGTATCGTCGGTTGAGTTCTTGTCTTTTGGGGTAAGGAAAGTGGGATTGGTGATGTAAGGAGTTCTTCTACTGTTACGGTGTGGGCAGGATGGGATTCCGGATGTGAAATAAATGTATTAGATAGGTGAATGGCGAAATCCTCAGCTTCATCTTCGTCGTATGCTGCCCAGGAGCCATCATCTCGTCGGAGGGGATGGGAAATGTGGTGAGGATTTAGGATTTTTGTTGTGGTTTTCCAAAGGGAATTGTCGCGAGAAGAGAGGGAGGATAGGTAGGAGTTGAAGGATTGTGATCTGAAGGTGACTAATTCCAATTTAATTTTTTGCAGCAATAATTATAGGAGCAGCGGTCGGTAGGATGTCGAGTACGTTGCCACAATAATCTGGCACGGCGTTTGGTGTGGATTAGGTCTAGGATTGGGATAGAATGGTCTTTTTAGGAATTCTGGAGGAGTCTCCCAACTATAGAAGGAAAAACAGGACTTCAAGAGATTCCTGCGCTACTTTCTCAACCGCGTCACTGATGCTAAAGCCAGTGGAGTTTGAGTGAGAGCGGTTTAGCCACATACACTCATGTCTTGAGTTGGGAATCTGGCCATTGCTAGAACTCCAAGATATATACTACAAAAGATCTCTAGACTATTATCGCTTCAACCTTCGAGGAAGATTGTAGGGATGGGTAGAACTAGATAGGGCTTGTGCTAGAGGATTCGGATGATTTATAAGGTTCTGATGGAACTTGGAAAATTTTTCAGGGATAAGGTCGAGGACAAATGGGATATTAAGGTCATGATGTAGGGTTCTGTTGGTTACATAGAACGGAGCATCGACTATTGTTCGGAGGATTTTGGACTGAAAAGATTGGATGTATTTGATGTTAGAAAATTTAGCTGTTCCCCAAATAATATTTTTTATTAAGAGTGAAAAGTTTCACGTGATCAGGCCCGTGGATTCTGTGGCATCAGGCAGCTTCATTTAAAATTTTTCAGCAGTTTCCTAAGTATAAAATAAAATAAGTAATATATGAGCTATAACGCAAATGTACGTTTCTTTTTCAGGTGGTGATTGAACCTGAGACTATGCATGGTACGGTACTGATGCAAACTGGAAAACACAGAATATATGATCATCTAATAACAGTTTCTACCGGAAATCAATACGACATACGCAATGTTCTTCAGTCGACAAATTTAAAAGAAGATTTGACAGTTGCTGTACTTTATGGAAAGACTGACAAGCATAAAGTTGAGTAAGTGGAAAAACATCCAAACATGATACAAATTAAATATTTTTGTCTAATGTAAGCAATATGTTTATAAATTGTATATTAATTATCCTATAATTAATCAGTCATCGATTGATAATAACAAAAGAACTGTGACCTACCACTATTGGATTTTCACGTGTTTCACAATTGGGATACTTTGTGACAACGGGAGTGGCTGATATTATTATTTTTAAATGTTATCCTATGTATTGTAACTTTAGCTGCTTATTAAAAGAAAAAGTATAGGTACACCATAATCAAAGCAACTAAAATGTAAAACAGTATTTTTCAAACTAGTTTTTTTTTTTATGAAAAAATGTTTGTTTAGGCAATTGGGTTTATTAAAATACATCCCAGATGATGGAAAATCAAGAAATAAAAGCTTTCCAACAGTTAATTGTAGTCATTTTTGTTGAAAACACGAGTACTTTTAGGAGACTGTATAGAAAATCACATCATTTCTTTATACAACTAGAGGAGAATCTCAATTTTTTGTCTAATAAATCTCAATTTCATTAATAAGCTTAAACCTTATTAAACGAGGAACTAAAAGTGGGGCAACTGTAGTATAGTTGGAAGATGATAAAAAAAATAGCCAATAATTTATGAACAGAACTTAGCTTAGTTTAGTCGCTCAAATGCCTCTTTAAATGGTTTTAATAATGACAAACTCCATTTTTAATCAAAGTAAATTTTGTCTAGTTTACAGTAAATTAATTTTTAATTACTTAAATTAGCTCCATAGCCGGTCCCTTTGGGGCCAATCTGGGAGTGTGCTTCCTACTAACTCACTCGGTTTCAAGGAAACTGACAAATCGGTCTAGACCAATGGGTTATGGCTGCTCGGAGTCAGCAGATCTTAGATATATAATAATAATAAATATAAATGCATAAATACACTTTTTATATATAAAATTAACTATTAAAAATCTGGCGCAACACACAACTTTCACTTAAAATTCTTCTTTGTTAAAAAAAAATTATTTTCTGGCAATAGTAGGCTATTATAAAATTTTTGAATTGCATTTTTAACCGAGCTAAAGCTTAAAGCTTGCAGCTAACAAATCAATACCATTAAAATAACTAAAATCCTATTTATTTTATAAAGGTTGATAATGGACTGTACTATCCGTTGATTACGGATGTACGGACTATTAACTATTAAACTATTATTTTCCATTGCAAAGTTTACTAAAATGGAATTACAAGATTTGCATTACCTGTCAATTTTTGATAAGTCAGAAATTTTCACACTAATTTAAGTGTTTCCAGTTGGGACATCGCAAAGGGAAAATTCATCAAATTATTCACTAATTTAATTTTCTAAAATGTTACTTAATTATTTTTCGGAATAAACGGCCGATAGATACGTAATTATTTAAAAATAATATCAGATCTAGAGTTATTGAACTACAGTAAATGTATTTAAGGTTATAAACATATCCATGAAATATTATTATAGTTCACATTTGTCTTGATTCCGTGGATTTTAAATATTTTTTCAAATATAAAGAAAAAATTGATATGATTTACGTTAAATGGTGTTAGTTTTCAGAAAATATTATTTATGCTTTTCGCCACTCTCCGTTACCTTCTACAATTCTCCGCTTTCTAACGATATATTATACTTATACCTTCTGACTATTATTTCCGGAGATTCATTTTCGACCTGGATGAGCATTCTTATTTTTTTCTCCTTTATTCAATTATCAAATTCTTTCAAAAGTTCTTTTTATCCTTTTTTCATAACACCTAACAATGTGAGATAGTTAATTATTTAAAATAAACCAAATTAAAGGTACTCTAGAGGAAGCCATTTTATATATTAGGCATTTAAGCCCTGTTAAGCAACATCAATAGGGATAATATCTAAATGATATTAAAAATTAATTAATTATACATTAATACACCAAGATTAATAAAAATCATTACAGCCATTTTCGAGAAAATTCTAAAATGTGTAAAATCGGTGATATAACGTGGCCCTTTCGGTTAGCATATTTTAACGAAGAAATTTTCGACACATCTGAGTCATATACAAACCTGAAATACGCAATTTCAGTTTCGTACGACTTTTCGTTTTTGAGCTTGGCTGTTCACACACACATACACACAAACAATTGGTTATTTCGACTCAGGAGTGTCACTTTTCATCCGAAACATCTTACACTGCTATTGTTTTTTCAGTCATTTCAGAAGCATTCTGGAAACTCCGCATTTCTTATTACATCCAAGATCGCTCAAGGTGATTCCCCGATTTTCCCTACAAACTTTTAAAACAGGCTTCAATATCATCAGGGTATTTACTCGATATTTTTCCCTTTTGCACAAGATTTATATAAAACTGGCGATGGGAGACCAGCGACTCCCCATGGTCATTATTGTTACTTCTAAACACATTATTATTATTTATCTGCATCGTATTCTCAGATTTCTGGAATAGCATCCACACCTTAGAAAACACTCGTGGGAATGTAGATGAACGTTTTACTTATTATTATTATTTTTAATAATCACATAGAACATCTTTAAAAAAATTGATGTAGAGATGGTTGACCGTTGATATAATATGAGAAGGAGTTAGTCGAGGGTGCGGTCAAATAAATTAAAAAAAAAATTAAAATATATAAATTATTTTAATTTTTGAAGACGTTTCGACCCACTTTGCAGGTCGTCTTCAGGGCTACAAAAGATACAAAACATGTTGAAAATAAAAAATAAATATAAGTATATATAAAATACGAAAAAGTTGTCAGATACAGAAATAAAAGATGGTATCAGAGATATAGTGGGTGACAATGTAGTTAAATATTAAGAATTATATATGTAGAAGATACAAATAAATGGAAAATAAGTAGGAATAAAAATAAAAATAATTATTTTTATTATTATTATTATTTATTTGATTATTTTTATTTTTATTCCTACTTATTTTCCATTTATTTGTGTCTTCTACATATATAATTCTTAATATTTAACTACATTGTCACCCACTATATCTCTGATACCATCTTTTATTTCTGTATCTGACAACTTTTTCGTATTTTATATATACTTATATTTATTTTTTATTTTCAACATGTTTTGTATCTTTTGTAGCCCTGAAGACGACCTGCAAAGTGGGTCGAAACGTCTTCAAAAATTAAAATAATTTATATATTTTAATTTTTTTTTAAATTTATTTGACCGCACCCTCGACTAACTCCTTCTCACTTTAAAAAAATTATTTTCGATTCGTTTAGTGATAATTTATTATTTTAAAAGATAAGTATATATAAACTTTAATTGGTTTTCTTAATAGTTTGACAGTTTACTATCCAGAACCAGTTCCTTACGTCAGAATGCATACAGAATTTTCAGCATTGAATAATCTGTTTGCTACAATGAACTGCACAACACCATTTAAAGCATTTCCTCATGTTCGAGTGTTTTTGAAACTAATCACAACCAGGTAATTTATAACAAAATATTATTAATTTTTATTTAATATATAATATTTCTGAAACACGTACTATAAGAAATAATAAGCAATTTGAGGTTATAACGAAAGACATTGGTTTACGTAAATTTCAGTTTCATATATGATTGTATAAGGCGATGAGTGAAACTAAATTAAACTGTAAGGATATATATTTTTTCCTTGATCTTCAATACATTTCTTTCAACGCCTAAAAATATTTCTCATCTCTTTTTTGAATAAATAAAAATATATAACATGTTTGTTTGTCAGTTATAAAAAAATATATTGTTATTTTGTGAAAACTGCCATTTTCATCTGACTTCTGTCAGACAAACTAATATGTTTTTAAGAACATTTTGAAAACAAAAAAAATATCCCAAAATAAATCAAGGTACAATCTTCGTTTCTCGAGTTTTTAAATTCAAAGCTAAAATGTTTCTTCAAGAGAGGAAATAAAAAAAACCTATCTGGGCTTTTGAAGAAATATATTGAAGCTAAAGGAAGGTATTTTTGTTATTTTTTCATTTACATAGTACCCAGCTGACATTTCAGGAATTCAAAACAATGTATATTGGATTTGAAAATTAAAAAATACTTGATCATATGTTGCAGGCCATTTTACCAACGGTACATTGAAGTGTTTTGGGCTAATCAAAGTGCACAACTTAATTATACTCATGCTTCTACCTGGGAAAAAGCGGTGCAGATAACTGATGGAAATGTCCTGATAGATTTCCCACTTACCAGTCGTCACACGGGACTTCTCAACTACAAATATGAAGTTTGTATCAAATTTATATTGCTATTACTACTACTGTTAAAGGTGGGGGACTCATCCGAGAAGTGCCCCTATTGGTCCTTTTTGCCAACCCCGAAAGTCGTACCAATGATAATATATATCACCTCCATCTCTGCCTCAAACCTTTTCGTTCTTCTAATGAAGTTCATAAGTAATTGCCATTTTATCCGAATCCAGAAGGCTGTTCTAAGTAAATCGGTCACGTTCTGTAATACAGTGTAGGTCGCCGGTGCTTGTCCGCACAGATAGCAGAGTTTATCATAAACTATCCCTCAAATCTATAGATATCTTTTAATATATATATATATATATATATATATATATATATATATGATTCTAGTGGATATCCCTTGAATATTGAGAAACGTCCTGTTGAAAAAAATAGTTCCATATCCATTTGGATTCCGAAAAGTAAATAAATAGTAGCGAGAAATCAAAGTAGAGAATGCCTAACTCGGCATTCAATATTCTACATTCGGGAGAATATTCAATATATAAACATGCAATATAAAAAAATGTAAACTGATCTCTGCCCTTGTGATCTTTCCAATCGATTACAAACAGTAATGTTTCGATAAACGGTGCTCCATTTGGATAACAATCAATTTTTTCAATAGGGATAAAAACATTTTTGACTTATAATAATATAATTTCAAACTCGTTTAGTGTTATTTTTAACGGTACAACTAACTGTAAAAGTAAGTTAACAGACGGGTTGGCCTCCTTCGTCTATTTTCAGACATCCTCGGTCATTCTCGGGTGTCCATTTACTGTGTAATCATGAGATCTTGTGGAATTCATCTCATGCCACCCAAATGTGGGGTAACATTTGTACAATAGTGCCTTCTTAACAATCATATCCAAGCTTATATAAATAGTATAAAGCAAATATTGTTGCCCTATTTGCAAAAAAAAAAAAAATACAACAATTTTTACTTATTTTTCAAATCACCTTCCGACTACCCCCTACTGTTCAGTCTATGGCTAATTATCTTTAGGAAAAACCTCTGAATTCTCCGGACAGGGTTCAAAATAGAGTTGTACAATTCCTTTATTTCAAATTCAAACATTACTATTTTGAATAAATCAGACAGCCTTGGTATGTTAACAATCCATGAGAACACAAAGGTATATGAATTGATTAATAATATTTGTATTAAAATTTGCATGAAAAACAGTAATTGTTTCAGATTAACATTATTAAAATAACTAGAAAACAGTAAAAAAAGGACTTTTTTTAACTTCAAAACATCATTTTATTTTTAACTTGAGTTGTGAAGTTTAGAAAAATATGTTTCCTTTAAAAGCTGTAGTAAATTTTGTTTACTTCAATTTTAGTTGCTTATATCTGAGCTAGGGTACTTAGAAAAACAGATAATTAGCTAAAAACAAAAAAAAAATATGTTTTTTGGTAATTTTAAAACTGTCCCTATTTTGAAAGCACGCTAGTTCGCTTCCTGTTATGTTTATAAGCAAATGTTCCTTATAAAATGTTAGACAAAAATGTTGTTCAAGATCGAAAATTGCCATTTTTTAGCTATTTAGCTTTAAATAGGAACATTTAACGTAGACCAAAGAAAGCCCAAAATTTCAATGGTTTTTTCAAGCACTGCAGCGAATTCACAAGGCTTTTAACATCGGAAACTTGGATTTTTTTGGATTCAGCAAACACTTACAATATTAAAAAAAAAAAAGTTGAATTACTAGATCTTTTGCATGGCAACCCGTCTAATTAGATAGGGCCATAGGCAAAGTAGAATTTTTAAATTTAGACTGATTCTTTAAGTAAATGGACAAATACATTTTATTCATTAACATCTAGACACAGCCTCTGTCAATTTTTTCTTTTATGAATGAAGAGCTATTAAATAATTTATACATTTATTTTTTTTTTTTTCAGAGTACAGATTCCGATGCTAAAGGTCGTTCGAGTCTCTCTTATAACAAAGAGGTCATAATGAGCGGAAATTATTCAAGAAAGACGACTTTTACAGACAGGAGCAAAAATGAAGTCATTAACATAAGCGTCAACAACAGTTATTTACCTACTGGTATAATTTATATAAATGATTACCGTCAAAAGGGACCTCAAAAGTTATTTCCGAACAGGGTAATTATAATTTGGACTTGGAAATAAGTTTCGTTTCTTTTTTTTTTTTTTCAGTTTGTAGTTTGTTATTTTTGACCTAATATATTTTAAAAATAGAATATCACAAAATATATTCCGATCGGATATTTAGTACTGATACATATGCATGACCCAATAAATGGAAGATAAGTAATATGGAATAACAAATATATTTTTAATAATTCATATTACAGGATCTAAAAAGGATTGAGCTGTATAAGCTGAGCAACGTCAGTACATTCAATATCACTGGAGAAATAGAGGTTAAAAAAAATGTCTTGGAAAGAAATGTTACTTTCAGAAGTAAGTTTTTCTCTTCTTAAATTATTAATCTTATTTGTGGGTTAATTGTTGACTGTCGTGAATAATGAAGAGAAGTATGGTTGGGGTGATCAGTCAGAAATAAGAAGGCAAAAATAATCTTTATTTTAACATTTGCCGACGTTTCGACCTGAAGTTCAGGCCTTCATCAGGGCTAAGAAAAGAACTAGATAACAAGGTATGAGAAACATAAATAATGTAGGTAAAAAAAATAGTAAAATGAAGTGGGTAGAGTAATGAAAAGAGTAAGAACTAAGAGATAAATAATAATAACCGTTACAAAGTGTGGAACGATGAAGTAAACATAATCAAAAAAGTTGACATAAGTATTAAAATGGTAATCTTAGAATAAAATGTAAAACAGAAAAAAGGAATATGACGTTATATAAGAAATAAAAATGAATAGTAAAATTAAGATGTTGCAAATAAAATAGTTAGATCGAAAATTGAGATATTGTAAAGTCTTTCAAAGTGTACTGACAACGTATAATAGAATAAAGAGTTGAAACAGAGGAAAGAAAGGAGGAAAAAAAGAGAAGACTGAAATAAGAAAGAAAAACCAACCTCTTCCAAAAGCTAACTGGAATAGAGTGAAGAGATAGTAGCAAGCATCTCTTCTCTTCCTTGCTATTGCTATTCTATTTGCAATATCTTAATGCTACTATTTATTTTCATTTCTTATATAACTTCATATTCCTTTTTTCTGTTTTACATTTTATTCTAAGATTACCATTTTAATACTTATGTCACCTTTTTTTATTAGGTTTACTCCATCATTCCAAACTTTGTGACGGTTATTATTATTTATCTCTTAGTTCTTACTATTGTCATTACTCTACCAACTTCATTTTACTTCAATTTTTTTTTTTACCTACATAAATTATGTTTCTCATACCTTTTTATCTGGTTCTTTTCTTAGCGCTGATGAAGGCCTGAACTTCGGGTCGAAACGACGGCAAATGTTAAAATGAATATTATTATTTATTTTTGCCTTCTTATTTCTGACTGATCACCTCAACCATCTTTCTATTCATTATTAATCTTATTAATGAAAAAATGTGAATATATAATGAAAAGCCTATAGGCTTTTATAATCTATAAAATGATCAACAAGCCAGTTAGCATTTAACCAATACGAAATACTGCATATCTCAAATCAGCGATAAATATAGACAGATAATTGAAGACAATGTATCACCCCAAAATGTCTGAACACATATCGACTTATTTTGTTCTTTTATATGACTGAAATTAATTGAATGACTGCTATATGTGTTGTTTTTTTTTTTTGTGTTCTTGTGTACTAATGGTGTAAATATTTTACAGTAGTAGCTATATCATAATAATGAATGAAGTATTTATATTGCTATAATTAATGAATATTTTTTTTTTTTGTCGCCTTTACAGATGTTGTAGCCTAAACAAGCCTTCCCCACATCTTTCTTCTTTTCTTTCCCGTTTACCGACACCTTGCCATTTCTGGAATACAGGGGAATTTGCACACCATTTCTAGAATTCCAAACAAACCTACTCTAATACATAGGGAAGGTCGAGATTCATTTCCAGGATCCGCCATAAATAAATTTCACGACAGCCTCACTTTTTTTCTTTGACTGTCAAAAGTAAAATATTGTATTTATTCAAATGTTAGCAATATTTTAAAAACGGGATAAACAATTCTATTTTCATTTTATTTTTTAAAAATAAATATTCTATGAACAAAATATGATTTGACGTTATTACTCTAAATTATCAATTGTTATATTTATATCAGGTCTTTTATAACATTAAAGCAAGTATAAGGATTTCACGTAAAATAAATATTGTAATAATATCCGAGGTAGATACCAAAAGCTTGTTTAAAATATAGGTCTTGCAGGTTGTATCGTAAACATTGCATAGTTTAGATATGGTATATTTTATTACCTATTTCATAATGACATGTTATACTGAAATATAAATATATAAAGTCACATCTTCGTAATAATAAAAAATGTTTCTTTATTTATTTTTATTTTTTTAAACCTATCTATTAAACTCGTGATATGCTTAACATTTCAGTAAAAGCAATTAGATGTTATTTATTCAAAAACTGGGTCAATGGTAACTGGAATAAGCTTGTATAAAAAAATACAATTTAAAGCTATTTATTCTAAATTCAACGTTCGCGCTTGTCAAATCCTCAATAAGTTCCAGGATGGCCATTTGGGGCAAAATCTGAAAACTCTATTTAGAAGTTCAAACCTTTGTTAACAATAAAGTTTATCTAATTTTTCGAGCGATTTGCGAAATGGACCAAAATTGCTAGCAATTGTTTGGAACGTCGTAACAATTATATTTATTTATATAAACCGATGTGTCAGCTATCTTAGGTTTCATTAGAAGTACCTGATTCGGCCCAGCACATAAAAGCTAGGTTTGAACAAAAAATACCGACAAACCAACTCAAAAATAAACATGATGGTTTTCATTTCTCCTCCTATTATCTCACATCACGGCATTATTAATACGACAATTAAGTTAAAAATTGCTAGATATGTTGGGGAAACGATGTTAGTTTGCCACCAATGCACTCAAACTTTCAACTTTCAAATTTTGATTTTTCTACCAATGTCCAACTGTAGCGTTAGGTAATGAATGATAAAGCGGGTAACGCGTTAACAAAATAAGCTCTGCCACAGCGGCCTTTATCTCTCAACCTCTGTCTTTCTTTGGCAACTATTTTCCACTTTGCTGTTGCAATATTGTAAAATTTTTGTTGATTCTATCAATTCGTCTGTTTTTAACTTAATAATGGATTGATTGCTTCAATCTACATGCCCTGCCCATTTTAAATCCCTCTCTTCCATATCACGAGTTACTAAAAACGATTCATAATTGATCATTCTATTTCATGTCATATTTTTTTTTTTTTTTTACCATCAATGGATTACTTATTTATTGATAAATTTTACAGTCCGTCTCAATAAAGGACATTTATAATAGAGTTCAGAGAGAAAATTCACAACATATTTACAAAATCAAAATATAAATAATAGTAATAATAAAATAAAAATAAATTAATAAAATAGAATTAAAAATCTTAGACGCAGGCATACCTATTTACACTACATTTCATATTAAAGATGTACTGTTATTCCAGGCCGCTGTAGTTATCATCCTGAGGATTATTCTTTTAAATTTCTCAACTCTTCTATTAATTTCACTATATTACAGTAATAATATTAGTTCTTAGTAAAAGTTATAATATATTCTATCTACTATTATATTAGGCATATATGAATTATTAAATATTTCATTCTATGTTTAACATAAAATGATCATATCTTTACTTTTATAAATAAATAATTTAAGCTTTCATTTTTTATTTTTTAGTTATCCATGCAAAGAGAAAGGTGGTACTCGACACGATATATGATGGAAAAAATGTATTCATTTCAACAGCAAATTTTACTTTGAGACCTAGCATCTGGGGGGCTTGTGGATTTAATGTCTATACAAAGGTATTCAAGGAAACTGTTTCTTTCGTATTTTTATGCATTCCCTTTAAAGGGTTTTCTGTAAAACTCATTTAATTATAATTAATACACTAAAATATTTAGCATAAGATGTTATAAAAAAAATCTTCATAAAGATACTCGAGTTTTAATTTAATATAAGTATGTTTATTATCAGCCATTTTACACCAATTTTCAAAATTTTGTCAACTTAATGACTACACATCTGATTACTACGTTTCGGCTCGTTGAGCCATTTTCAAGTCTAAATAATGTTTACAATTTATAATTGGTAAATGGTTGACTGTCGTGGATAATGAAGAGAAGAATAGTTGGGGTAGTCAGTCAAAAAAGAAGGTTATATGAAATTATTCTAACAATTTCATTTTACTTTATTTTTTTTTTTTTTTTTTTACCATCACTACTTATGTTTCTCATACCTTGTTATCTGCTTATTTTCTTAGCCCTGATGAAGGCCTGAACTTCAGGTCGAAACGTCGGCATATGTAAAAATAAATATTATCATTTATTTTTGCCTTCTAAAAAGAATGACTGACCACCCCAACTATTCTTCTCTTCGTTTACAATTTACAATTTTGCGTTGACGCATGCAATTCGCATAAGTTGAAAAGGACATGTACATGATCGGTATTTTCGGTATATAAAAACAATCTCTACATGTTAAAGTATGTAATGCTTTAAATATGATTGTAGATTGTAAAAATTTTGAGACTTGAAAATGGCTCAACGAGCCGAAAAGTAGTAATCAGATGTGTAGTCATTAAGTTGACAAAATTTTGAAAATTGGCTGATAATAAATAAACTTGAAAATAAATAGTATGCACCGAAGAAGAATTGGAGAAATATTGTAAATATAAGTATGTCTTCATCCTTGGAAATTACTTCGATGTTATTAAGCTACTCTATTCCATCACTATATTCAAAACGAGTATTAGCTTTCTTTTATTCAAACACATTTATCCTGCGGTACCTTGGTATCACATCTTAAGATACAAGTTCCATATTTCTATTGGTGGACTGAAATAATAGAAGGAAAAGGGAGTTTTTAAGCAATTTCTCGGAGTTATCTTTGGCAATGTCCTTCACACTGCTTAACAAGCCATTCAACATTCCACGCACGAAGAAGGGAACATAACTGTTTTTAACTTATGAAGGTTTGTTATATGTGATTGAAGAGTTTGGGATGCAACTGATGGATCATTATTAACTTATAGGATACATGTGTCATCAGCATATGTGGTGATGATAGTGTTGGGATGTCAGCTGTATTTACTGTGTAAAGGATACGGCCAAGGATATTACCTTGAGGATACGTGTATTTAAATGTATATATATTTATAATTTTCTATCATCAATCAATTTTAAAATTAATTGAAGTGTGACACAATTTTCATTATTCCTATCATCTGCTCCAGATTAGTTTTAAAGATATTTAAAGGTTATTATTTAATTTAAATTTAATAAAGTAAATTTGTATGTTAGCATATGCTCATACTTATTAGTACTGGGTTTAGTTTACTGTAATATAGTATATATACGATTTTCGGAATATGTGTCAAATTCATTTTTTTTCCCCCAGGAACTAATTCCGGGTAAGACTATTGAATTTATCATTGCGTACCCAAGGAGATACTTTTCACTAAAGGGTAACTACGAATACACCGACGATCTTCTGACAACTGAAATCACCTTGCTCCCTAACAGAAACAAAAGTCCAACTCAAATTACTGGAGGAGTCTACTACATCAGGGATCCAGATGAGAACAGTCAAAATATTTCTTTCATTCTGGCTCACCCCTCCTTCCACAAAGTATATTTTTCTTTATATTCTTAATTAATGTTTTAATTAAGGTGTTAATTATTTTTGTATTGATGCTAAATGTTTAATTTATGTCGCTGGTTTCAGAATCTAACCCTTATTGCAAGACACATGAAATCGGATAAGTTCCCATTAAAATTCGACTTAGACTTCGAATATTCCTCAGATATTAACAAAAAGCTTACATTTAATTCTTTTGTCGAAAACAAAACTACGACTCCTATTATACATTACGAATACAACGCCCACGGAGATCATCCAGCATCAAGGTAAAGTCGATCTATTTTTTAAATATTAGTTACTATTTTATTACTAGTTACGATGTGAAATGATTAATTATTACAAATAAACAAAATTAAAGGTGCTTTAGGAGATTTTTTGCTTTTTAAATTTAGCATTTAGCCCTGTTAGACTATTTCAAAAAAGATAACACTTACCTGATATTGTCGGTATTATGCCTACTACTTAATTCTAAAATATTAGTAACATAGCTATTTAAGCTTGTTTCAAAGAAATATTAATAACATTTCGTTGAATTTTATGTAAAGTAAATTACTTAATATTTTAATAACAATTATTAACGTGCTCTAAACGTTAACGCTTTTTCAAAACCAAATAATAATATCGTGTCATAAATTGTAAATTAAACAATTTATAAACATATGAACAACATTATCCAATAATTGTCTTTATTATAATAAAAAAATAGTAATTAATTATTAGATATTAATAATAGATTATTTTGTTAATATTAATACTATATTAAAAATATTTATAAATAAAATATCTAAGTTCCCTACTTTCCTATTAGTTCTGAATCAGGCGCTGAAGAATGCTAAACCCAGATTGTGGCTATTACAACTTGGACATAGAAACCCACAGCCTACTTTTTTCACAATCCTTTTTCCTACGATCTTGTCATATTCGCTACGGATTGCCGGGACCTACAATACAATGTAAATATCATACAAGAAGATCTTTTCAGTATGAACCATTAATCCAGAAAAAAACACAATGCCTGAAAATAGGAAGACGGCCCCCGCGAACGATGATAATATTGAGGTTGAAAGGTCATATCCTGGAACAGGTGCAGGATTTCAAATATCTAGGTGTCTGGATCAACGAAAGTGGCTACATCAATGAAGAGGTGTCGCAAAGACTGGAAGCAGCTGGAAGAATATTCCACTCAACCTGGAAAGGTTTTCTCAACAGAAGAGAGGTGGCGAAGAAACCCAAGTTATCCGTTTACAAGTAAATATCCTTGCCCGTCGTTTCTTACTCCTCGGAGTCAAGAACCATTACATCAAAACTCAAGGGGCAGATCTAAACAATGGAGATGGGGAACCTGACAAAGATTGAAAGGAAGACCAGGAAAGTTCGGATTCGCAACACAAATATAATCTCAAACCTCAAGATACAGCTGGTAGAAACCACTCTTGAAGAGAATAAATTAAGATGGTTTGGTACCTCCTTAGGATGAGTAGGCAGAGAACAGCCAGGATAACATATGAGACACGAGTGGATGGGAGAAGACCAAGAGGAAGGCCACAGATCATCTGGGAGAAAGGTGTGCGTGGGGCATTCAGGAACTGGACTGGAACAGGAGGAGAGAGCTGGTACAGGAAAGGGACACTTGGTCCAAGCTCTATAAAGAGCATCCCCACACTGCGCAGCGCTAGAGCGGGATTGGAGTATGTTGATGATGATGACTTTAAACACGGCTTCTGGCCTCACAAACTAATAAGTTTATTAACTCTTAATCCATCCCAGTGAGAACCTTGTCCTAATAACAGTCGAAAATTTATTTCATGAAAATATAACTTACGTGCTGCGTTTCTATCCGATTTTCTAAATAATAAATTATTATAATATTTATTGTTAATAAACAGCAACTTTAAAGCACTTGTACAATCACTCAAGTATTTTAAAAAAAACTTTAAAAATCCTGCATTCATTAAGACATTTGTTTCTTTATTTTATGCAGGTTAAGGCTTACTTCATTTGGATACCTTAAGCTCTCAAACAAAATGGTTGACTTCAGAGAGAATGTTACCTACAAAAGATCGTACGTCCCATTGTCATTTTGGTTCAATGGTCTAAAAGTAGACGTAAACCACAAAATGTTCGAACTTGAGGTGAGTCTTGATGTTTATAAAACTCTGTTGTTTGACCTATGTAATTAAATTCAATTGTAGATTATGATCATTTGATTGATTATATTTATTACCATTCATTTTAAAATAATTTAGTTAATCTATCTAATTAATCATCTGGATAATGGATGATATTCATTTCAGTAGGTTTTTGTTTTGCCTATCGAAACACGGCTTCTTGCCTGGCAGAGTAATAAGTTTATTAATTCTCAATCCATCCCAATGAGTACCTTGCCCTAATAACAATCGAAAATTTATTTCATGAAAATATAACTTACGTGCTGTGATTCTATCTGCTTTTCTAAGCCAGGATGGAAACTTAAACAATAGCATGTAGTCTATCTATGTATCTATGTCTAAATCTATCTGATGAAGTAGGTCATCACGTATGAAATTTTTAAAAACATGACATGTAATATATTTTATTCAAAATATATTATTCAATATTCGTTTGCCAACGACTAACCAAATAAAAACCCAGTGCCTGGGAGACTCTGGTATAATCTTCCCTCCTCTCCCCTGGACCGGGAAAAAAACCGTATCGTCTAAAAGGCGAAAAAGAGAAGGGGGGGAACCCAGGAATCAAACTTTAAAACCTTTCCGAAAAAATTTAAACGTCTGGATACGTTCATTCGACTTATGCAGAGATCTGTTGTATGAATTCTCTGACTGTTTTATGAAGGTTTTCTTCCACAGCTTCCATAAAATCTTCTTCCTCAATTGCTGTTGGAGACTGTCCACTGGGTAGATTTTCTAATGTCAAATCTCCTGAAAAAAAAAATTATAAATTAAAACCAACGACGAATGGTTCTTTCATTATATCTCATTTGACCTAAAGCTTGATCTATTATATTCCTAGCTGCCTGGATAACGGAATGACCGTTGTCACGTTTTGAAATGATATTAAAATATGTATGCCTACTGGAGAATTAAACAAATATGTTTTTTAGATTGAGGATTAGCTAGTGTTTATTATAGATCGTAAATATTTTGCTAATAATCAACTGGCAACGTTTTAATCTTTCCTAAAGTTTAATGTTTAAAAAATCGGACATTTCATCTATGAACCCCAATATTTATGATATTCTATATTTCTATAGGTTTCAGAGAGAATTGCTCTATTGAAAATGAGCTTTTTATTTAAAATAATTATTTCAATGAAACGGCCCTGCTATAGTATACATAAAGTTATGTAATTCCGTATTAAAAATTCGATTGAAATGTATTATACAGCAATGTCATGTTGCCTTTACTTACGTTGTGGCTTAGAAGTTAACCGAATCCGAGCATGTGAACCAACTTTTTATTCAGGAATATGATTGTAATGTAATAAAGTAATTTTAAAACACATAATGAATATTATATACAAATACAAAAAATATGAAACTGAAAACGCCCTAAATATGAAACGGGGCCCGTATTAAGTCTTAATTTATTATTCAAATTGGTTTCCAACACAAATATTACGTCGACAATTCCTTTATGAATATTATCACTAAAACGTATCGAAGATATAAAAAGCCACTCCCGGTTAGTCAATTTTGTCGATAAAGTTGCAATAACATCCGAGGCATTTACCTAACTTAAATCATCAGGGCCGTGGCGTGGGCGGGGCCTTAAGAAATAATAAAAATAAAATAATGTATAATGTAATAAAAATAAAAGATATGGGATAAATCGAAGACAAGGCTAAGGTATGGTCCTATTACTCATTGATAAGGAGTTATGTTCTTAGGACACTTAAGTAGAACTTGAGGGAACTTCCTAATTTTGCACTCATTATTTCGGTTACAGTTTCCGACATGAATAAAGTAAATCAGACAAATATATTAGGAAAAAATACAGAAACCAAAAATTTATGAAATAGAGGTCTAGGAGATCATGAAATCTTATTATATCCAATTTTCAAAGAGAATGTCAGCTACTGATACTTTTACCCTATTTTATTGCGGTTTGCTATTAAAAAATGCGGTGCGCCCATCACACTACTTTCTCTTATCACCCTTTTCTTAGCAGAAATAAGTATTTTCAGACAAAGGGGAAGTTGAAGTAAAAATTATAGACGCTATATTTATTTATGTTTCATTTTGGATATTTTTATTTGTTTAAGTACCTTTATATGTACAATTTTTTATCGCTGTAATCAATACAATTACATTTTGAATAATATCAATAATAGCATTTATGAAAACCGCATATTTATATGTAAATAATATTGTTGGAGGCTGTATTATATTACTCATGATACGTATGGAAGCCTGTTCTAATCTTTCGGTCAAGCTCGGATGAGTTCGGGCTTGCTCGTATTCCTTTGGTTCCTTCATTACAACTACGATCTCTTATTTATCCTTTAGTTAATTATCAAATTCTTTCATATTTTATATTTGAATATTTTTTATATTAAAGATCAATGTGAAATAATTAACTTTTGCAAATAAAAAAAAATAAGGGACTTTAGGGGAAGCTAATATTGAAATTTAGCCATTTTAGGACATTCAGAAAACATGAATGAGAATAAAACCAACATCATATTAAAAATGCTTAATTTTACACTGTTATAATGAATTTAATCAAAATCGTCAGAGCCGTTTTCGAGAAAATCGTAAAAATGTGTTAAATCGATGATACAAAGTGGCATATAAAAATCTTAAAAATACAATTTCACTTTCGTACAACTTTTCTTTATTGAGCAAGGACTGTTAACACACAGATCATTTTGCGGGCCTTGGTTATTTGGACTCAGGGGATCTCAAAACGTATATTTGACGATCGCAATACTTTCCTATACTGTATGTAAGAGAAAGTAAAACAAAATTCAAATTTTTATAACAATCTTTTATGGTTATTATGAATGCTTTATTTAAGTAATAATTTTTGAATAATCCTTATTCAATAATCAGTAAATCAGTAATTTTCTCAAAAGTATTGTATAATATAATAGCTTTTAGATTTGTCCTTAACACGATTTTGCACTTCTTACCCTGGATCCAAAAATCGGTATCCTGATTATGTTTTAATAAATTAATAGGCTAATAGATCATCAAACTCTCCGCTTTATTTTATAACGAACGGTTGCCCGTGAATTCGTTCGCTTAGTTTTCGCTTTATTGCAAATATATATTTATTAAGAGTATCTGGCATTCGTTTAATGCTACAGAAGGAAAGAAAATGTTTCAGTTTTAACTTTGTTAATCGAAGCACTTATATCTTAATCCTTTCGTATAACTTCTCGTGACGTTTCCGAGAAGTATGAGGTTTGTTCTCGTTTGAAACCAGGTTATTACCTTTCACTAGTCCTATTTAATTTAGTAGCACTAGAACATGTCGTTAGAGAGATGATAGGTAATGAAAAAGATTTAAATGAAGGTAGAAAGCTATCTGTGCTCGTGATGAAAGCTGGTAAAGGACTGGGGTTCGAGATAAATAAAACAGATAATAAAAAATACACGGTTAGTTGTAGAAATGGTGACGATTTTGGATGATGTAGGCTTTGAAGGGAGTACGTTTGAACAAATGGAGAAGTTTAGGTATTAATTGTTAACTTAAAAATAATATATTGAAGAAGAAATCAAGGCTAGGTTAATGTTATTTTTTGGTTGAAAATTACTTTATCTCGCACCTTCTGTTCCAAAATTAAAAAATTAAAATTTACAAAACTATTATACTTCTTGTGGTTCTTTATGAATGCGAAACGTGGCCTCTCATATTAAAACATGAACAACATAGGGTTTTGAAAATGAAATTTTTCGCAAAATATTAGGTAAACGGAGATTTAGACTGATACACTACTCCGAATTGAATTATTTGTACTCGATAAATATAATTGAGATGATTAAGCACTTCGGTTATTCAATCCACCATCTCTAACTATATACTCGATAATTTATATAACTATATATTCCTATGTAGTTGTGGAAGCAACAAATAGTACATATAAAATTAATTTGAGAAAATATATTTAATTGATCAGTTTGTGAATTATGGCAGCGTTAAATATTTTAAAACACGTTTACAATAATCATACAAAAGAATATTAATGGAAACTTAATTATTTGCGTATAGGTTCAATTTAATAAATAATCACTATCGATTTAATGATTATTCTTTATTAATTTTCATTTGAACATTTCAGGAAATCTTTTTTCAAGCTCCAGTTTACAATTTTCCAGAGAATCAGGCAAGTCTTAGTGGTGAGCTTGGTCAATGACACTCAACCGAGTTTTTGTTCATTCTCAGTTGAGTGTCTGATCAAGCTTATTACTCACTAAGAATTACCTGATTCTGGAGAAAATTATAGGTTGAAGTGGGAAATAATGATTATCTGAAACGTATAATTAAATTAATAAATAATAATCTATAAATAGAGAGTGATTATTAATTAAAATGGACCGATAAGCAAAAATTGAGGAGATAATAATTGATGAAAAAAGGTCAAAACTATAAATTAACAAAGGGAACTTAAATGACAAAATTAAATTAAATGATTAATTTATTCTACAGAGAAACTCCTTAAGAGAACTTTCTTACGTTTATGGAAAGTACAGCAAAGACAAAACTAAACACATAATAAATGGAGTACTCCTGAATGGAAAAGACACTAAAATATCTGGAGAATACATGCTGGATATCGCCAATAGTTTGACCGAACTCGACGTCAACTTGACTGCAGGTAAGCTTCCAATTTATATAGGTATATTTTAAAATATAATTTGCATTTATATGATTCTTATAAAAAATATTTGGTCAATGTATTCTAGATGCATCGGAGAAGCTAAGTATGAAAGGAAGCCACAGAGAAAGTCGTCATTCAGTACTTGACATATGGAGAAGTTACGACGATCTATTCGTATCAGACTTGCACTTTTCAACAAATCTGAATCACTCAAGATTGCTTACGTCATACTTGATATGGCGTCCTGAAATTCAGTCGGATATCGTGGTAATTATTTAAAAAGTCCATTTTTTTATAAAATACTAAATTTATATTTGACAGTGTAAGTTAAACAGTTAAACCTGATTTCATTATTCGGAAATAAATAATTAAACTATACGCAAATAACTTGAATATTATACTCATTCTATGCTTTAGGCCAAATATATATATATTTTATTTATTTATTTTTTTTTTCTAAACCGGACAGGTGTCGAAAGTATGATTACATGTACGAAATATTTATTTATTTTGTTCAAATTCGATCTGGAACTAATAACATTTTGTATAGGAAATTTTTATTGAGAAATATTCCAATCTGTCACATCTAAGAACAATAATAATAGTGATAGAAGAGTAGCTTATTTACACTGTATAAAATAAATAAACAGTAAAATAATAATACTAAGATTTAATGTACATAGACAAAAAGAAACTAAACTAATAAAAATAACTACTTAAATAAACATGTTTTTATACATACTAATAAAAATATACATATACAAACTAATAAAAATAACTACTTAAATAAACATGTTTTTATACATTATTTACAAAATTCATTCACTCAAGATCTCCGAGCCCCACTCGTGGAAATTCAACCTTTATTATCAATGGGATATATCTGTTTTTTCGAGTGATTGCGGTTAATTTGCTAAATGGACAAAAATTGTTCGCAATTGTTTGAAATGTTGTAACAATTATGCATATATTTAAAAACCGATTTTTCAGCTGTCTTGGGATTCACAAGAAGTACCTAATTCTGCCCAGTACATACTGCGAGGTTTGAACAAAAAATACCGGCAAACCAGCACTAAATATAAAAAAGATGAATTTCATTTCGTCACATATTATCTCACATCTGAGCATTATTAATGCGATAATTAAGTTAAAAATTACTGGACATGAAGGGAAAACGATATTACTTTAACACTAACGCAGTAAAACTTCCAAATTGTAACTTTTATTTTTTCTTCCAATGTCCAACGTTAGTTCGCCCCAGTGTGCGGCGTCCTTGCATGGGTCAAATATTTTTAAACCCGGTTTCACCGAAAAAATTTAATTGAAAATGGTGTCCCCGTGACCGTTACCTCACCTTGTTAAAGAGAGATTTCCTTTAAGATATCAAGATATAGCAGTTTTATTTTGCTTTTTAGTTTAACGGCCTGTTACTATTAATATACTTAACTTTTTTTTTTTTCAGGATTTAATACTCAATATTACGAATTACATAATGAATTATGCGACCGAGACAACAAATTTTTGGACAAACTATTTCAAAACTGAAATATACGATTCGACAATGGATATTTGGTTCGATGCTAAACCAATTATTCAAGATTTTCTAGACGATATCCGGTGAAGTTGTTATAATATAAATATTTTACAAAATATATTTTATAAAATGTGAAATTACTGATTATTTCTAATTATGACAGGGATGTTAGCGACCTTCAAGAGGATATAGCTATATTCAAAAAAATATTCATGCAATCCTACGAGGAAAATGAGTTCTACATGCAAGATATATACAAAATGTACTTGGATCTTGAACAAGAGATGTCTTTCAAGTAAGTAACTGTAATATTTAAATAGTTAAATTAAAAGTAATTAATACATTTCATTATTCATCGTCAATAACGTCCATGGGCGATAATAAAGCTTTAACCTTTTTTTTTTTTTACACTATTATAGATATTTATTAAAGCCACACTCCACAATTGCCACTAAAGTTGGTATGTAAAATATTATAAAAATAGATTATTATAAGTTCTCCGAGTTCAAGCTAAATAAAACTAAAATAAATACTTAAAATGAATACAGAAAATATACGTGTTGGATTGTTAGCCTACAGTAATAAAAGTAACACAGAGTTTTTTTCTAATTTCAAGTAGATATTGTTTTTCTTACCAAATACCTTAACCGGATACAAATACAATATTTTATACAAGTGCATAAAGTGTCGATGATATAATTACAGAATAAACTTATCTGTTAGATAATAAGTAATTTGGTGCAATTGAAATGAATACTTTTAATTATTAATTTTTTCTTTTGTCAATGGTTTGTGAGAACTTCTAATATATGTCAAAACTCTATTTTTCGTTGTTTTTTTTTAAATCTCATAAATTAAGAAAGAAAAAAAATTGTGTTGACTTGACTCATAACTAAACTTCGGAATCTATTTTGCAGAGATAGGATGTCACATGTCCCCAAGATAGTTAACGAGTTGTGGGAAGTTATGGGAGAAACAGGTGAAACAATAAGGCAATCTATACTGTGGTTTGTCGAATCGGTAAGTAATTATTCTCTTCAATATATTTAGATATATAATGTAGCATGATCGAAGTTAAATTTTCCACTCAATTTTCTTATAAATGATATCAAACATAAAATAAAAGGAGAAAAAACATTAATCTCAAATTTCAATAAAGTTTTTTTTTTCTTAATTTTTGCTTTAAGTTTTTATGTAAAGCTTAAGAAAATGATAGTTTAAAATTGTGCATTTTTTTTAAACAATATATTCTCCTTTTTTTATATTTACCATTTCAATTAATTAACAAAATTGCAAATGATCTAATCCAATTACTTTGTTTTAAATAAGTAGTCGATTTTTTTTTAATTGCTGATTACTAGAAAACATTTAGTGAAGAAGATGAAAACCTGTATATATATTTTTTTTTCTAGATCAAAAAAGTATACAATAAGGTTGCTGAATTCGTGAGGGGTCTGATTACAGGAGAGACTATAGACAAGATTTCCGAATATTTGCAGAAAATCGCTGGGAAGTATGACAAGGTAATATTTGTAAATCTCTCCCACAAAAAAAAATATATATATTGTTGTTGCATTTTAGTTTTATTTAAAAAAAAAAAATTATATAGTCGTTGAGAGGTCTAACCTTGAGGCATAGGAAAGCAAAAAAATCTTTAAATCAGCTGGAAAAAAATTGAAGTAAATTACAATTTACTTACTCAAAGTAAAACTATTTCAATTAATATTATGAACTATTTATGACTAATGTAATTTATTTAATTAAATATATACATTCATTAAAAAAATATGTCCGTGTGCGTGTGTGTGAGTGTATGGTGCTATTTAATTAATAAGAAAATGGAACCATAGTAATTACTACTAATTAATTAGTGACAATGGTACTTTGAACATACCAATTGCATATTTCTTCTTGTTACATTAAGTTAATAAATTATTTTATAATTATATGAATGTAATAAGGTATGAAGTATATAACCTAATTAATATTTAAATTTTATTTGCGCCATAAACCTATGACCTCCTGTCCTACAATATTCTTTAGTAATAACCCTTATCCCTGTTGAATAAATCCGATACCTTGGACTCCATTTGGACAAACGTCTAACTTGGAATCTTCATACCAAACTGAAATGACAAGAAACCGCTCGACTTTTCCGACTACTCCAACACTTACTCGACAAACGCTCTAAGCTTCCAGTTAATTACAAAAGACTCCAGTTATATATATGACTACAATAAGACTTATTTGGACTTTCGGAGTTAAGCTTTGGGACTCCACTAAGCCATCGAATTTCTATCGTGTCAAATAATTACAATCCAGAAATACAGATAATCCTACAATACAGAAAAGCCTCAATGATCCTTACTTTGTCACCAATAAAATAATCCATAACGACATTAATGTTCCTTATGTTTCCGATTTGGCCCAATCCAGATACCTATCCTTCCATAATAAACTTCAGAACCATCCAAATCCTCTCGTCTCTAACCTTGCTTCCTCTTCTATCCCTGATAACACTCCAAGGCGTCTGAAAAGAAGATGGTCTAGTGATCTCCTATTGTAAATACATTTTTTTTTTTTAGAGTGCTACCAGTGGGTAGTTTCTCAACAAGTGATTTCATGTTATTATTTTCTGTTATCAAATTTACTAAATGTATTGTATTATTTGCATAATAATATTAATTTGCAACTGTATGGAATTATTTATTAATACAGTTGTTAATATCATAAATAAAAAATAAAAGATATTTGATTTGATTTTTCATTTAAACTAATTTATAATTTTATTGAACCTGGACTGTATACAAAGAAATTATATTTAAACCAAATCATTATTTAGATAAAATTATGTTTAATATTATTTTTATTATGAGGGAAACAAAACAGTTCATTAACAGAATTTACCAACTTCATAATAATAAAAAAAAATTCATTTACTAAATGAAAAAAAAACTATGTAGTAATTTAATAGCTAAAAAATCAACTCTCAAAATATTATTTCATTCTTAAAAGGATATACATTATATTTGAATATCTGTTTGATGAAATGTCGGATTATATTGAAATGTTACAATAAATCTACTTATAAAAATTGTATTTAAAAGGGATAATTTGCAATTATTATATTTAAAATATATATGGATGTATTTCAGAGAGCTATATAATATCCCATAGGAAATATTGGATTTTCCTAACATAAATAGTATATATTTATACTAAAACATGATAGCAAATAATTTAAAGATTATTATTTCTATTTTTTTCAGATGATACGTGAGCTGCACATATCATTTTTGCATTACGTAGAACAGCTATGGACAGACACAGTGAACATAATTTATAATTACTGGACAAAAACACTGAAAGTTATCGAGCCTACGTTCATCCAGTTCGCTCACCACACTGAAACTGTGTTTTGGGAAGGCAGTAAAAAAATTTTAGGTAATTAATTCATTGCTACTACTCACTTTTTATTTATAATTTGCATACATTTTTAGGATATATTCATATTTAAATGTATTACCCTTATTAAAAATTTGTTATATCCCTGTATTTAAATGTTTATTTTACAATTTTTTTTTTATTCATTTAGAGTTCTTGTATGCACGGCAATCTGAACTGCTCAGTAGCCCTGTATTTATGAAAAATAAGAACTTCACGAAGAATCTCGACGTTTTCTATGAGGACATTACAAATAATGATTTCCTCACGAACTTGAAAAAGTATACAAAAATGTTGATCGACTTAATAAGGGAACAATACTTTTCTGCCGTTCCATTTGGTGAGTGAACTTAATTTTTATTGTGTCATATTGCTTATTGCTTATCGACTAATATCTAAGTCAAGATTTTTTTTAAAACTTATTTATTAAGAAATATTCCAATCTTTCACATGTTCATATTTAATAGTGTCCAGAGAGCACATTCACACTCTATTTACAATAAATAAAAATAAATAATACAGCAAAATAATAATACTAAAAGTAAACGTATATAACCAAAGATCTAAACTAATCAAAGTAACAACTTAAACACTAGCATACTTTTATACAATATTTACAGAATACATTCACTCAGGAGAACTCCGAGCCAAGCCTTTTTTCCCACTCGTGGTAGGAAAGTCAGGACTCTAGTAGATCCCAGCGCCTCTCACTCTCACTCCGCGGCATTACTGGTATTGAGGACCAGTAGAGCCTGAAGAGAGGCACAAAAATAACATATAAATGGCCTGAGTGAAGAATCTGACCATTGCCAAAACTCTAATATATGCTTATTCACAAAAGGTTTCTGGGTCATTGCCGCTTCAATCTTCGAGGAGGATTTTAAGGATGGGTGGAGCTAGATAGGGATTGTGCAAGATGATTTGGATGATTCGTAAGGTTCTAATGAAATTTCGAGAATGTTTCTGGGATAAGGTCTTGAGCAAATGGGATATTAAGGTCATGGTTTAGGGTTTTGTTAGATACATAAAATGGAGCATCAACTATTCGAAGGACTTTAAATAGAAAGAATTGAATGCGTTTGATGTTATAAAATTTTGATATCCCCACATTTCCACTCCTTATGACAAAATATGTTTCAGCATTGTCTTGTAGATCAGTGTGGCCTTAGGCATTCAGCGCTCTCGGACAACGGAGTCATCTCTCCACCCTGCAAAAATTGAATTTATTTCTTAAGCTATTTTATATTATGTAATATTTAAATTTTATTTCATTCAACATTTCTCTAATACAGTTGCTTCATTGAATACATCTAAAATTAATAATTTTAATCCGTTTAAACAAGTGTCAAGTTCCCATGAAGATCGGCCGGCGCCCCAGTGCGATTGCGATTCCTCCTTTCAGGTGCCTCGGAGGATTATCAGGCACCGAACAGGAAGCAAAGATAGCAACAAGAGGGTTCGGATGGTTCTTTATTTCCTATTTTAGAAGGATGGGTTTTATAAATTGTCAGTTTTGGGTCTAATCTGTAACATATGAAACATTAAAATCATTATAGATGGTTTCATTTGTGACCGAGTAATGAGTATTAAGGATTTAATGAAGGATTTTATTCCTCGCTAACAAGTTGAAGTTGAATACAGAGAAGACCAAGGCAATTTTGATAGGCTCCAATCACTTCCTTAAAAATCTTCTTAAAATCCCGACCCTGTCCCTACATGATAATCCTATCAAATTTTATCCCACAATTAAGAACCTTGGAGTAACCTTTGATCAAACCTTTTCCTGGAAAGACCTTGTATCCAATATCCTTTTCCTTGCCTTTTCCATTTTAAAACGTCTATATTACCGCCGTCTCCTATTTCCATTTGAAACCCGTGAACTCCTGAACTCAGCCTTAATATTTACCCTCCTTGACTATTGTTGTATGGTATATGGGGGTGTCTCTGGGGATCTCGAGGAAAAACTAAAACATTTGATAATTTTTTTTTGTACGATTCATCTTCGGGATCCCAATGGACGCCTCTGTCTCCCGTTTTTATGATGAGCTGAAGTGGCTTTATCCTTCCAAGCTTCCTTCCTCTTCCAAATCATCCAATCCCACCGTCCTTCATACATCTTCGAACTCCTTCAATTCAAAATATCTGTCTACTCCCGAAAAATCCGTTCCTGATCTTCGGATTTGTACCTTCGACAGATCTTTCATTATCCGATCCTCATCCCTTTGGAATCTATCCCTTCCTGCATTGAAATATTTTTAAGTGGTGAAGTTGTTTTTTTCTGATTTCAGAAATACCGAAGAAATTAATATATAGATGTATTCTGAAATAAAACAACATTCTATATTTACAAATAGAAAATCTATAATTCTTAACAAGAGGCTTTTACTTTTGTTAAGAATTATAATCTACTGACTGCTAATACTCCTTGCACACATTTTACTTTTACTATAACAAAATTTTATTGTATATTTTACAACACTTTATACTCTCAATCAGCTATTACCAATTAATTAAAATACCTTATTAAATGTTTTAGGCTATGAACTAAATGAGATTGGTTCAGAAATAGTTGGAGAAATGAAAGAGTTGTACAAACTTCCATTTTTGAACTTCACAATAGACCTCACAAGAGAGGTTTACAATAAGGTACGATCAATAATTTTGTATTTAAAATATTAAAATTTTTCACTACTCAGTATGCATACATTAGTAAAAAAATATTGAAAAAATAATAATCACAAGAAAATATGCGTGAAATATTATAATGCTATAATTTTTGTCCTAGTACTTTGATGACCATGTTATCAGGAGGAAAATATTTCATTATTATTATTGTTTAAGTATAACTTATTTATATTATTAAGTATAACTTATAACTTATTTCTACAATCTTAAAACAGTTTTGTGAATAATATAACCAAAAAAAAAAAATGATTATAGCATTCTTCCTCATTTGTTCCTAAATGTTATAATTTATAATTTTATAATCACCATCCAATGGTCCTAATATAACCACCGGCGCTATGGTCCTTGCCGAACCTTGGCTTCCTTTACTATCTTCCTCCAAACTGACCTGGCTTCAGTCGCCCCCTCCATCTGACTACACTCTGCTCCTTAGATCGTTCCAATATCTTCTAACCAACGAAATATAGATCTGCAAATAGGATTTTGCGTGAAATCTTGAAGCCATAAAAAAAAAAAAAAATCTTGGTCTGCCTCATTTCCTTCTTCCGCCGGGTGTCCCTTCTTCATCATTTTAGGGGTCTTTAACACCGAATATGCTAGACGCAAGATGCATTCATCCTGGATGCAGGATGCATGTGCGTCTTGCATCTTGATAAACGGGCTTTCTCAACAAAGATGCACGTGTCTCTTGCACTTTCTGTTGGTGTTATCCGTTATCTCTGTTTAATTTTATACGTGAGTTTGAAATATGAATAATCAATCATCCTACTGTTCAGGCGATAAAATTATAATTCTGTCTTGTGCAGGCAGAAGAAGACAAAGACAAAGAAGGAATCGTTTATGGCAGAATCCATACTACATACTAGGGTAATGGTGCAGAGCATAGACCTACTATTGTGTTTCAACAATTACTGAACCATCCAGTAAAGCTTCATGCGATTTATAAAATTTAGATTTCGTATTTTAAGACGTTGTTGGATCTCATGGAACCGTACTTAAAACACAACGTCTTAAACGTTAAACGAAAAGAAACTGGACAGGTCAGATCAAGGATGAGAATCGGATGAATCAGGGAGGGGTGGGGCGAGGCACAGTGGTTAAAAGATGGAAAAATCTACTTTTTGAAGTTATTGGAAAAATAATTTTCTTTTCATCAATGATAAATAGATTAGTTATCTAAGATATTCACTAATTAAATCGGTAAAATATTGATTTTCAACGTCTTCCAAACCCTATCATGGAATAATGTTTGAATTACAACTGAATGTTTGAATTCAGTCTGCTCTTTGCCGTCAAAACAGTGCGTACCTCTTCTGTGGCAGTGCTATTTCAACAAATCTCAAGCTCAGGGATTTAATTTTGTGAGTAATATACTTTTCCCATTATTAAAACTAATCCGTGGTGTGTTTACAGCATCTACAGCTAATATAGCGTTAAATAATCGTATGTAAGCTAGCGGCAAAGTATCAAGACCGATCTCTGATAAGAGACAACCTTTCTGCATTCCCACACCGCTACTATCTCTGAAAATTCGGAACAGCTCAAGGAGATGGAAGAACGTTCCAAATGACAGAAGTAGCTTATTGAAAAACTATTAACAGACAATAATAAGCTAAAAAAGGAAATTGAAAATATGGAGATCAAATTAAACTGTGCAGGCCCAGTTTTCCCATTCGCTCGAGTTCAGAGGGATCCCCACGAAAACCGGGGAAAAGCCCGAGTGGATAGATTTATCCGTCGGGCGGCCCTGAGTGGGATCCTTAATAGTGAGGACCTGGATTTGGTGAAGAGAAGGCGTCCTAGAGGAGAGGACACCCGGTCATCATCGATCGTTGTGCGTTTCGTCCTCCAGACGTTCCGGAACGAGGTGCTTCGGCTCAGAAAAATAAAGAAGGGGTTTCACCACCAGACACATCGGTTAGAATACCGATGAAAGAATATATATCGGTGGAGAAATGACCTCGTACAACCGTCATCTTTACTGGCTGGCGAGACAGAGAAAGGCAGCGGGAAAAATCATATACGTTTGGTTCTGCAGAGGGCGTGTCTGGTACCGAAAAGAAGACGGCTTTCAGGTCGTTGTCATTAACAAAGCCGAAGTCTTTGATGTATTTCTATGATGCATACACTATCACTACCTCTCTGCTACATATTCCGTTCATAGTTACCAATTTTTCTTTATTTCTTCTTTTAATATATTTATCTTAGTTCTATGTTTTTTTCTATACTGAATACTCGGAGTTTTGTTTCTTTACATTATTTTATTATTTATCTCTGTACATATTTTTATAATCAGTCTGATTTCCCTCTATTATTATTTTATTATTTTTTATTTATTTGGCTGGATCTCAAGACGAAAGTGCGTCGTGAATCCAGGCTGTAAGACGCGCTGGCATCTTCGGTGTGAAAGCTCTTGTTCAATTACATGATCTAGTACTTTAGATGCATGCATCTTGCGTCTTGCATCTTTGGCGTAAATGAGACATTAGGGAGCCTGATATATTTTATTCTTTGCACATGACCCAACCACTCTTCAGTTCTTCATTCCTTTAACATTTCCTTCTTTGATCGGACCATAGGTTCTACGAAGGATTTACGACAGCCCCTTTTCGTTTAGTGTTAGAGTCGAAGAGTCGCTTCCATTTATAACAATTGGTTGCAGAATCGGCTTATATACTCTTAATTTGATAGTACTTGGTAGATCACGAAAGATTTTAGTTAGGGACCAATGGCACTAATCACCAGCTGTAGTATTTGCCTTTATTTTTTCTCTGATATCATTATCCTCACTGATAATACTGCCAAGATACCTAAATTGAGGTACTTTTTCGAAAGGATCTTCAGCCCCCTCGATGTATTCCATTCTTCTCCCTCGTTGTTAAAATATATTTAGTTTTATCTTTATTTATGAAAAGTCCTGATTTGTTTGCCAATTTGACCCAATCGCAATACTTTCCTTAACTAGTATAGGTAGTAAAGTAAAAAGACTAATAGTCATAAAAATCAATTAAATAAAATACTATACAAGTCTACTGTATTAATTGTTAAATTAATGTTATAAATGTAATTATTTTCTTATCCTCTTTTTATCACAATTACTTGGCTATCACTTAAACAGTTTAAAAACAGTTTAAGTAAATGAAACTCATGGTTAAATTTAATCGTATATTACTTAAATATAATGGTTATATAATTTAAATTTAAGATTAACTCTTTTTCAATTTATTATTACTATTTTCTATTATTAAATTTATTATTGTTATTATTAAATGTTTTGTCTCTGTTAATGTTCTCCTTTATTAAAATGTAATGTAATATTTTACAAAAAACAGCTCTAATTAATCAGTTTGTAGTTAAACTGTTTTAACATTTTGATTGAAATCGAATATATTCATTCCTATATCTGTATGTTTGATAATTTCATTTATGAAATATTTTCTTTTTGTTTCAGACGAGATGGATCTATAATTATTTCAACATTAATGATAAACTTCAACGAGTCGTTCCTGTACTCTATAATGTCATCACAGACTATTCCCACACGGCATTAGAAAACGAATTAATGTAAGTACCAATGGTATTACATAAGTACTTGAACCTATTTTGAATTAAAAACTTAAAAAATGTTTGTTTTCAACTTAAATTTTTAATTGTATATAAACGTGCGTTTAGACATTTCAAAAATAATGGTAAATACGAGTATTTAAATGTTTGTTTCCCTATGCTAGTGTTTTTGTTTATTGTTTTTCATCTGCTGTAGGTAAGAAGTTTAGCTTATACTATTGTATCCTAAGTATGTATGGATCGAAACTTTAAAGCTGAAAATTTAAAATTTCGATCCATATATATAAAATAAATATATTTATATGATTTTATTTTCTGTTGCCATTACAGACCATGTAAATATTTTGCCGCCTTATAAAGCCTGCTCCATCTATGCCTGTCTTGGGCTATTTCTTTCCAGTTATCTGCTCGCAGCTCTATCGCATCTTTGTTAATTCTACTCTTATCTACCCATCTCCTTTTTGGCACTTCCACGTGGTCTTTTGCCTTCTATTGAGGCATTGATTGTTACGTAGAGGCTTCCAGATGGATTGCTACGAGCTGCAGGCCCCGTCCATCCTAACCTCCTTGCCTTCATATCATGGGATATTGATTGACCAATTTCTGTAAGCAGTTCTTTAGTGGTCTTTCTTGGCCACGCGTTAGTAATCTGATCCCAGATCGCTGCTGTTATACTGCGGAGGATTTTTCTCTCAAATCTCTCAATACTTTTTTCTAGGGTACTGGTTAGTGTTCAGGTCTCAAAGTCATATATTAGAACTGGCTTTATCATAGCATTGTACACCCAGAATTTAAGATTTTTCATGATTCTAATACCTTTGAATGGGAGAAGAAATGTATGTTTGCGCTAAGACAAGAAATAAATATAAATACACTGATCTATTTCTGACCATTGGTCATTCATTTAGGTTGTTGTAGAGCCGAGTCATTTGAATTTGTCTACATTCGGAAATGATTTTCCTTCTGCGCAGATCCTGTTATTGGAGTAGAATTTTTTAATTATTATCATATATTTTGTTTTGTCTTCATTTATATGTAGACCGAACTGCTCTACCTCTCCTATCACAGTCTTAACGAGTTTCTTAATGTCTTCTTGATTACTTCCTAGGACATCTACATCATCTGCGTATTTAGGGATTTTATGATTCATTCCGACGTGGACCCCTCCATTTTCCTGTGATTTTCTTATCACCTTCTCCAGAGCTAAGTTGAACAACATTAGTGCTATTCCATCTCCATTATTATTTATATGTTAAAAAACCATATTTAGATTATTCAATTTTTTTTTGTGGTAATTTTATATAATTTTTATATTTAACAAATATATGAATAAGATTACATTTAAAAAACCTCTTTTAATACCACACTTTTTATATAAATAAAAAAGCATTTTATCATGAATTTTTGTTTTAACGTTTCGGCCCTGAAAGACTATTTTCAAAAAAATATTCCAAAAAACAAATAGCAGTAGTCATAATATCATTATTCATTAAAAATCTTTTTGGGGCAAATTTATTTTTTTAAATCTATTTTATAATACAAAAAAGACAAGTAAAAAAAAAATCTTTACCTTATTTTTATTCCTTTTCATAAACGGTTTTTATTTCTTTTCTTTTTTACATGCATTTTTCAGTGATAAAATAAAGTTTGCCAAAAAAAGATTTTTAATGAAATAGTGGTTATTATAAAAGTTCGTTGAATTATGATATTATAGGTGAATTATACTGAGTATCTCGTAAGTAGAGGCAAATTTTTAAAAGCTAAAAAAAAAATTGATATATGCAATGGCCAATTTCTTGCAGAAAAGTAAGAAAGTTAATTTTTTTTTTTTGGGGGGGGGCTAGCCAGGTTTTTTGATGAATATGGCAGAAGGTAAATTAGAAGAGGAGTTAGCAGAGTTAATTAAGGATTAAAATATGTATTCCTCGAAATAATTAACTTCATTTGATGGTAGTCTATATACCTATTTTAACTACATGAAATAAATAGAAATAGAAATTTTAGAAAACGATCTTTGTCAAATTAAGTGTAATTTTTATTAAAATTCTTGAGATAAATTTAAATATTACAATATACAGTTTGTTGTATTGCTTATAGAAATCATGGAGCCCGTACCAAGTTCGTTTTTGAACCGGACAGAGGAAAAATAATATTGGAGCAAAAGTTACCGATGCCCTGGCACGCCTTCAATGAAACACCAAATTACGAGGTAATAATTATTTTTTAATAATTATCTTATTCATATAAATAATTATCATCTAAAATGCAAGGATACCTATTTTACAACCATTATACAACATCTATTCTCTTTATCAATAAAATCGAAACATTATATTAGCAGTATTATTTCACTATGTTTTAATTTTTTTTTAATAATATTAATATAATATCAATGAAATCAAGTGTATTTTATTACGATTTAAAACAAAATTAAATCATTTAAAAAAAATAAATTTGTTAATATGTTAAGATTAAACAAAAGTATTACCAAAACAGAGATTTAAATATACTTACTGATATCATCTTCTGGACGATATTTAATTTTAATTTTTAATAATATTATTATTACAGTAATAAATAAGTTATATTGGTTCATTTTCCGTAATTAGTATTTCATTGCAAATTTATTTGAACGTTTCTAGAAAAGTTTCGCCCCCCTCTTTAGTAATATATTATTCACCCTAAAAATTGGGTTAGTCACAAATTTCAATACAATAGAATTGGTCAATGGTACTTAACTAAAGTCCCAATTCTAACTAAAGTATTTTTCTTTGAACAGTCCTATTGTATTGAAATTTGTAACTAACCCAATTTCTTGGGTAAATAATATCAATATATAATCAATATTAAGAGGGGAACGAAGCTTTCCTTGAAACGTTCAAATAAATTTGCAATCAAATACCAATTAGTATTGATTTATTTCTGATCAATAGGCAAATGAACCACTACAAAAAGAACATAGGTCTAACCTGCCTAACCAGAAATAAATAAGCTATATAATAAATCCTTGGATATTTTTATTTATTTAAATTGCCAATTACTTGTTTAACTTTGTTGATTTAATCCGTTCACAGGAAATCATGGAGTACAAAATCTTAAAAAAGGTACAAAGATTTATTTCGCCGTCTAACAACTCGTTTTGGACATATTACTACAAGTTGGCACCGTTGCTAGAACCATCCAAATGGTTTCCCCCATTCAGTGGTAAGTAAATTATTTAGTAATTTTGAAATTAACTTTAGCTGATTTAGTCCAAAAAGATTTCTTTGTAAGGAAATCCATTTATAGCTACCGAGGAGCAGTAGGTGTGATTTGTCACGAGACAGGAAAAAAATTAATAAATTTGAATCTAAAAAATAAACAAGACTTACAATTACGATCATTTCAACATCACGAGATAGAGACAGAATAAAACTATAACAGTTTAATCGTTAAAGAAAAACAAATATTTAATCACTAAGGCTAATGCTAATATAAGGGATTCTATTAAATTATTTATGTCCGCCTGTACATGGTGAATCGGGATAAACGAGCCAAACTTCAGGAATGGGTTGCACACAAGGAGATAATAAAAAAAATCTATTGTGGTGCGCACATCACAAAATTTGCACTTACCACCCTCTTAGCAGAAATTTGTATTTTCATACAATTTATTTTAATCTACAGTATATTAACCATTATTTAATATGAATTTTCCCCATCTTTCCACTAAGTGCATAATGACATTTTCATGGAATGTCTGGAGTTCATTGTTAAAAAACTGATCCAAGTGGTTCTTGATGTCCTCTTTCTTTTGGAATTTCTTTCCATCTACGGAGTTATGCAGAGACTGGAATAAGTGTTAGTCACTTGGAGCTAGGTCTGGTGGATAGGGAGAGTGGGAAAAAAGGGCCTAGCGTTGTCTTGGTGCAACATAACACCCTTCCGATCATTCATGACTCTTCAGGATGTTCCCCAAATTCAATGTTACTGTATCCGTTCGAAAGCTGAATTATTGCTCTTCAAAGCCGTATGAATGTCTATATAAGGAAAAAATACTCCTTATGTGTTTATTTTTATTTCCATTTGTAGTTTTTTTACGAAGTCCCTGTTGATGTCGTTTTGTGTAGTTTATGTGGCCCTAAATTCCTGCTAAATGTATTGTAGATAGCTAAAGTCGTATTGAAGTTATAACATTTTCTGTGATTTTCAATAAAAAATTATGTCAGGTAGACAAACATTAAGCCTGGAAACATAGCCGAGCTTGCGCAAATGGTTTTCACGTCCAATATAGGGCGACACATTTAGGGCCATAGCAATCTCACGCACTGATTGGGTGGGATTTTAATCAGTGGTGACCAAGTGAATGACCAGACCGTTTAGCATAATTGAAGTAATCAGCAAGTTTCTCTATTTTAAACGTAAATAATAGGATTTGAAACATTTATTTGGTGGTTTATAAATACGGATCAATATCTATAATAGAGATTTGGTAACTAAACAAAGTTTTATTGTCACTTTAGATGACAAATATTCGAAAAATCATTATTTTTAACATTCGTTTTTAATAAATATAAAGTGTACATATACATTTATATTTGTTATAATGCATCCCAGATCTTAGAAAAGAAAGAAAATAAAAGCTTTTCATTAATTTACTGTAGTCCTTTTTGCTGAAAATATGGTTACTTTTAAGTGACAGGATATAAAATAACATAGTTTTTTTACAAAACTTGATGAGAATCTCAAAATTTTTCCATAATCAACTTAATTAAAGCTTATTGGACTAAGAAATTTTTCTAAAAGTGGGGTATCAGTAGTATAGTGTCACTATGCTCAACTTACTCAACTCACTCACTTAAAAAATCACAAATTTTGAATTTCCTTTGAAAGGTTTATTTTAATTCTGGCACTATATTTTTTATTTATATATTTTACAGATATATATATATATATATATATATATATATATATATATATATATATATATATATATATATATATATATATATATATAACGTAATTCAATCATTATTTCAAGGTAATTAAAGCATTTCAAATATGAAATCATTATTTCTTCATTTTTTACTAAAATTAGGCTAGTTTCAAATTGATTTAGAAATACTGAAATTATGTTCCACTAAATAGTTTTGTTTACACATTAGTGCAAAATTATTATTTGTAGCATTAATTGTAATTTAGGAAATGTTGACGGAATGTACCGATTTTGAAAAGGGTGGGGTGGGGCACCAGAGGTATAATACTGCTCCCAGGCGCTTCTCACATATAAGTTAGTTACGCGACTGCGTTTGAGAGAGTAATAGTGGATGCAGTTGTCTAAACCGGTCACCTAAGAGCAGGTATTTTACAACTTTCTTCCTGACTCGAGACTATTTAAGACTAAAAAAAGAGGAGAAAAAATATATGAAAAAAAGACTCACGTAACTTTCTGACATTTTAGTTTACATAGTTTTGGTTGTTTTTGATTTTAGATACTAACAGTCTTTAGCAATCTACATTGTTAAAAACTAGAGTATAGTGGAGAACGATAGTTATAAATAAGAAGAATTCCGTAAGAATAATTAAAATGTCCATACTTTACTTACGTACATTCGCCTTGTTTAATATTAACGAAAACGCATTTTTCAGTTACCTATTATCAATCACTATTTCAGAAATAAATAGACTCTTACATCAATGATGTGCTGAGTCTAATATTTTGACGATAAAGTTTTTGTTTTCTTTATTTATTGAGAGATATTACAATCCGTCACAATTAAGGACATTTATAATAGTGTTCAGAGAGCGCATGCACAGTCTAGGACGATCTAGTAAATCAAATATATTTCGCCAACAGTGCCATACAAATTATCTCATCCTCAATACCGAAGGTATTCGTACGAGAAGTTACAAAAAAAATGTCTATTCGCGTTTTAGGTTTTTGACATCAAGGAAAAATATTGTTTCCGTGTCTGTCTCAAGTCATGTGACGAACATATCCCCTGCTACCGTTCATCAGATTTTCATGAAATTTTTAGAGATTGTGCCTAGATGGTCTCATATCAAATTCTTCAAATTCCATTCAATACTATCGATTACGCATGTGTAAATATTTTCTTAGATATGTCAATATTTCAGAAAGATCCCGTTCGATTTGAAGTTAAAAGAAAGATGTTGGTTGGTGAAAAATTGAATCTATATCTATTTTATGAAATTTCATCAACTTCCTCCTCCTACATATTTTACTTAATAATCTCATATCTCAAAAGCCGCACGGCCCAAATTTTGAGTGAAATTATGGATTGATGAGCGAATGGTCAAGTAAATATCAGTTTTATCAAATTCCATCCACTACTTTTAAAAAATACTTCCTCTTTCGAATCTGCTATCTGTATTTTTTCCTGATTTGCCAATATTTCGGGGAAAAAATAATGTTGTTCGATTTGACTGAAATTTATTTGTAAAGCAAAGACTTGAAGAAAAGAGAATTTTTTTTTTGTGTTTATCCAAAAAAAAACCATAAATTGTTTTTATCGCAGTGGAAAAGTATTGTCTATTGATGGAAGAAATTCCAACGCACAGGCGGGTCTACGGGGGGGGGGAGAGGTCTTTCTGGCTGAAGCTCCTCTCCTCTCCCCCAAAATGAGGAAATATACCCAAATCTTACGAAAACAAATATCTCTAAAAAGTATTATTTTTCGTCAGTTAAATTTATTAGGACTTCAAGAATCACTTAAGCACCATTTCTTATTGGTAGTTAGTTTCTTTATTTTTCTTCCAAAGTAATTATTGTTATATATGTAGAAAAGATTTCGGGTTGAAGCCTCACTCCCCAAAATTAATTCCTGGATCCGCTAGTGTTCCAACGTAATCAACAAAATGTCATAATTTGTCATTAATAGAATATTTAATATAGTTTACAGAATGTTATTCAATTCAATAAATCAGTTTCAAGTTACTTTTAAATAAACACTGGTTGACTGTTGTGAAAATTGAAGAGAAGTTGATCAGGGGTGTTTAGTCAAAAAAATAAAAGTAAAAACCAACTTCTCCTTCAAAACTTCTATTCCCTTTTGTCTTGTATTCTTAACGCTCATTACAGAAAATACATATATATATATATATATATATATATATATATATATATATATATATATATATATTGTATTTGTTTAAAATGGATATAACTGAAATATAAAATATTGCTTGATGATTTTTAATTCTAAAATATAATTATTTCAGGACAAGCCATTATCATCAGTGGTGTCCATTTTGTTACTTTTGATGGCAACCACGTAGAAACTTTTGATGATTGCTCTTACCTCTTGGCCAGAGATTTCGTCCAGAACACCTTCTCACTTGTTTTAAAACATGAATTTTCGAATAATATTTTGATTTTGATCACAAAGGATGCTGTCATCAATGTCAACCTTCAGAAGCAAGTAAGTCTATTCAACAATTTCATTTCTTTAATTATCTTGAAATTCAAAATTGTTAATTATTTGTTATCAAAATTCTTATTTTTAATTTCATTTATAAAATTTATTGATAGTGATACCAATCTCGTATTATTATATTCTTTTTAACGAAGGTCAATAATTGTCATGGATCAGTCACGGTAAAAAAATCGTTTCATTTTTTGTTCGTACTGAAAAAATGCTTATGTTGGTCACACATCACACAATTACTTACCACCCTACTTTCTGTTAATTTTTTTTACTTTAATTAAGCATAAGAATACTATTTATTATAAAAATATTCTTTATTAATTTTAAATACAGACTTAAGACAGTCAATATAAATTATGACAATCTGTGCACTGTATATTCTTGTTTTATCAAGCTATCAATTAAAATGTATATATATATAATTCCTCCTCCAGGCTATCTGAGCTCCCGCAACCAGCATTCTTCTGTAAGGAGACCACTTCTCGTGGCCAAAGATCTTCATGGTCTGTAGAGCCAACCGAAAAATAATAATAATATATATATGTATATATATATATATATATATATATATATATATATATATATATATATATATATATATATATATATTCAGCTTATTATTTATTGCTATTTTGCTTCTATTTATTTATTTATTTTTTTGTTTTGGACTTATAGTGTGAATGTTATCCTACCTCACTATGACTAATGTCCAAGTGACAGATTGTTTTAATACTCAATGAAAATATATTTTCAATGAGAATTCCATTTATTTTCTAAGGAAACCTGTATATCCAATTGAATAATACAAATGTAGACAATATTAACTTCAATAATTAAAAGTCATTAGCTTTTCGTCACTCTCCATTATCATATACGTCTTTGTATGGTAGATATTAATTTTTTTTTAATCATTTACCTTTCCAATGATATATCATATATCTTTATTACTACTCTGATTTCCAGTAATTTATTTTTAACCGTGAAAATATCTCTCCCATTTTCTCCTTTAGCTAATTGCCAAATTCTGACTTTTTCTTCGTCTCTTTGGCTCCCGGTGTGGAGGAACCTGTCTACCAGAACCAGTCCCCTCGGTTCTGTTCCAGCATAATCAATTCACTAAGAGTTTTGTACTTTTTTTCTTATGCCCAAATTGGTGTTATATCCCATGTATGATGTCTTGGATCTTCCTCTGGGTCTTTTACCAGTTAGTAGAGCTTCCATTATTCTTCTGGAGTCTTGGTTCTTAGTGCATCCACCATAAATGTCCAAACCACTTGAGTTTTATTCTATGAAAGCTTTCATTCAATGAGTTTTTCAATGAGCCGCTGCTCTCTTGTGGTCTTATTTTTTATGGGGTCTCCGTTATTTCATTTCCGGATAATCATAAGGATTATATGCATAACTAACGTTACCCAACTCTCCAAGCAATACAACAGTCGGCAGATGAACATCTTTGAAGAAGTGGAGCATAACCTGATTGATGGATCAGTCTTTTGCCTACTAGGGTGTTGCATATGTGGTATTAGAGATTTGTCCGTGGTACAGACCCCCTTTTAACAAATTATCAACATCCACCTGAAACCCCGTGAATAGCTTCATATCATCATAACATACAACTATATTATTTACATAACTCTTGAAATTGGGGCGTTTTCGATCTGTAGATCGGCAAACTTTGTCTATTTAATTAAGTACTAAAAACTCGTAAATGCCGTTCACTTTCCACTTGGATCGTAAGATAATTTGATCACAAAATCGAGAAAAAAAAGTGTCCTTTTTTTTCCAATAAACATATTGGGCCATCTGGCCAAAATTAAAGCAAATCTAGATAACGCAACATATGGTTGTCGATCGTGGAAATAACACAAATTGTTTTTATTTCAAAAATGGCCATTCCATTTCGGCACCTGTATATGAATATTCAGAGTAACCTAGACCGATTCCAAGTAATTATATCCATATTTGTCAATTGTAGAAATATTTCTTATATACTATATCAGCTCAATTTATTTCATGCTAAAATGCTATGTGCATATTTAAAAACAGTTATATGTAAATATTATTTTTATAGATTGTAAGCTTGGAAAATCGTGATAGTTTTTTCCTGCCACTGCAAATAGGAGATACTTTTATATACGCCGAAGAAGGAATAGTGACAATTCAAAACAAAAATGGTATCAAACTCCACTGTAACTTCAAATATGAAGTTTGCCTGTTCGAATTGTCAGGTATGTTATTTTGTTTAAATATTGATTGGTTATATTTACAGTTTAAAAAAAAAATGATAACTTATCCACCTGTTTTCAATGTAAAAAAAAAATATCTTTTCCTAGGTTGGTATTTTGGTAAAACCGCAGGACTCTTGGGAACTGTGGATAACGAACCAAAAACTGACTTTTACGCTTCGGATGGAAGATTAAAAACCAACTCGAGAGAATTTATCGAAAGCTGGAAAATAGGCAACTGTATGAGAATCAAAGAAGTTACGAATTTCTCAAACATGATGAAAGATAACATAACCGGTACTGAAATATGCCAGGCACTGTTCCATGCAAAATCTTCTTCATTTTCATCATGCTACCCAGTCGTAAGTGTAGCAATAATCTTTTATTTTAAGATAAGTATTAATTACAATTATTATTATTATTATTAAAAATGAAATAATCATAGAAGAATAAATTTTGATTTAAAAAAATCTGGTGCAGTGCGTCACTCAGCTTTCTCTTACCATCCTACTTTCAGTAGAAATTATATTTTTAAAAAGTTTATAAGCATTAAGAAAATTATTACTTTAATTCTCAATACGAACCTTAAAAAAATAATATAATTATTTATTTGGTAGTTCATACAAAGAACATTTTTTTTATACATGAATATAAGTCCACACCTATGTTACAGTTCTGTTTGGTGCTACATTCACCTAGTTAGCATTAAATCTTGGATATTGGAATCCAAGATATAAACAAAAACAACAAGAATAGTATTAACGTCATTAGATTAAAATGTTATAACTTGCAGCACAGTTAATTCAGAAACAGCTTCAACAGCGTAAAATAAAATAAGAATATTACATTATTCATACATAAAATACATTATTCAAAATAAAATATCTTCATCACTACACTATCATGAATGGTGTAATCACCATCATAACATTTCGTCAAACAAATTTAAAAATTTATAAAACATGATTAACAGTAAACTGTGTAAAACAAAATATGTACATAAGTATATGTACCTGAATATACTCTACGTGACGTGAAATAGAAATAAATGGGATAGCAAGAATTAAACATTAACAGTGACTATCTATTTTTAAGTTCAATAATTGATGGTAAGGGAAAGCAATTCAATGGAAAGGTTAATATTTTGTTATTTATTATATTTATTTATATTCAGCAGGCTGTTAATCATTATGAACGGGTGAACAGCGTTAAACATGTGCTGTAGATCATATAAGAACCTTTAAGGAATTAATATAAATTATACAAATTAATACAACATTAAATTATAATTTATATTAAAAATTAATATAAATTATACAAATTAATACAACATTAAATTATAATTTATATTAAAAATTAATATAAATTATAATAATTCTGTAATTTATATATATATCGTTTATCATGTTGAAAAATTAATTAATTTAATTTTCTATAGACATCCCATTTATTTTCTATTAAAACTTCTATTTCTCATTCAATAACATAAAATACGACATTATTACCTGCAGCAACAAAATGCTATTCGCTTTTCGTCACTTTCCATTACACTCCAATACCACTATATTATTTTGGTTCTTATATACTTTAAGCACACACACACACACACACACACACACACACACACACACATATATATATATATATATATGTGTTCATCAACAATTGAAGGTATTACAAAGTACTGTATCTTAATTAAACAAAAAAGATATATATATATATATATATATATATATATATATATATATATGTGTGTGTGTGTGTGTGTATACATATTTTATCACTGGATTTTTTTTTTTTTTTTTTAGATAAATCCACAGCCATTCTTCAGGATATGCCATAACAAATTACCTAACAGGTACAAAGACGGAATCTGTACATCAGCTTACGCCTACATCCAGGCTTGCAAGGAGAAATTCGTACCTCTAAAAATGCCAACTTCCTGCGTTCTGTTAGTACAATTCTTAACATTTTATTGATTAAAGTTTCATATTTAGTATATACAAGGCATGAGTTTATTTCATATTTGAAAAAAGTGAAGTCTCCCATTTACTTAATAAGCATATGAAGCAATTAGCATCCTTCATAATAGATAAAAACCTATTAATAGTAAATAAATTAGTTTAATTCACTCATCCGTAGTGGTGCTAAAATTCTTTGTTAAGTTTTTTCTGAAACATAGCTGTATAGCTGTTGTCTGTCCGAGAAAAAATACTGAAATTCAACAGGCCCCCTCCCACTCAATATTTAGTATATATAAAGAACTGTTGAAAGAAACGGGTCAGTCAATATCTCATGACATGAAGGCAAGGAGGTTGAGATGGGCAGGACATGTAGATCGTAGAAATCCCTCAGGACGCCTTTGCACGACAATGAATGCCAGAGTAGTAGGCAAGAGACCACGTGGAAGGCCAAAAGCTAGATGGATAGATAGGATAAACAAAGATACGGCTGAGCTTCATGCCGCAAACTGGAAAGCAATAGCCCAAGATAGGCAGAGGTGGAGAAGGCTGATTGAGGCGGACAAAGATCTACAAGGTCTGTAGAGCCAACCGATAAAAAATATATATATATATTTCTTTTTTTTTTTTTTTTTTTTAAAGAAAGGACGCTTCCAGTAAAGTAGTGCAAGTAAAATTTTGTCATAAAAACAAATTATATTCGTACATATCGGTCCAATTTGTTTTATTATTGTACTAATTCCACTTGTTGCTATGTTAGATCAACCAACGTAGCAATGTGGGCGTAAATACATACAAAGAGAAACAATGTTGATATTCGTTTCCCGCAATCTTAATTAACCCTTAAATGCTAATTTTTATAGCAACCGAGAGAGAGAGAAATACTTTATTAAAAGTAATGCTGCCCTACTACATAGGGTTGCTTCGTACACAGCATACCTATCAATCCACAAGGACATTAATTTTATATTTCATTTTTCTATTTTTTATACATATATATGTCATATCTTTCCTTTCTTTCTCTCTTTTTTCCTCTTTCCCCTCATAACAATACACTTACAAGTTATCAACAATAAAACCATATTAAATAATATACATACATTAAACAATATAAACATTTTTCCAAGACAAAAAAAAAAAAATATTTCCCTGTTTCTCTCTTTAAATTTTCAAACGCCAGGAACTCATTACAACATCGCACACATACATAACACAGCAATTCCCAGAATGCAGACAAAAAGACAGGACGACAGCGGATCAATTCAAAATTTAATAAACAGTTATTACCAGATGTCCTCAATCGGTATAAATATGATAGTGGATGATTCCCAGGGAATCCAAAATAATATTTTCGGCCAATACCGCGAGCTCCCCAACATCAACACCTAGTTCTTGGAGAAAGCTCCTTGTTCTTTCCGGGATCGTTCCGCGAGACCCAAACCAGAGGCCTCTCTAATAAATCTTTTCTGCACAAAATGTTTGTATAAGTTTGACCTACACAAAGAAAGGAATTTATCGGTATATAACAACCTTGATATCCGGACAAATCAATGAAACCAAAAAGAAATAACGTGCATTTTTTTTTCGGTTCCTGAGTCCCATTGTAGCGAACGCGTTGACCTGTATCGAATATTTTCAATGTAGAATCATAAAAAAAAGTTTGGTTTTTTTTGTTTTGTTTTTTATGAAATCGGTTATCCGCTAACAGTGACCTAACTTTGTTAGTGCAATTAACATACAGCTCGTTTACTTTTAATAAAACTAATAATGATAGCATAATTGAATAATAATTACTTTGATGATGTATTCATAACATTAGTAGAGAGTCCAATAGTTGGAGGGACAAGCCTGGGTTTATATATTGTATATAGGTATGGCTGTGTTTTTATGTCTTTAACTTATTTTATTTTTTATTGTATATAGTTTGTATATATCCCTGCCTGATTGTATATATTGTATATAGGTATGGCTGTGTTTTTATGTCTTTAATTTATTTTATTTTATTGTATATAGTTTTTATTATTATTTTACTTTTGTTAATTTTATGTTTTCTATATATATGGTGTAAATCTGTTCGTATCTCACTATGATTATTTTCAGTGAGACAAATTATAATATTTCTGAATAAAAAAAAAAAAAAAAAAAAAAAAAAAGGAGAGCCAAAACCTTATTTCTATATTTTTAATCGTAATATGTTAAAAGTAATTAAAATATATGGTATTGTAGGTTGTTGTGAAAGTCTGTTTCGGGGCAGCTCCAAACTAGAAACTTGGTTGATGTTTGTAAATTATCATTCAACTAAATTATTTTGTCAATAAAATATTATTTTTTACTTTTTATTTTTTAGTTGCCCATTGTTATACGGTGATATCATTCAAGAGGGAGACTTCACTAGGCTAGAAAGTGATCTAGTTCCTCAGTCGACTGATGTGGTTTTTATTATGGAAGCGAAGGAGTGCAACCAATACATGAGGGATAGAAGAATGGTTCATACATTTGCCACAATATTAGCCAAAGAGCTTTCAAATGTTGGAATCGCTAAAAACAGGTAAAGTTTTGCAATGTCAGTATGCATATATATTAGACAGCGATAATAAGAGTCTTAAGAATAAATAATTGACTACTCTGATATGAAGTGTTTTCATTCAATCCTATTTCGCAAATCATTACATTCGAATTTAACGATACCCAACATTTTCCGATTGATATCCATTTAAGTGTAAATTTCTTTGAAACAGAACTGTCATCTACATAGCTCCCATCCCTTGATTATCAATGATGTTGTGTTGAGATTGGAAGACTAAGATTTTTTTAAGGAAGCAGTTAAGTAATATATAATAGTAATAGTAAGCAGTTAAACACATTTAAAGGGTTCGGAGAAAAAATATACCTAGGAACTTTAACTCGGTATACCAACTGGAGACGCGGGAAAGGAGAAAGAAAACCAGGAGTTTACGGGTTTCAGGGGGCATAGAACCACAGAACGTCAGGGAAAATTTTTGAGGGTAGGAATAGATTTTTGGATATATTAGGAAATATAGTTACTATAGGAAAAATATGGATCAAAAATTATCCTAAGGTTCCTAACGGAAGTGTGAAAACAAATAGGTTTCCATCAATTCCATTATTTCAAAACGAGAAAATCGTTCCAGGTAACATGAAATATTTACTTGAGTTTCTTTACCATTAAGCATCCTAGAACTAGGGAATTGTGGTGAATTGAGCACGGGTTCGCAGAAAGACGAATTTCCTGTGTTTGGATCTTGACCTCGGATCCACTCTTAGATACAACCACAACCGGCTCAAGATTAGATTAAGGAATTAACTTGCTAGTCCTTGTTTGGCGAAAGACTGCCAAATCCCCAGGTTTTATTCAATCAAGCCTAACACGCCGTTTTGCATCGGTTTACTGCTTTCCTTAGTCCTTAAGGAAGCGGTCATGATCTTGAAACTGTTCATAGAATGGGTAAGTTTTCAAGGACTGAAATGAAGGAATTCTGATTTAAGTTAGCCCTCCAAAAATAAGTAAATTATATGTTCCTGTTACTCTTATTCATCGTTGTAAATTCAATTATGTTTGTTAATAATAATTATCTTTAGTTAATAAACATTAAAATATTTCTAAATTATAACTGTATCATAATTTCATGATTCCGTTTCAGATATGCCGTGGTCACGTATGGTGGAGATGGTGTGTTCGATCAGCCCCATAACATAGTGGTAAAAAACCAAGTCTTTACCAACGAGAATGATTTACCAAACTATTTTGAGAAAATAGTCTCAGGTAACATAAAATGTTTTTAGATCAGTTATTAATTTTCTATTATAAGTAATACACTCGTTCCAACGTTTCAAACCTAATCTACTGTAATAAACATATAAGCTGTCATATAGTTTTAAGTATTAATGATGTAAAAAAAATGATATAAAATACTACAAAAGTCTTGAATAATCTATTTTGTTGAATTAGTTTTTAAAATGGCCTCATATTAAACCAAATCAAAAAAGCAATATTACTATTTACAATAATATATGGATTAATATGGAGGCAATCGTATTAGTATTTATCGTAAAATTTTGAGAGTAACATATTAATATTAGAAATCTCTATATAAAATAAATTTATGACTATTAATAATATTTGATCAAGCATATATTATACTATGTTCTAATATATGACTTTGAGACCTGAACACTAACCAGTACCCTAGAAAAAAGTATTGAGAGATTTGAGAGAAAAATCCTCCGCAGTACAACAGCAGCGATCTGGGATCAGAGTACTGACAAGTGGAGAAGATAGACCAATAAAGAACTGCTTACAGAAACTGGTCAATCGATATCCTATGATATGAAGGCACGGAGGTTAAGATGGGTGGTAGATTCTAGATGTAGATTGTAGCAATCCATCTGTAAGTCTCAACATAACTATGAATGCCTCAATATAGGGCAAAAGACCACGTGGAAGGCCAAAAGGCAGATGGATAGATAGAATCAACAAAGATGCAATAGAGCTGCGTGCAGATAAATGGAAAGAAATAGCCCAAGACAGGCAGAGATTGGAGCAAGCTTGTTAAGGCAGTCTGGTCTGTAAAGTTAAAAAAAAAATAATTTATATTATTAATTAATTAAAAGTCCTTACGAAACCAATACCTACGGTTATTTATGGATGCGAAACGTGACTATTTTCATTAAGTATGGTTGAACAAGGTCTTAAGTATTTTGAAAAATATTGTACAGAATATTAGGACTGAAGAAGGGGGAGTCAACCGGAGAAGATAGGCTGTAAAACAACGCCAAAATGCGTGGATTGTATCCGGTTAGTATAATTGTGGTGATTACATTGTAGCGAATAAAATCGGCTTGTAAAATAGTCGGGCTTGGTAACGAAAGTTTAAGTTAAGAATGATATGATATGGCATGACGAGGCTGGGATTGAATGGCGATCGGTGCAGGGTGATGTGTTGACAGCGATTCGTGTTGTCAGCATCTAACCCTCGGTCCGCCAAGCCTTTTATTATTATTATTTATTAATTAAGGTTCATAATTTATATGTGTATTTTTTTAAAGGTAATGGAAACACAGACATCTTCAACGCTCTTAGGTACGCAACAAAACTCCAGTACAGAGCCGGTGTTTCTAAAACGTTCATTCTTATTCCATGTTCTGACTGTGATCTCGCCAACATGACGGTATATATCCTTTTTTTACCTTTTCTAAAATTTATTTATACAATATCAATGCAAGAAGATTTTATTATGCGCGTTTATTTACTGTTTTCCTTTTAAATGGAAATTCAATTTTTAAGTTTACTTATAATGATTAATATAAATAATTTTCTTACAGATTGAATATAACGTGTTGAACCAAGCGTTTTTAGAACAGAACATCACACTTCATGTACTCATGAACGCCGATTTCGATTTTGAAAAGTTGAGAGTCAACAAAATGTTCTATGGTAAGATGTAATTACTTTAAGATAAAAAGCAATTTCTTCTGATAATAACATAAAACTGCAATAATAATTATTAAACACTTTATTTCTATTAATTGTTTACAAACCAGAGTTTTATAGATTTTTAAAATAAAAAATAGTCTTAACTTGTTTCTACTTGAACTTGTTTCTGTTTGTTTTCATATTTTCTTATAGACTGTTGAAGGCCATGTTCCAAAACTATTTTTTAGTATTAAAATGTTTTCTTTGATTGGTTTTATAAATAATTGATGGACAAACATTAATTTCAAACATGTTGTTGAGATGGTAATTTTTATTCAAGATGACGATAAACGAAAAGTATTAAAATTATTTTTTTTTTAAATAAAACTTCAGGATGAACCAAAAATAAGTTGATATATAAATATCTCTTTGCCTGCTCAATTTTAAAGGTTTTATGTTTTTTCCAAATCCTTAGAACTTACAAAAAAACTACTGTAGATCACTTCCAAAATGATACACTAGGAATTTAGGTAGAAATTGCAAGATGATTAGTTCAAAATTACATTTAATTGATAAACATGTATTTATTTCCTTTCGGTTGTTTGTATGGTGTTTAAACGATATCGTTTAAATAACTGAAAGCTATTCATTGTTCATCCCACTATTGCGTAATTTTTAATTTTCTTTGTTTAATTAGGCTATAATATGCGCTAAATTTAAGCTTAACTTGAGAAAGATTTTATAATTATGTAGTAGTTTACAAAGGAGTAAACTGTGCATTTGCCAAGAACTCCGGTTTTCGAAGGGTGAGAAACATTTGATATGGTGAAAAAATATAAGGACGAATACAAAGAAATAAAAAAATAAGTTTTACTAGCGTGAATGGTATGATTTTTAAAAAATATTTGGAAAATCATACAATTCTAAACAAAATCTGTGTCCGTCAATATCCCTCTCACAAAATCAAGGTGAAATAGTTTATATCAAATTAGTAATTGTAATTTTTAAAAAAGTGTTAAAATTCATCAAACAAAATAGAGTATACTGCTATAATTCATGTTTTATCAATGGTATCATTGGTATTATATATCAATCAATGGATATCAATTATAATAGCTGTGTCAAATGTTTACTTAATTAGACTGGTACAGTGCGCTCATCACATAACACCCTACCCTAAGCGGAAATATTTTCATATTTTATCTGTCTTCGTATATAAACACATTGAAAAAAGAGTTAATATTAAAAGTAAGAAAACAACACCCTTTTTTTGTCTCTACAGTCTCATTTATTTTATCCTTTGTTCTCAGAAGCTTTCGTTACACAGTCTATCTGTTAAACGTAGAGTTAATATTAGTGTATTTATCATGTAAGATACATATATCAGTAGAACCTCAACATTTCGGGAGAAACTCTTTTTTTGCAAATTATGTGGATGTGAAATATGTGTACAGATAAACTGATAATAAATAACAATATGAAGCCCCATACCTGTATTTAATTAATGAAATTAATTAAATAAACAGTATTACTTTAAATGTAAGAAGGTTGGGAAAGGTAGCGTGCTCTCGGCAATTTCAAAGTTTCTGTCTGACACTAACTCTTATTTCTTTAAGTTGATTATTAAATTCGTTCATAGTTCGCATTTAACCATTTTTTTTTACTACTACTTACAATGTGAAATAATTAATTACTTTAAATAGTGAAAATGAAAGGAAGAAATTCTGAAGATTTGGCATTTAAGCGCTGTAAAATTATATCAATGAAGTCAACACCTTTAATTTTTTAATTAAAGGTCACTTAATTGTCCGAGTTTAATCAAAATCGTAAGAGCCGTTTTCGAGAATATTGTAAAAATCTGTAAATTCTATGATATAAAGTGCCATCTCCACTCTGTCGATTTCGGCGAAAAAGCCGCTGTAACATACCAGGAATATACGTACCGTAAGATGGGTAAAATTTAGTTTGTGGTAATTCCTGCAAAAACTTGCTGTGCTACTTCCTTGCGGCAAACTACGCTTGAAGCACAAGCAAAAGTTTTATGAAAACAAGAATTTTGAAAAAGCAATGGAAATAAACAAAACCTAACTGCACAACGAGTGAAGTTGACTAGGGTTCTCAAACTGGCGCAAGGTAGTATCGCTGTACATGCCAAGCACGTATTTGCAGTCTGAACCAACACGGTTTATCCATCACAGAATCACCACAAACTAAATTTTACCCGCTATCCCAAAGTATCTGACGCTATCTTAAATATGTAATTTCAGTTCCATACGACTTTTTGTTTTTGAGCTTGGCTGTTCAAACAGAGTATTTTGCGTAACTTGTTTTTTTTGGAATCAGAGAGTCTGAAAACGTATATTTCCATTGAATAAGCGGATATAAAAAAATTTTCACAATTGCAATAATGCCCCATGCTATTTATTTTATATATAGGTAAGCGAATGTAAAAAAAAATAACATCCTGCTTATTTAAAAATGGGAAGTATTTTTTCGCAGATGTGTTTTAATAACTGATAATAAACAAGAATGATTTTATAAAATATCACGGACAATCTAAAAAAGGTGCGTGTGCTGGCGAAGAATATCTAACCAGAGCGCTATCGAAAACCTAGTATTGGTGAGAAATGTAAGAATATATATTGAAGTAATCCAGATTTATTTAATTAAAAAAGATATATTGCGATAAAAAAATTATGCCATGTAGTTATTTATTAATACAATATCAAAATAAATAATGCCTTCTACCTCAGGCCAGGAACAAACCGACAGCCTCAGCACCGTTCACTAGCACAGATATTCTTCTCAGTGTGTAAAAATATCTGTGCTAGTAGTGAACGGAGCTGAGGCTGTCGGTGTGACCCTGGCTTGAGGTATAGAGGCTCTTTTTTAAAACATTGAGGAGGATCAGATTGTTAGCATAAAAAAACAGGATCGAAACGTCGAATAAACCACAGGATCAACGAATATAATGTAATTTATTGAGTAAAATAAGTAAGTGAACTAATTCTCAATTTAAATAATTGTATTAAAATATATGTAATGCAGGTACAGCGTGCACAATTAAAGCGATTTCAGAAATATAATATTTAAAAATATGTACATTAATGAGGTATACATGCATATTAATATTTCATTTAATTTGTGTGTAAAAGATGATTTCTATTTTCTGAACAAAATTTTTTTGTTCAAAATGTAATCATTATTATTTATGTGAAAACGTATTACTCAGTAAGTGATCATTATTTTTAATCGAATCAGTAAACATCAAAGATCGATTTAAATTTTTATTTTTAAATCAGGCACAATTTTTTAATGAAAAAATCAAATATAATAATTATTACATGATTTTGTGGAAAAAATAATTATCGATTTCAAACCGTCATAATAATGGTGTCCCTTCTACCGTACTTCATTCATATCCAAATTAACAAAATTTAAAATCGATTTTTGAGAAATTTACAAAGAACAAAATCTTAGGTCGCTGAGTTACCACTTTTTAAAAAGATTATCTTATTTATTTACGTTTTTTATTTTTTTTTTATTTATATATTTGTTTCAATAAATGATTGATTCACAAGATGCTAACGATCCAGTAGGCCTTGAGTTATTGCATTGTTCATTCAGAAATATTGATAACCAACGTGGATTGTTGGCATTTCCACTCCCCAAAAGGATGGAATGTTGCAGTAGCATGTTTTTTATTGCTTCCTCCTTTATCCAGCTCAATCACTTGAGCCATAGTTATATATCCCGGGTTTGGTTCACACATGAAAAAAATTGACTCAGGTTTCTTTGTAAAAAAATAAATAAAATAAAAGTTTACAAACTTTCCTCTCCAGTACTAATCTCCTTAGTTCGACTTTTGAGGAAGAGTTATAAACGTATTATATTACTCAACGATACTGACTAACCAAATACCTTGAGAAGCTACAATTCACATCATACTTATAAAATTAGCGTTTTATATATATATATATATATATATATATATATATATATATATATATATATATATATTTATTTATTTATTTATTTATTTATTAACATAATTATTTTATTGGGAATAAGGTCGCTTGATAATTATTCAATAAACTACTAAACGTTCATTGCTTCTGTGTTTAATCGACGTTTCTATCCCGTTTTTTTTATAAGTCAACAATGGGATCCTCTTCAAAGATAGAACAACAAATAGCTCAATCGGTACACAATCATGCTTCCATATGCTTCAAATAACAATTATTTCAAAATTTAACCTACTTTTAAAATAGAGCCTCGATACCTCAGGCCAGGGACACACCGACTAGCACAGATATTAAGCGGTCGAATAGCTTAATATATGTGCTGGTGGACGGTGCTGAGACTGTCGGTGTGTCCCTGGCCTGAGGTATCGAAGCTCTTTTTTAAAAGTAGGTTAAATTTTGAAATAATTATTATTCGAAGCATATGGAAGCATAATTGAGTACCGATTGAGCTATTTGTTCTTCTAGCTTTGAAGAGGATCCCATTGTCAACTTCTAAAAAACCGGGATCGAAACAGAAGCTATGAACATTTAGTAGTTTATTGAATAATTATTAAGCGACATTATTTCCAATAAAATAGTTATGTTAAAATGTAATAATAATCAAAGGTCGATTGAAGACATTTTGTAAATATATATATAATTTTACTTTTATTTCTCATTAGTGTGTATTAATTTCTCACACGACTTACCTACCGATTTCAGGCAAAGCGTAGATCCCAAGATGTACATAAAAAAAAAATTTATAATAACAATAATTTATAATTATAATTTTCGGATAATACTGAATTACATAATTGACCTATCGATTCGCGTGACAATCAAATTCCGAACTTTGAGATTTAAGTTTTATAGAAAAACAAATTTTAGTCACCACATATGCCGATGACACATGTATCCTATCAGTCAATAACAATCCATCTATTGCATCCCAAACTCTTCAATCACATATCACAAGTCTTGAAAAATGGTGTCAAAACTGGAGGATTAAAATAAACTCCAATAAATCCCATCAAATTACCTTTACTCTTCGTCGTAAACGCATGACTTCCTGTCCTACAGTATCCTTTAACAATACCCCACTTATCCCTGTTGACCAAATCCGATACCTAGGACTCCACCTTGACAAACGACTCACTTGGAACCCCCATACCAGACTGAAACGACTAGAAACCGCCCGACGTTTCCGACTACTCCAGCACTTACTAGACAAACGCTCTAAACTGCCAACTATTTACAAAAGACTCATATATATTAATATAATAAGGCCTATTTGGACTTACGGGATCCAGCTTTGGGGCTCTACTAAACCATCAAATTCCTCTCGTATCCAATCCCTACAATCCAAAATCCTTTGTAAAATCCTTAATGCTCCCTACTTTGTCACAAATAAAATCATCCATAATGACCTTAATGTACCATATGTTTCCGATTTAGCTCAATCCAGATACCTGTCCTTTCATAATAAACTTCTGAACCATCCGAACCCTCTCGTTTCCAACCTTGCTTTATCTTCTATTCCTGATAATTCTTAGCTCTGCAGCGCATAGGCTAGTTCCTGTTTTGTTTTTTTAACTTTTGCCTTCCACTTTTCTCAATTAATTACATTTACCTTGTTCGCCGAGTTACGTCTAGATAAAGCTTTCTTTTCTTCATGATTGTCGATTTTTTTTTCTCGAAAATATACTATATTAATGAAAATCAAAAGACAGGATATAAATAATCAGGAAGCAGTCATTTTTTATTGTTGTCGACGTTTCAGCCCATACATGTGGGTGAAATTCAACTGAAGGTGTTCAAGTACTCAAAATTTACATTAAAAGAGATTTAAATAGATGGCTATAGTAAAGTTTTATAAAAATCTTTTGATCCGTTTAGGAGCTATAGTCTTGTTGCATGGTGGAATTTACCAAAATATTCATAGACCCATTCCTAACTGTTTCGGAATTCATCTATCGGTTGATCAGAAATTACAGAGATATAAATAGGAAGGTGTTTGGAACTGTTTTAACTCTAATTTTAAAATGAACTTTGTACTAAAACTGTGATTTTATCTGACTAATGAAGAACTGATAAAGTTGGATATAAAGGAAAATAGACCTTGATAATGAGACAAAGGAATATTAAGAGGCGATTCTATAAGATTATGCTAATTATGATAATATACGATTGTATAAGTGATTTTGATTAGATTGTGGGATATATCATGTCTAACTTAAGCACTAAAATTATAATTTATTATTAATTATTGATATTGTTTAGAAGTAATGTAAATTATTAAAGTTACTGAATAAAATATCTTAAGGATCATTGAGAGTTAATATAAAATAATAATTTTGCATTCTCTTTCTTTTGATTACATCGAATTATGATATAAGAAATTATTGTTATTTCATTAATGTATGATTAAGAATATGATTTTACTGCCTGATATTTATTCCTCAATGACCTCGAATTTTCTGTCCATCATAAGATATTATTTTATCTTGATTTTTTTTATCATACGATTCTAATAGATTTAATTTATTTATCAAAGGTCTAGATTCTGAAAGAGCGTTTACAAAGAGTGACTTCAAGGTGATGAAAGGGGATATGGATCTAAGGAGGCAAATCAAACTTACCAAATCCATGATGGGTTATTGTACAACATTGGCATTAGAAACGAATGGTATATAAAAAATAAAAAATTTTCTCATTCATGCGAAATATGACAACTTCATTATCTTTTCATATATTTCAGGAACCATATTCACGGGGAAAAGGATGGGAAGTGAAAATTTAGCCCTTGTGAAAAAGTTTTCTAGTGTCTTCGCCAGAAGGATAGCAGCCTCTGCACAGCCAGACTCTTGCCAGCACTGCGAGTGTATGGCGAACTCTGAAGGAATAGATTTTGTTGATTGTATTCCCTGCGCCATACCTGTACCGGCATATACGGACTTCGTAAGTTCTAATTTTCTTTTTTCAATATGAATACTTTTATATGATAAATTTTATTAATATATCTATAATAATAACAAGAAAAACGATGTTTCGATGCCGGCACTGCGAAAAATCGTTACCTTCATACTTCCCTCCACTGAACCACATAAAAACTGAAATCTATAAGATCACATCTACGCCTTGGATGTTGATTCTTCGACTCAGGAATGATAACTTTTTTCGTTCATGTTTTACAAGGCGTCTTTTAAGTAAAGACAAATATTTAAAGGGGTGATTTCAGACTATACGAGCTACAAATATGTTTATATTTATATTAAATATGGCCCGGTTTGCAGCAGAAAAGTAGGTAATGTATGTTTTGCGTTTTCTTTTTAAATAAGTCACATTTTTTGTTGAATTGGAAACGATAACTAAACAAATATTCAACTTGGATAATTAACAATTCCTTCAAAGAAAATTAGACTAAATATTCTTGGATACCTTGAATTGAATAGCTATTACTTTATATCTAATACAAATTTAAAGTAATAACTTATTATCATTAATATTTCTAAAAAAAATAATGAAAAAGATACAAAAAAAATACATTAGCCGCTTAAAAGTCCCACTTAAATGATTTTAACAAAGACAAAACCTATCTGTTATTAAAGAAAATTTTGCAGTGTTGGGCATTTACCTGAGTAAATGTCCAGCGGTGACGTCACGAGTGATCACTCTTAGAAGCTTAGCCATGAGTAAATTTGAAAAGTACTCATGAAATATTTTTCCTCCATGAGTAAATTACTCGTGAAAAATGTTATCTCCATGAGTAAATCACTCATGAAAAATTTTAACGCCATGAGTAATTTTGAAAAAAAAAAAAAGGTTTTTATTTTACATAATCTAATTTTTTTTTGTCACCGTTAAGATTTAATCCATATCAAGGTCGACTCCGATGTCTTTTTTTGGGGGGGGGGGGGTGCTTTTTATGAAAATGATATCGAATTTGAGATTGGGCCCCCCGGGCCTCGACTTTTTCTAACTTTTCGGTTTAAATCGATATCCGGGTCGAATTATATGTTTTGGGGGGGGCGCTTTTTATGAGAATGCTGTCGCTTTTGAGATTGAGTCCCCCGGGCCTCGGCTTTTTGTAACTTTTCGGATTAAACCGATATCAGGGCTGACTATTATGTTTTGGGGTGCGTTTTTTATGAAAATGATATCGAATTTGAGATTGGGCCCCCAGGCCTCGATTTTTTTTAACTTTTCGAATTAAATCGATATCATATATCATCTGAACCTCTTTTTTCTTTTTTATTTAATTTAAGGGAGCGGAGTAGCTCAGTGGGTGAGCACTGACTTCCAGAGCTCAAGGTGCTAGGTTCGATTCCGGCTGATGACTAGTAATTTTTTATCAGCCGTGGATCGATCCTGGGGCCGGGATACCCTCCTTGGGCGATTCCAGCCTCTATAAAGTGGGTGCTTTTAAAGACCCTTCACCTGTTGTTAGTGGTATTTTTTTTTTTAATTTTAAACTTTGGTTTATTTAACAGTGTTGCGTTTGTTTATTTATTTAGATTAGAGCGAAAATAAACGATGTTTATAAACAGTTAATAGTACAATATAAATGTTTATTTCTTATCTAAGTAAACAAAATTAAAATTTTTAAACCTTGAAAACGAAGATTTAATATTTAATGTAACTTATTTTTTTTTTAAATTATTTTGACTTCAGATATTTTTCGAAACAAATAACTACAAACCCATATTTTCTTTATGTCCAATACAACTGTTAAAACTAAATTTGAGAGTATGTCAAGTTATAGAGTACATACCTAGAAATTGTTCGAACATTCATGCATACAAAAATTATTAAAAATATTTAATCACATCATGGTGATTAAAATTAATATGAAGTTATCTTTAACAATGACTCCTAAAAAGTAAATAAAAGGACATCAATTTTCCGGAGGATATCGGAGCCTTTTGTTTCTCAACCGCGGCTTCTCTGTAGATTCTTGTCCGAGATGTCCTACTGACTATAAAATTGGATGTTGCCACCTCCGAATGTGGTAAGTTTAAGCTGGCGCACAGTGGGACGAAAGACGGGTTCTCGTGGACATGGGCATAGAACTCATTAATGATGTCGGATTAACTTGATATTTAGTACACTTATGTTTTCAAAATCAAGGAACACGAATATGACGTCAAAATTAGAAACTTTACACGAAAAACAAAAAAAAATGGGAATTTTTAAATTTGATAATAAATTAACTTCAAAAATTATATAAACCTCTAAAAACGCATAATTTTAGATACCTATTTATAACTACAGTCTATATTATTACATATAACCTTTATTTTAATAATTTTTTTTAAATTTAAAAAACACGATAAATAACAAAATATATTTATAATCATTTTATAATAGTTCTAATAAAATAATAAAGATTTTGTTTTATTTTTATTACAAATAAATTTAAAAACCATCGATAAAGATATTTTGCACACCGATACTTCCTTACATTCTCCAATGGAAAAACATGTAATTTTTTTATTAATTTTAAAGATTACATTAACAACAACTGATTCAGGTCGAGTCATAAAGGTTCAACCAAATACTATCAGGGTCAAATTGAATCAAATAAGGGTTTGAAATTGAAAACAATTATATTTTATTAGTAACAGACAGTAGTAAGTGGAACAAGTAAAGAAAAGGTGTTTTTCCCTGAGGCCGTCTTATATGGGTACCCATTGACACAGCCTTTTATTTTTTAGTTCATTTAACGGTGCAGTTTGTTTATTTACTTAGATCAGAGCGAAAAGGAAGGATGGTTATAGAGTTAAAATAATAATATAAAATTTTATTTCTTAACTAGGAAGACAAAATTAAAATTTTAAAATAACGAAAATGAAGATTTAATATTTAATGTAAAACTTTTTATTGTTTTGTTTCAGGTATTTTTCGAAACAAGTAACTAAAGAACCTTATTTCCTTTATGTTCAATACAATTCTTAAAACTAAATTTGAGAGCATATCTTATTATATAAGATATTAGTACATACCTAGAAATTGTTCGAATTATACAGACAAAAATAATTTTAAATATATCTTAACTACTTTTAAGCGGAATATGGCGGTTTATAATAATAGGATTTCATCTTTCACAATGAATGCTAAAAAGCTGTAAGGATTCAATTTTTCGGAGGATATCGGAGTTTTTTTAAATCACAATCTTTGTAATAACTTGATTTAAAAACACCTATTTGTGTTAACAAAAAGGGAAAAAGATTAGAAGTAAAACAAGTTTTATACATTATTATATATCCCTCAAGTTAAGCAGAATGACATTAAAAAGTTGATAAAGTTTTAAGAAAAAGTATGAACCAACAGCAAAAATCTAGCAATTTTACAAAATTTACAAATCGCACGAAATTCCATATAATGGCTAGATTTTCAATTGAACTATTCTATAGATATTGAGAAAAATGTGTATTCTGCCCATTGAAAATATTCTCAATAATTTATATAGTTTTTTCAGTTATAAAAAAAAAGTAATAATTTTAGCAGATGTTACGAGTTTTTCCTTGCTCAACCCACAGTGCACCGCAGTGGTCCTTTGTTATGCCACCTTTTTTCGACCGAATTTTCTGCTCGGTGAAAAACCTGGTGATTGAAAAGGACTTTTCTATAGATATTCAAGTTTTTCGATAAAATTTTTGTTTTGTTTTTTTTCAAAGAGGTAATCTGAAAAATTAACTAAGTTTGGATTTGGGCTACTCTACTATTATGCTCTCGCCATCGACATGTCGCGGTTTCCAGGATATAAAACTTTGCTGAATCATTATTTCTAACAAATAATATATGAATAAATAAAGTTATGCCACTACACCGTTAATAGTCATTGAGTTGAGCAGTTAGTTAAGATGTGTTTTATCAATACCTATTTTTAATTATATTTCCTTTGAATTGTTTCTTTAATACAAAGACTGAAATTTAAATTGTTTTAATTTATTTTTAGGACTTCCAAGAAAACGGAACACTCTCATTTTGGCAAGCGTTTGAACCAGATAACTTTTAACAAATCAACTAATCGCTTCAGTACCAAGATAATCTAACATTTTACTTAAATATATATTATATTTTCGAAAACATGATTGAAATTATCATAGAACATATATTTCCTATTTGTCTAGGAGAGGTGAAAAACCAGTGTAAATATTAGTTATTTTTAAATTTGTATAGTTGAATTATATTTAGATTTTTTTTTTAGAATATAAGGTATTCATAATTTTAAATCTGAACCATGTATATAACATTTTAAATATGAGTTTAATTTATTAAATAAAGTGCATAATAAAATCTATTTTATCTTCTTTTTTTTACCTATCTAGTCAAACAAGTTTTTGAGTTAATGTTTTAGTCGTTTATGAAATGTATCCACATCACTATCTTCTTGAATTAAAAAGTACAGATATTTCTAGTAGCTCATACATTGTTTACATTTAAAAACAAAATAACCACAATTATTAAAAAATATCATCAATTGGAGAATTGATAAGCCAATTAGTGAACTATGAAAAAGAAATAGCTAGATGTTTAAAAGGTCATTAATACCAGTGGAACGACTATGAGAGAAGCGCTGTGACCTACAAGAATCCTGCTTTTCCCTCCAGAAGTGAGGGGACTTGAAGTTCTCCTGAATAAATGTTTGTAAATATTGTATTTCTGTGATTCTGAATTCGTTTTATTTTATTAGTTTTTTTCCTTTTTACTTTCACTTACTTATATATCAAATATATAGTAAAGGAAAGTATTGCGATCGTGAAAAAATTCGAATCTCAGTTTTCAACGGAAATACGTGTTTTGAGATCCCTTCAGTCAAAATAACCAAGTCTCGCAAAATGGTATGTTTGTATGTCTGTTTGTGTGCGTGTGTTAACAGTCTAGCTCAAAAACGAAATATAGTACGAAACTGATATTAAGTATTTAAGGTTTGTATATGGTTCAGATGAGACAGCAACTTTTTCGTTAAAATCGGCTAATCGGAAGTGCCACTTTACATCAACGGTGAAACACATTTTTGCAATCTTCTCAAAAACGGCTCTAACGATTTAAAGTAGTCTTTAATACCATTTAGGTTTTATCACCATTGATATCACTTTACAGGGCTTAAATGGACAATGTTCATATACGTCTTACTTTAAGGTACCTTTAATATGTTTTTTTTAAAGAAATTAATTCATAGCTATGAGTTATGAAAAAATGCTAAATATCACTTTTGAAAGAATTTGATAATCGAATATAGGAAAAAAAAAGAAAAATGCTTATCCAGGTCGAAAATGAATCGCCGGAAATAACAGTCAGAAGGTATAAGTGTAACATTTCATTGGAAAACGGAGAATTTTAGAAAAGATAATATCTAATAAATAAAGTTGTAGAAGATAACTGAGAGTAACGAAAAAAATATAAATAATAAATTCTGAAAACCAACATTATTTAATGTAAATCACATGTTTCCAAGGAATGAAATTTTCTTACTAAATTTAAACTTTTAAATTTTCGTCACGTTTGAAAATAATATTTAAAATCCTTCAGAACAAGGCAATGACATGTTTAAAATACTATTTCATTGTATTTGTCTGAAAAAAGAAGTGAAATATAACAATATTTTATAGATATTTCAATAATCTTTAGTACACTTACTGTAGTTTAATAACTCTATATCTAATAATATATTTAAATAATTAGGTATCTATCTTTCGTTTATTACGAAAAATCAACATGTAACCTTTTAGAAAATAAAATTATTGAATATTTTTCCTTTTTGATATCCCAACAGTATCCACTTACAATTAGTGTGATAACTTTTAACCTATCTATGACAGGCAATGCAAATGTTGTAAATCCTTTTTAGTAAATTTTGCAGTAGAGAATAACAGTTTAATAACTAATAATCGTACAACACACAATCAACGGATTGTACAATCTATAATCAACTGTTGATGTAATAAATAGCTTTTTTGTTATTTTAATGGTATCAAGGTCTGCGTGTGTCTGTTTGTGTGTGTGTAGTTAAAAAATAAAAAATCGTACGAAACTGAAATTGTGTATTTAAGGTTTCTGCCTGTAATGCCTGAGATGTTACAGCAACTTTTGCGTCAAAAACAGGTTACCTGAAGTGCGCCTTTATATCATCGATTTTACACATTTTTACTATTTCCTCAAAAATGGCTTTAACAATTTTGATTAAACTCGTTATACCAATGCATTTTTTTTTAATTTATGGTAGTTTTTATCTTCATTAATGCAACCTGGCAGGAATTAAACGACGAATTTTCATAATCTCGTATTCGATCGTAACAATAAGAAAGGCCTAAATATATACTATGAAAGAATTTCATAATTGACAAAAAAGAGAAAAAAAAAATTAGTTTTTCAGGGTAAAAATTTCTCTCCAAATATAAGAATCGTAATATATATGCATAATATATCGTTGGAAAGCTGAGGTAATAAGTAATAATAATAACTTCTCTCCAAAAATAAGATTCGTAATATATAAAATAGAATAGAATAGAAAATAATTTTATTCTGGGACGATGTCCCTTCAGAATAACAAAAAAGTACAGAAATTAAAATTTTACATCTGGCCAGATAAAAACAAACATAAAAAGTAAAGATAAAGAACAAAAAAAAAATTAGTTATACATAATATATACAAAATAAAATAAAATAATCTATATACAAAACTCTCGAAACCATACTAAGATACTTAAAACTATGTACAATGGTAAAATATAAAAAAAAACCTTTTAGCAAAAATACAAAAAAAAAAATATATGTAAATTCTTCTTAACAGTAAAATCTGTTTTTCTGTTGAAAAAAAAAACATATAAAATAAAAATAATAAAATATATGTAATTTTACATAAAAGGTTAGCTGGTATCTGACTGTTTTTGGAACAGGAATTGGAATAGGAGGGTTTTGAATGTAGATAGGGATAAAGAATGTCGGATTTTGATAGGAAGGGAATTCCAAAAATTAACAGAGCGAGTAATAAAGGAGTTTTGGAACGAGGCAGATCTGTGAGAAGGAATGTAAAGGTCGGAAGGTCGAGATCTTGTGGAGAGGGAGTGGATTGAGGACTTGAATTGGAGAAGCTTGTAGGCGTAGGAAGGACGATGATTGTTGATGATATGATAGAGGAATGTACCTAGGAAATATTGTCTTCGAATGGAGGGGAAGAACCACTCTAACTCAGTGTAGTGGTGAGAGACATGGTAGTATCTCGGGGCACCAATTACAAATCTCACGCAACTGTTCATTAATCTTATATATGTATAATGTATCGTTGGAAAGCTGATGTAAATAAGTAATAATAATAATAATAAATTGTCTCCAAACATAAGAATCGTAATATATATGGATACGATATCGTTGGAAAGCTGGGGTAATAAGTAATAATAATAATAATAACTTCTCTCCAAAAATAAGAATCGTAATATATATGCATAATGTACCGTTGGAAAGCTGAGGTAATAAGTAATAATAATAATAACTTAGAAGTAATAATATCTAACATATAAAATGGTTAAAGATAATGGAGAGTGACGAAAAAATTATGAAAAATAAGTAGTGAAAACTAATGTTAGTTAGCGGAAACGAAATTTTTCCAAACTAAATCAAAACTTACAATTTTGTTTAACCTTGAAAAAGCTAAAGGTGATGGAGAGGGATGAAAAGTGCTTAAACTAAAAAGGTAGTGATACAACTACTCAGTAACCTATCAGGGGATCAATAAAATGTATAATATAACATGAGCTTGGTTATTTCAATTATGTTAATTAAAATATTAGTTTTCCCAGCACTACTATTAGAATCTTACAACATTAAAAATTCCCTCTAAATATCAAATGAAAGGATACTAACTTTGCTCAAATGCTATGGAAGGAGTACTTTCCCCCAATGAGTAATATGTTACTTATTAACATGGTAAGGGTAATTTAAAAAAAAATAATATGAATCAGGTAATGTACTTTTTTAATTAAGCTCATTAAATAAATTTAAAAAAGTGATGAGTGAATTAAAGAATGACTCAGATGTAAAAATATATAAATCATTGGTTTGAAGAGGGCGGGCACAACTAAAACCTTATCATATTTCAACTTGTTAATTAAGAGAATATATGTCATATGACTTCTTTTTTTTTTTGTATCTGTTTATTGAAAAATAATACATTTTGCCACACTTAAGGGCACTGAGTACTAAGGCTGAGTGAGGCACATTCATACCATATATACAATACCATAAAAAAAAATAATAATAAAAAAAAATAAATAAAAAAAATATAAAAATCTATATAACAAAGGCAAAAACTATAATAAACCAAGGAAATGTAACTTAGAGTTAAAACTAAATGAAATACAGAAATTTGTAGCAAAATTAAATAAATTATAAGTAATAGAAATAAATAGAAAAACATTCATACTTAAATACAATTTTTACAATTAGGCAAGAGATCTCCGAGTCCAGTCCTTTCCCCCACGTGTGAAGGACAAAGCGAGACTCTAAGAGATCCCAGCGCTTCTCTCTCAACCGCGTCGCCGGTATTACCAGTCCGGTGGAGACTGAGAGAGGGCACTAAGACCACAAACACTCATGACTTGAGTGGAGAAGCTGGCCATTGCCAGAACTCCAGTTACGTCTTTACAAGAGATCTCGAGGCCACTGCCGTTTTAATCTTCGAGGAGGGTTGTAGGGATGACTGAAGCTAGATAAGGATTGTGCTAAAGGGTTAGGATGGTGGATTAGGTTCGGGTGAAAATTTGAGAATCGGAATGGAATAACGTCAAGGATATAAGGGATGTAAAGGTCATGATGTAGGGTTTTGTTTGTAACATAATAAGGAGCATTGATTATCATACGGAGGACTTTAGACTGAAAGGATTGGATGCGTTTGATGTTCGAAAATTTAGTTGTCCCCCACAGTTCAAGTCCGTAGGTCCAGATGGGTTTGAGTATGGTCTTATTTATTAATAGTTTGTTTTCTATTGATAGATTGGATTTTCTGTTAAGTAGTCTGTATAGCTGGCCAAATCGTCGGTTAAGTTCTTGTCTTTTAAGTCTAGTATGTGGGTTCCAAGTTAGTCTTTTGTCTAAAAGGAATCCAAGATACCGAACTGTGTCTGAGACGGGGAGAGGTACAGAGTTGAAAAGGATATGTGGACAGGATCTGCGTCGGAGGGTAAAGGTGACATGACTTCAAGACATGTCAATGGCAATCAATACCATAAAATAATAAAAAAGAATACAGATTAAAGATAATGAATCAATGAATCCAAAGCCCAATCAATGG